CAATAATACATTCTTTGTATACCACTGGGTACCCCCTCCTCCTCCCCCGCTCGAGTACTCCTTGGCAAAAGTGATGCCCCCCTACGACAGGTTTGTCAATTACAACTCGTAAAGGGTTCGTCAACGATGCTCTGGAGTGACGATGCAGGCTGATCGGTGCGCGGCAATTGTTCGCATTTCAGGATATCGTTGATGCACCCTGTAATGCTCCTGACGCGTACGTTTCATTAACACAGCAGGTCTCTAAGTGCGTCTCTCTCGCACGCATACGGATTATTACACTTTTTCTACTACCTATAACTATACTACCTTTAACTTACAACTATACTACCTATAAATGTTTTGAAAAACTCACAAAAATGGTGTCCAGACCCTGTACCTGCTACGCATTAATATTGAATTTAAAAGAAAACTATGAAGGTACAAACGATGTAACGCAGTGGAGATATACTAGAGACTATACTCTTTCGAAGGGGACTGATTGGAAAGAGGTACAAACGACACTTTCTTGAAGAACTTCAAAAATTGGTGTCTGAGCGTTGTACATGCTACGCACTTAACTAGAATTTCTATAGTTCCTGATAGGTTTTAACAATAGTTCTGCTACGTAACATCGTTAAAATAGGAATTTTCCAAAAATTGAGGTGCTACATGGGTGTCAGCTCCAGCACTGCACTTTTTTAAAATCTCTTGAAAATGATTCAACAATAGGCTTTTTCAATAGCTCTCGAGAAGTTCTATAGTTCCAGATAGGTTTTAACAACAGTTCTGCTACGTAACATCGTTAAAATACCTATTAAGGGTACTAGTCGCACCATATACTTCAGTGCAGGTATGCATAAGGAGCTGGCTTTCAGTGTTGTTTTCAGGTTGTATTTCAAACAGTTCCGGAATAATTCTCTCTAGTACTCAATGTTGGGACCTTAGTTCCGCTTGGAACTATTGTTAAATAATGATGGAAGCTAGCACCGCATCGCTGCACTCCTTAACACAGGCAGGCATAAGGGGCTGGCTTTTGTCTTAGTAAATCTTATCGAGCTTACACTGTACATTTGAATTTAAGATTACAAAAGAAAAAGATTTAGGGAATATCTGATAACCGGCCTCTTTCTAAGGGTTGCTCTGGGAATCAGTTGTAAGTTGTGGAGAATCTCTGCCCGCCAAGCTACCCGTTGGTGATCACGTTCAGCTCGGCTACGACGGGATATGCATTATCGACGGAGGCGATGATCACAAAATTCTATTCCCGGACTCGCCGCTACGATTTAGCGCCATGTTTTTGGTATCGCCTAAAACCGTAACGTTGTGCATCTCCCTACTGATCTCTGAAATTACACAGCAACAGGTAAATTGTTATTTATTAGGTCATATCTGTTACGAAATTGAAAATACAGAGTATTTAGACGAATTAATGTCATTTTGGTACGGTAGCAGAGAAACATTTAACAATGTATTATTTTTCCAAATTTTTATTCAAACCGTAACTCCTGTTAATATTGTAATAAAAAATATAGTAAAAATATAGGTACTGATGAGGTGCATGGAGCTAGCGAGAGGTAAAAAATAAATTAGTGAAAACAGTGATAGAGTTGTTGCTATTTGAATCTCGTCCACGTATATCCGCGGATGCACTATTAGAAAATCCAGGGATCTTGTTTAAGATTGTGATGATTCTTTCATTACCAAGCGCCTCCAACTTCATGAATGTCGTTAGTAATTTGTCATGGTATTGTTTAAAAATTAAGTAATCCTACTAATAGTTAAAATTGTCCAAGGGCATACACTGTCCTGATTTTTTATCTTTTCCAATAATTTCGAGTACACCACTTGGGGCACATAGCCAAGGATCCGCGGTCTCTTTCTGCCATTCATACAGTCTTTGTTGCAAGTCCGCAAACAATGCCTAGATATGTTATAATGTTAGATTTGTTTACTCTTTCAATTTTTAGGTCCGATACATTTTTTACATACCTTAGAAGAAGGCTTGCGTGCTAAATTCTTCAGTTCCTCGGGATCGTGTTTCAAATCGTATAGCTCCCACTCAGATCTTTCGTAATAAGTTTTCAATGATTTGTGCCAAGGTAGTGGTTGCTTTTCTCTTGTTCTATTCAAGAGATCCTAAAGAAAGAACAGACATGAGGATTAAACACTAATTATTCTTCTAAATAAAATAATATTACCTGAAAAGTTGGTGACAGATAAAAGTCTTGATCAATGGGAAATGGCATTCTGTAATTTAAATTATGAATGAGCTTGTAGCGCTTTGTTCTTATTGCTCGCATTGGATAATACATTGTCACTTCATGATGAGTTTGGCTGGCAAAAACGGCTGTATTGTTTTCCTGCGGCTCTGTAAAAAGCATCATTAATTGGCTATCCCCAGACTCTTACACTAGTTCTTATATAATAGCAGCACTCACCTTCGATCAATAATGGCAACAAAGATTTTCCAGTCAATCGGGAAGAGGACGACACATCATTTTCTGATATCTGATGCTCATATGTCATATTAAACCAATCTAATAAAGTTGGAGCAATATCCAATAGAGATGTCATACTGTGAGTTGCCTGATTTCTGCGATTCTTATGATATGGGGAGGAGATCATCATCGGTTCTGCCATACCTAAATTACATAATACATTATAAATCACGGCTAAAGTTAAAATTAATGAATTATACTTTGAATAAAAAAAGAATTAACCTGGGTCATAAAGATTGGTACGTCCACTTGGAAATGGTATACCATTGTCTGAAGTATAAATAACTAAAGTATCATCAAGAACCCCAGCATCTTTCAGTTCCTTTAAAACTAAACCGACTCCTGAAATTATTTAAAAACCCTTGGTCATCTGTAAATATTTTAGTTTATATAATTTAGTACCTTGATCCAGACGAGAAATTGTTGTATATTGTGCTGCAATATCTCGTCGAGCTGCTTCAGTATCCTGAACAAAATATGGAAGCTTTACCTGTTCCCACTGATAATAGATAGGATGCCAATCAGGTATGGTACCCATACCAGTGTCGCCATTCCCAAATTTTTCACAGAAATTTCCATATTCTGGATGAGTATGACCACAACGATGAGGATCATGAAAAGCAACATAGAGGAAGAATGGCCTGTAATGAAAAATATTCTACCATGAGCATATGACTATATTAATATAACAATTAACAAATAATCTTACTGTGATTTATTTTGTGAAAGAAACTCGCGAACGAGTAATTTTATTTTTGTTATATTACGGCCCACTTGAAGAATTGAATTGTTCTCTTCCGTCTCTGCGAAATCGAAGGGATACACGTCAGCTGGGCCAACGTGTTTTTTTCCAATAATACCTGAGATCAAAAATAAAACGTAAAGCATTATACTCCAGATCGTAAGTAGTTACAGAAATATCTACCTGTTCGAATATTATTCCTTTTAAATATTCTAGGCAAACTCTGCACATCATCAAAGGAATTAAAATGATGAACACCTTGATGAAGTCCATACATCCCATTCTGATGACTAGGCATTCCCGTCAGTATAGCTGAACGACTATGCAATGAGAATTATTAGTTTAATATTTAATAATTAACTAATTCATTAACATCTTACCTTGGAGAACAACTACTGACTGAAGTATAGGCATTATTAAATATCAAGCTCTGCTTAGCCAGCCGATCCAAGTTAGGCGTCTGACAAATATTATTTAAATAAGACCGCATTTCAAAGCCCCCATCATCAGCTACAATATTTAATTAAAGGATTAAGTGAAAGTTTTATATATAAAAATTTAAATATCGCTTCCGCCGCGTATTATCAAGATGTACATTCGCGCATCTTGTTACGCGCAGCCGGCTACAGTCGTTCTCCAGCTGCCACTTTGGTGGAATGCAATCATAATTTATTTTATAAATATACATATAAAACATACTAGATAAACGAAAATCATCTTAGACAACAATCTCATGAATAGGCATAACTCATAAACATGGAAACAACATGACATCAGTGGCAGCAAAGAACAGAAATATTACCAAGTATCAGCAATGCATTTCTTTGCTCAGCGTTCGTTTCCTTCGTCAGCAAAATGATGATGAAAGTCATCAAAGATGAGAGTATGGCAGAGAAACAGAAGCCTCGTGACATCTTTCTGGTTAGCGTTGCGCGTGACCAGATACACGTAAACCAAGCGTCCACGTCTGCACCGAATACAGAGTGGAGTTTACGTCAGCTGACAGTTGCCGGTAGGACAGTTATTGTATTACTGGAGCACAGTAGTCGACTGTATCTTTAGGCCTCTACGAGTGGTCGAAGCGCACAAAAACCAATCTCACTGTTGCTTTCATTGTTTCTTTTTTCGAATTTGTAAGTGAAAGTTTGAACAGTTGCGTACACGAAGGTATACTATGTTTCCCGGTTATTGACACCTCAACAAGTTAATGTCCTCTTGCATATGATAGGCGTAACCGGTGTTTTTACGTTTTTTTTATGTTGATGACTATGATCTTCAGTTATTTATTAGAGATTACGATGACTCCTCTGAGATTATCTGTGAATCGGTTATGACAACGAGTATGGTATTTATATGTATTAATAGTTGCAAATTAACGTGGCTACGCCCATTTATTGCAGTGGAGGTCACATTATCTTGAGTAAGGACACCACCTTGCACGTGACATTGTCAAAAATTGGATTTTGTGTCTAGACGTGATTGTCTCGAACTGGCAGTTTCTGTGATTCATTCGATTTTTGACAGTGATTATTTACTTTTCAGAGAATCATGTCGAAAATTATTTGTCTGTTCGATGTTGATGGCACACTTACTGCTCCTCGTCAGGTATTCTTTTGCTTTGATTCTTAGATAGTGTTCTGGTTAATAATACTGCGATGTGGAATTTATTATAGCCAATCAAACCCCAAGTGGAGAAATTCCTATTTGAGACTGTTAAAAAGGAGTTTGATATAGCTATCGTAGGAGGATCTGATATATCAAAGATAAAAGAACAACTTGGTGGTGGAAATATTACAGAGAAGTACAAATATGTATTTGCTGAAAATGGTCTGGTTTCATATAAAGAAGGAAAGAAACTTCCTTCTGAGGTACAGGCACTATACTTTTCCCTGATTTATGAATGTGTTCAAGGTAACGAAAGTATTAATTTCTCTTTAGACGATTCAAAGTGCCATTGGTGAGGATGCATTACAAGATGTAATCAATTTTGCACTGCGCTACATATCTGAGCTAAAGTTGCCATTCAAACGTGGAACATTCATTGAATTTCGTACAGGAATGTTGAATATCTCACCAGTGGGACGTAACTCCAGTAAAGAGGAACGTGATCAGTTCGAAGAATACGACCGCGAGAATCAAATTCGTCAAAAATTCATACAAGCCCTCAAAAAAGAATTTCCAGATCTTTTATTGACCTACAGTATAGGTAAGTATATTCTTCCAATGAAAAAATAAGCCTTCGATCAACAATCCATTTCATCGACAGGTGGACAGATCTCATTCGATGTTTTCCCAAATGGTTGGGATAAGACCTATTGTCTAAGACACATTCAAGGCTACGATGAGATTCATTTCTTTGGTGATAAAACAGAAGAGGGTGGTAATGACTACGAAATCTACCAAAGTGACCTGACCGTTGGTCATCGTGTAACAGGTCCAGAAGATACTGTAAAGCAATTGAAAATTCTTAGCGCTTTAATTAATGAACACAGAGCGAAGGAACTTTCCAATGTTCCTATGCAGTGTATTTAATTAATTTAGTATTAGTATCCGGATACTCTTGTTGTTGTTGTTGGATTCCCGATATGACTCGGATAGAAATTTTACCGATGATATAACATCCATTTATCTGTATTTCCTCGTACCGAACTCTACTTTTCGTAAATCGTATATATATCTATATACATATAAAGTTATATACCGTTTATTAACATCTGATGGTAAATTCAAGTGTACAGAATACTTAAGATTATTATCATTATTAACAAACATTCCATGTGTTACATATCTTTTTTTTTTGTTGATAAAATCATGTTCCGATAATATTCCCAGATGTGAATTATCGCACGTGCGATTTGTAACAGTTGTACAAATTTAAGAAAATATTTTCTATATTGTAACACAATATTGTACGTTTGGAAATTTACAAGCTCCTAAATAATCTCGATGTTTAAAAATGTTATATAGTTACTAGATACTTGCGTTGTAAATGTGGTGATGGCCGAGTAATTCGTAGTTGAATTGAAAAAGTAATTAAAAAAAAAATCAATCAATAAGAAAATGAAATTTTGTGAAAACAATCGGAGTGTCAATTTCAGAATTTACCATTCAAAAAAAGTGATAAACCTCAGCTGCTCCAAAGTATTCCCGCCAATTTCCGATTTTTTTACTACACAAATATTTATATAATTATTAAAATTCCTTTTATTAAACAATAACGTACAGGAACAATAGTAACATTTTAAAAACGTCATAATAAGTCATATTTCTTAACGATTAACGTCGCAACACAGTAAACGTAAAATTAACAATTTCTGAAATACACATTGACAGCTCTTAATGATTATAACAAAAATTAATATAAGGAATGCCCCTCTCCCTGATCCACTTATACAATTCAAAATTGACCATTCGAACTCAAAAATATTTTAAACAATATTCCTCTCATATATCATTATGCACTCATACAATGAACAATTGATTAACAATGACACCTGGCACCGAAGAAAAAAACTATACTAGATCCACATCTCCATTACAAAAAATTCACACCGATCGCATAATTTCTTACAATTTTTGTTCTCTTTCATTAGAACCTATTGAAGAACAATCGTATAAAATATCACGTGATGTTACACTCGATTAAAGTATATCTATAAGACAATAATTATGTCAATGTCGAAGTATACGAGAGTGCAGCAAAAAAAAACGAACAAATAGGTAAACCTATTAGAAAAAAAAAATTGCGCAAGATGAAGAAAAAAAATACTAAGATATTATTAAAACAAGTAATATTTATTTTTCTTAAGACGTGCTAAAACATTAAGTCCACGTGATTAATTATAAGACTCAAAGCGTTAATGACTGTTAACTATTTAACCGCAAATAACGTCTTCTAGATGTTCAGTTATCTAAGATTCACATTTGTTTCACACGTTTAACAAACATAAGCGGCCCATTTATTTTTGCTGTGGTAAAATTTTTTTGTCACGAAACAATTCAGGCCCATCAATTAAATGTCTGGTTAAATAGTTAATTGCCGAGTCGAAAGTTCATTCTGGCGTATTCATCGACGTGCAACGTGTACAAATATGCATATGCATATATTTATATTTCTCTTTACATGCCTTTGTAGACCGGGACACGTTTCGACGTAAAGGCTGCCAGACCCTCGACACGATCTTCGGTCTCCAGGAGTTGAGAGTAACATTTCTTCTCGACCTCGAATCCTTCCTTAAGAGTTAAATCGGTGCCCTCGGTTATTGCTTCTTTGGCCAATCTGTAATTAGGAATATAGATACTGTAAATATTGTATTTTACAACGATATTTAAATGCGGAAAATTCTTATCAGTACCGTTTAAAAAGATTAGTAATGTAAGCAACGCCACGCGATTCCTAAGACTTGGCAAACATTTGCAAGTCAACATTGGCACAGTCTTTTGATTAGAAAACTGCAAGTTATTCTAGTATTGTTAAAAAATCTTAACCTAATATTTACGTCATTCAGATAGCTGTGAATATTGTTTGACTTAACTTTGGAAAATTTTTTATAAGACAAAAGATAAAAATTTATGTTTATGTTAATGAGCATCAATATCTTTATCAATGGTTTAATTATTAGCACTGATGTGTGTGACTATATGTTTGACATGGAATGATTTGCGCTTCTTTTTTACTGATAAATTGTTTATGAAACATTCACAATATTTTAGTTCGTGCCAAAGAAATTATGCGTCTTTCTCATTTACTGTCGTTAACCATAGTGCCTCGTGTATTTATAAGCTGGTAAAATATCTATATGAATTTCTTAGGTGCTTTATCATGTGCGAACTTTAATGTCCATCAATCGATAATTGTAAGTCTCGTTATAGTCTGTATAATCATGAGTGTCCGTGACACAAAATACGATGACCATTTCCGTCTGCCTGTTTATCGTTGGATGGTGGTGCGATATTTATTATATAATTTTATCAGTCCCCGGGGTTGAGTCTCTGACCTTTTTGGCAAGTGCTTTAAGTCATTAAACATAATCAAAGATTCATGCGGCAGTATGAATGCGATGATGATAATGAGTGTGCATGATGATAAGCATAAAACATTTTTAAATCACACGATTATTGTCACTTTTGATTCATACTGAAATGATTTTTATTTTACCGCGACTTAACGAAATCAGAAACACTTCTAACACAAGTGTCAAGTGTTATAATCACTGGTGCATTACGTTGTCACGATAGTGTAGGAGTGATATATTAATGTAACGTTATATCATTTTTTTTTAAGATCAGTGGAAATCTACATGTGGAAAAGCAATGATGATGGTGGTACGAAGACAAAAGAATTTCACCTGACACCAATGGGACCATTTGGCAGGATTTCCCTGGCGATGGATAAAGCTGCTTGATATGCTGCATCGCCATTTTTATTCTGAGGTACAGCACGATTTACAAGACCAAGTCCTTGGGCCTCGTCGCCGTCGAGGATACGTGCCGTGAAGATGAGCTCCTTGGCTATGGCAGGACCTACTATCCTTGGTAGCCTCTGGGTACCACCAGCACCAGGTATGATAGCCAATTTGGTTTCCACCAGACCCATTTTAGCTTCCGATGCTGCAGTTCTTATATCTGTTGCTAGAGCCAGTTCAAGACCTCCGCCAAGAGCGACGCCATCGATGGCAGAAACCACCGGAAGCGGAAGTGACTCCACCTCGTTCATAAGACTTCGAAGAGATGAAACAAACTGCGCCACCTCCGAACCTTCCATCTTGACTCTCTCCCTCAAATCAGCACCAGCACAGAAGACCTTCGGTACCAAACTGCGGATTATCAGTACCCGGATATTTTCATCCTCTCTGATTCTTGACAAGGTATCCGACAACTGAGAGACAAAACTCTTGCTGAAGGCGTTTCTGGCTTCTGGACGATTCAATCCCAGCACAGCAATTCCATTGTCCTTGCCATCCAAATACTTCACTACAGTTTCCTTGGAGTCATCCTTGGGATTCAGCTGTACCTTCGTGGACAAGCCTCGCAGGGCTATGGTAGCAAAATTCGACAGAGTCGTTGCTGCTTTAACTCGCGTACCCAAGGAAGCCATGATGAGTTCAGTATCTTTAGGATAGATATTTCAGACATTAATTGACCATTGGATTTAACTGCTTACTGCTTCAGGGCATTTTCTAATACGTTACACAACGTTACTACTGATGCCATCTATGTGCACAAGAATAAAAAATATTCACAAGAGTTGACCAGAGGTGATGCGTGAGCAAGGAGATACAGGAAGAGGTTCCCTACAGGAATGTACAAACACTCTCTCCACGGTACTTTCGAAGACCGGTCTCCCGCCAACTTTCCAAAAATGCAAATTATTCATTTGCATACGACGGAACAAGAAGCATATAAGAATTCACGTATTAAAACGTTCTTTAAAAACGCACACGTACAATAAAATCAAGTGATATGTGACAGCATCAAGGAACCTTGAGCAGGAGCTGCGCCACAATTTTTGAAGGACGCCTAGCTAGAAAAGGAATAAATCTCAATGACCAATCACACCGACACTACGTTACAGAGTTACGATAATAGCTAATAATAAAGCTCACTGTACGCAAAAATATATTCTACTCGACAGACATTCTTAACAGTGACACCTAAATGGGTCGCGCACCTGACTGATTATTCAAATGAAGAATTTTCGATAAATAATGCCTACCTCGACGCCTCGACGCTGCCGCAGGCGCAATTTACACGAGTATCTTCACTTGCTTGAAATGATGAGAGAAAAGAGGGAAACGTTCACGCCAACACAAATTCCAAGTAAATAAATCTTCGGAGCAACAAGTTACAGTCTTGACACCTGTTGATTATGGTGATGCTACGCGTTGGACGTGCCGAACGAAACTGCTCGGGTAATTCCATTTACGTTACTCTGGTCGAGCCAGGCTAATCTATTCAGTCAGTCAGTCACTGTTGTTTCTTCCATCGGCATGACTATCACGCTGCATATATGAGAGGACTTTGGCACTCTTACTGATAAAGCAAGTACCGACTAGTGGTTATGACTGAGCTCTTCTTTATCGGGCTTCTACGCATGTGCAGTTGCTGTTTGGCAGGCTGAAGGTATAACTCTTAAGGTAGTCCTTGATCGTTTTTATTAATTTTTATTTTATTTATGTACATCAGGAATTGCATCCCTTACTATTAATACCACCTGGTGCGACTACTTTGTCATTGATTCGTCGCAAGACCCCCCCTTATTCGACCATATGACCAGCACCAAGAGAACTTGGGCTCATGTCAGTTTGTTGACAAATAAATAAATAAATAAATAATTCGAGATGATTCATCAGGATGAATGGATTATCTATGATCGATAATGTGATCAGTATCCAGTCGCCTTTCGGAAACTAAGAAATTTTATGCTCTCTCTACTGGCACCGGCGGTGGACGTAGCATTGACCTTGTTGCTGTGGACAATTTTTGTGATACAAGGTGAGCAATGTGAGATGATCGCTTCCATACGAATTCTCTGGTTCTGTCGTGATCGTCGGCACTCTCTACGCGAACCTGAAAAAACGATGGTTAGAATTATTAATGTTTCTTTTAACAGGCAGTGGACGTTATTGATCATTGGCGAACCTGTTTCGGCTGGAGAACGCGGATGGAATGCAACGTGGCAGCCCCGCCATGGAGTACCCGTAGACTCAGTTTACCAGACATTTCTGCCGTTGTTGCTGTTGCACTGCGCAATTCCTTCTTGGCTGCACGTCCAAATTCCTTCTCAACTTTGAGCACAAGAGGACCCAAACTGAATTTAGTTTTGATTGTTGTATGATCACTCATCATATTCACAGAAACGTCACCGGATCTTTGCAAAGAAGCTAGACCGTACAGAGTAGCTTTGGCTCTTGGTTTATTATTCTTCTTTGATTTTTTCTAGAAAGATTTAGGTCAATGGTTAAGAAATTGATTTTCATTCAGTGAATAACAACTGACTGGATAACAGATATTACCTTGTTGTTACTGGTCTTGGTCTTATTGGTACTCTTAGTCTTTGTTCGATTTTTGTTACCGCTAGTCTTTTTACTGTCTTTCTTGCTACTTGTAATCGTGCCACGACTCATTGAAGATTCTGAATTGAACTGTGTAGGAGAAATCGTTTCTGCCAGGTCAGAAGTTGTAGTTAATTCTAAAGCCATAGGTGTAGTGGCTTCGTTGTCTGGTAGCAAAGTTGTGGCTAGTGGACTGGTAGCTGTATCGACAGCCTTAAAAGTAAGAAAAGTGTTAAAAAAATATCAGACGAAGAATCTTATCTGCCACCATAACAAATATACCTTTAGTGCTGATTGACTAGGTTTTCCATTAGCTTCAGCAACACCAGTGGCACTTTTCTCAGATCCAATAGAGCTGGACTTCCTCTTTGCTTTGTTTTTGCTCTTCTTATTCTTTCCCTTTCCTTTGCCAGACTTAGTACTAGCATTAGGATTGGTAAGCTTGACAGTAACAGGATCATAATTGGTACGCAGGATCTTGTTGATCCTCCCAAGAATGTTGTCCACAAATCTGTTGTACTTGGCAACATAAATGGCAGGAACATGACTGCTGGGATCAGAATCCATGGCGCCTGAAATATATTGAATACCAGGGATTCCTATAAGTACCTCACCAGGACCCTTTGATGGTTCCCAAGGATGTTCTAGGTCCCCCATTACGAGACTGTCACGAGGAAACGTAACTTCCGGCATCGTTCACCAATGAAAATCTCTCTGTTCCCACCCTGAACTGGAAGTCTCATCCAAGCCAACGAGGAGAGCCTACTTACGGACAAGGAACAATGTTAACGGTATCTACCGGTCTACCGGAATCCTCACCAAACTGGTCCTGCGATCTGGGTCACGGCTCATTGCTTACAAACCCATCAACCCAGTCAGTGACCTACCTGGCAACCTGTTCATCTACTGGAATTAACTGACCGGACCAAAGACTCTCCCCGGCATTTAAACACCTGGATACTTTCTTCAGCTACAGTTCAAGATAACGACTTCACCAGGAAGTTCTAATACCCCAAGACCGGAAACGAAGCCCTGATCTTGAAGAAGGCTCTCTAACGGTCACTCGTTCAAACATTGCTCAAGGCTGGTATCCAATAATAATCTCAGTTACTAGCAACAGAGAGATAATCACAGTCAAAAAGAAATGCCACTACAAGACACGTACGCTTTGCCCATGGCCGGCGACTGGGTCAGGGTCGCGATGCCGGGTTTCTCGCGCGCCACGTCGCTCCGGGTCAATGACCCAGTTTCCCCGTACAGCTTCGTAACACTAGAAAGAAACCGCTAAAAATTCTGACCCCAATACTACAATGTTACCACATATCCACTCAAAATCTACTGAAAAAGGGCTGCTTTGGACCAGGTCCTTTACCCTTTTTTATTTTCATTGATATGCCATTTGCACGTGCAACACCCGGATGACCTTAGCCGTCACCATTACTTGTCAGGGTAAGACAACTTCCGTGGTACCACTTTCTACATCTGCCGTCCACGGAGCTCTTCTACTAGTCTACTTCTACTTTTATAGGGATCGAGGAAGCAGGGTGAGCCAATTGGGTCAGTGGTTCGGTGCAATCTACTATAACACCCATTGGTATGTCCTCAGGTATTCTACAAAGTACCGTCCACCTTTTTTACGTCAATGGTAAGAGCGTCTACTGTCCACCAGGTCCAATGTATCAACGTCCACCGTCTCTACCACGATTAGGTATTTATGATAGCGTGCAAGAAAAATGTCGAGGCTTTGAGCTACCAGGAACGTACGCTGGAGTAGATGTCGTAGTGACTATAAGCAATGGACATATCACGTCTACTGATAACAATAATAGGAACAGACTCAAGAGAGAAGATCCTCATGGATTGAATATAGAAAGCAATGCAACATGGAGCACGCGATATGCATGAAGATGTTACGAGAGAGAAGGTAGAACGGCACGTCACGCATTTTTTGACAGTTGGATTAATATTTAAAATATAAAAAATGCTTCACGCCTGGTTAGTCAGGGAGACTATGTTTATATCCGCGTTAAATAAATATCAACACAATTTTGTAAAAACAATAAATTATCTATATTTATATATATATGTATAAAGTTCAGATCAGACAATGTCTCTGTACAGTTTGTGGTTTGTGTCTTTCTCTTTTTTCATTTTCTCGTGCTCTTTCTTTAACTCTTTACACGGAATTATTTTCATTATCTGTTAGCTTCCGTCCAATGGACACGAATTTACATTTGTCGGCTAATTGTCACGGTCGAGTCACTTTCTTGTTTCTTTGATTTTTCTTTTCACTCATTTTATACACTTCAATTTTTTCCTCTCTCTCTCTTTCTCTCTTTGACGCTCATTAACACAGTCCTTTATCCCACTCAAGCATACGCCATATCACAAGCCAACAGCCACTCCGGGTACATGCATACAAAAACGTCCATTTACTTTTTAACTATTTTCATTCTATCGTATATGTTCATCCGTGTCCATATTGACTTGAAGGAAGCATTTACCGTCGCAATAAGTCTGTCTTCTGTCCATACAATTGAGTGAAGACGTATGATGGGTCGATGATAATTCCGCAAGAGAGTACGTGACGTGTCGTCACAGGAAAAGAAAAAAAAAGGCGAAAATTTTTTTCTTTCTACCGCGTTACAACGTCACGTTAACCATTTTGATTTTCATTGTAATAAAAACAGCTAACATAAGAGTACGTGCGTATCGCGATGAACGTTTACAAAAATAGCATTAGATTAGCGTATAATTATAATTTGATTCCGTCAACTTAAAACCTTTCTCTTGCGTGTACAATGATAAATTGTTTATCTGCTTCGAACGACAAGAGGATAAGCACGTACGCGTTATGTTGCTTTGAAAATCTCTCTCTCACCCTTACAGCATATATGCGTATGAAAGCTATAGAGACTGGAGTACAGATGAACCATGCCAGAGATAATGTAACTCATTAAATAAACGCGTGCGCGTCAATAAATAGAAATAAATACTAAGTCACTTAACGAAGAAGATTGAAGTTTGAAGAATAAGATGAAGTAGAGGTAAGAGAAGATAAATGAAAAGTAGATACGCTAAATGTATACAAAAAGCGGTGAGCGCTTAGAAAGTGTCTGTGAGCGTGAAAAGTAAGGCCAATAATATACTTAGGTAGGGTAAGAAAAGAGAAGGATAAATAATTAAGGATCTTTTAGATTCGTAGAATCTGCCCACCGTCACGAGACTTTTCTCTCCCGAGGGCCCGTTGCTGACTCTATCAAGAGGATCGGATCAAGATCGGCTGCTTTGACCCACAGCCGATCGAACGATCCCCAGGATAACGCTCAGCCTCGACACAAGAACGGACACTCCCGTATGACTAAGGAAAGCAACTCGCTACGGTGCCTTGAGATAAAATCCTGGCCGAATTCACAAAGGATCTTCGTCGGTTAATTTGACTGATGGATCATTGAGATGAAATCCTCGAGGATGGGTTTTATCCAGTGTGAATCCAACCGGGACTCTTTCTAAGCGTGATCTACTGTTTCGCTGAGGATGATGCCGCTGACGTTTTGCGTGCGTGCTTACGACTCGTATGAGGGTTAGTGTGTTTCTTGCCCTTGGCCTTGAACTCACGTGCTCGACGAGCGTCGGCGATGTCGGCAATGCCGTCGTCGTCGTCGTCATCGTCATCGTCATCGTCATCGTCATCGTCGTCGTCGTCGTCGTCACCGGTGATGTCAAGATCGACGTCGTCGTCGTCGTCATCGTCGTCGTCATCGTCCTCGTCGCTGCTTGCTGCCTCGGCTGCCTGCACGACTGGAGTCTGCACGGAATTGACTACGGATTCAGCACCTTCGAGGCCACCGTCCACAGCGGATGCTGCTTGCTCTTCTGGGGGGGCGTCATCCGTTGCCAGAGTATCTGCACTGTTCACGTCCTCGTCCTCCTCCTCGTAGGTATTGTTATCCACATCGGAAGCACTGTCTACTGCGGATTCTCCAAGAGAATCTAGATCGGCCTGAACTGCTGCTGGAATTGCTGCTGGAGATGCGACTGGGTTAATTGCTGGGGCTGCTGGAGCTGCTGGGGCTGCTGCTACGACCGGCTGGACCGCTGGAGTATCGTCGTCGTCTTCATCATCGTCGTCGTCACCTAGTGAGGAATAACGAGTGAAGAAGTTGAAAACGGTTTAACGTTACGTAGGTTCAGGTAGGACGGGTTATGAATAACGGGAAGTGCATACACCTTGAGCTGGGTTATACGAGCGGGAACCTGGTGCGTGCAAAGTGGTAATTGTCTCGTAAAAAGGTGACTGAAAGGATCCTGGGAATTTTTAGTCATTGCGATATCCTGGTTTCTTGATGAGTGAATATATGTATGTGTTCATGTGTATATATACACATAACCACCCATGCGACATCGTTTGCGATCGACAGAATGTGGGTCGATGAAAAGAAGTAGCGCGTAGAAATTCCTCGCGCTTGGAGAAGGAGAGGCAGAGAAGAGTAGGAAGAGGTAGAACTCAGTGCTAGGAGGTGGTCGATTATGTTAATTCGGGCGGAGTAAAGCTTTGCTTACCGTTAGTTCCATCGGGAGGTGTAATGGAGCACACCAGGTTACTGGATGATTTATTCCTCCTACTCTCTTACCATACTCTATGGAACTAACGGTGAGTATGCTGATTTGCCAAGTCGCTCTTTTACCCAGGACATGGAATTTTCCAGGAAGTCAAATACCTATGTGAAATATATAAATTCACCTCCGATTATGTCCTCGATGAACCGTTCCAGGTAATCGCCGTCGTCGTCGTCGTCATCCTCTTCCTCGTCATCGTCGTCATCGTCATCATCGTCTCCGGTAATGTCTAAGTCGACATCGTCGTCGTCGTCGTCGTCGTCGTCGTCATCGTCGCTTGATTCCACAGGCTGTGCTGGTGCTTGTCTACCCGTCGCTTTAACGTCATCCGATGCTACCTTCACATCCTCTACTGGGTGAGGAACAGGCGAGGCCAAGACGCTCACTGCCAAACAGCACAGCAGTGCCAGCACCGCCACCAGTTTCATGGCTCTGCAACCCCAATAAGACAATTAATTGAAACAGAAGAAACGTATGTTATAGGATTTTGAAAAAAAATTATATTAAAAAAAACGTCCACGCCCGCATACTATTTCCTCCAGGACAACAAGACTTCGCGAAAGACTCATTCAAACAGCACACTCGCGCACGCGTGGTACGTTACCGCTTCCGAAAGTGAATTGAAATCAATGTAAAAAAAGATTAGGATCTGAAGTCTTCCCTTATCAGTTAACTAGATCCTTCATTGTTACACAAATATTATTCAAATGATTATCTTTTTCTAAAAAGGCACTTTTCTCACAAAATTTATTTCTCTATGTAGCTCTACGACGTTTTCTCTTTCTTCGCACGTTTTACACACTCGACGTTGGACGTTGACAGTCGTCAGGATGATCCTGAACACGGATACCGTAGATCACCGGTAGATGAACTCACCTATCGTCTTTTAGCTCTTTCTATTAAATCTCTCCCGACACTCTCGTCGGCAGAAGGAAGCGGTTAATCTGAAGATGGGGATCGCGCTCGATAGCGGGATGCGTCGACCGACGAGGTGAGAGTGTGAAACAGACGAAGCGTCCAACAACGACGCTTTTATAGTAGACGCCTCCACCTCCGCCATTCTATTCCGTCCTCCTTCATCCTCTTTTATCCTCCTTCGTCCTCCACGTGGACTGAGACACTTTATCCCTTTCGAGAACTCGACGAGAGCGAGATCAGACTACTCACGCTTCTTTCTCACCTCACCTTTTGATCATCTTCTACGCCCTCTTCGTATCTTCACTCGATGACATCTTCGTGACGCCCAGCATACTTCAACATAGTTCATACAATTCTGTTTACTCGAAAATTTATAATTACTCAAATACCTGTTAGCGTGTTATCTTCAAACCTTATTTATACATGAAATCAAAATGATTATCACTCCAAGCCAGATTTCATTTAGCGTTTCTGGTTAAATGAAAATATTTTGAATTTTCAGAAATTCACATCAACTGCAAATGGCCGACCGTTATGATTACAATTTTACTGCATCCGTTAATATGCACCTTCCGTAAGTGGTACCGTTTCGTCGCAATTATCGTTGTAATCAGAAGTAAATGCAACACCATCTGTAACATTTATCATTACCGTTGTATCCCATTATCATTTATCTGTTTATTATCGTTATCACCATTAAACAGGATCGATGCAGTAAGAAGACCTCGCACTGCACATGACTCTCCTTGGCATTCGTACAGTATCCCCAGGATGTATCCCACGGGTAAATAAATCTAGCACATGCAAAATTTCCCTTCGACAGTCCCAAGAGAAAGTGTCGACAATTATTTGTACGTTAATTCTCTCGTTCGAACAGGACCGGACGAAACTTCAGACGAAGATTAAGGTTACTCTTTCCCAGCTGCTTCCTCCTGTCTGACACAAGAAAGATTTGACATTTTCATCAGGATGGTCTTACTAATCGTTACCTAAATTTTTTTTCGGTTGAGCATCCATACTATTTTAGCCTCTATAATACTACTCGTAATTCTCGGCTCTCGATCGACGCAGAATATGGGATTTGGTGTCACTATGTGGCTGAGAAGTAGTCCGCGCCTTCGCGTCGTCAGGAATTAGTATTCAGGATGTGAATCCGAGACTGACGGTTGCCGCACTACGTTTTCGTGTATACGAAGATCCTATACGCACGCGTCGGCATTCTTACCCCGTGCTGTTCCTTTGCGTATACTTCATTCATTATTCATTGGATATTAGGTGGGGATCCTCGTTGCCCCCAAATTCGCCATTTGTCCAATCCTCTTTTTCGACTTCCTCAGCATACTTCATGTAGATCATTCAATGTAACCCTACTCCGCAGTGGAGAATTGTCTAGGAGTATTAAATGCACTTTCTTGTGTTCATCTTCGAGCAACCTTGAACCTCTTGATGAGTCTAGGTCTAGGTCTGGGATTCTGGGTGGGAATACCTTACGAAGAAAAGAAAGGTAAGGACTTTAGAATGTTATAGGTAGGATCATTTTATACCTTGATTTTCTCATTTAGGATAACGTACTGGTTTCGTCTTCTTCTTCAAAATTTCTGTATGCTCCTAGTGACTGATAGAATTCATTGAATGAATTTATAATCCTTGTTATTGATTTCTTTGGATAATTAAAAAGTGAATATGAGAAATTGATTGATCAGGATAAACATAATGGCGTCTTACACTGGGTAACTGCTCGTGTTACGTTCCCGATAATTATCTACAGAGCCTTTCCTTCCGTCGACTAAATACCGACGTATTTTGCGTGGTTTTAGAAAGCTTAGATTATATGAGGATGACGCTACTGCGTGATTCTGTAAAGAAACAGATTTTTTTACCACGACTGACTGTCAGATATGACATTTTGTTAACTAGGTTTAAAAAATAACATTTTTTTAATCCGTTAACTACACCTAGCAAGTTTGTCTCTGATACAAATTGTATAATACATTCTTGTTAAGGTGGAGATGCATAGCGATAGATATTATTGAATATCTAATGTTTCCTTCCCTCTCTTAACTTTTCCCATACCTACTACTTACCACCATTATTATAGCTACTTGTTTAACGTTTATGCGTCACCGGCCTGATTAACTCTGAGACAGTGAAGAACATTTGCCACACGACAAGAACGTCGTGGAATATTGTTGAGTGAGTTTGATATTTCCTTATTACATCTCTATTTACTGCTGGTTTACCTGGTGTCACTTGAGTGATAGAATTTTTGATATCTCCAAAAAACACCTGCGATAATACGGAACGATTTAACATTATTTCATGTACCATTAAGATAAATTTTGAAAATATAAAAATCAACGATTCATATGTCATAATGTTAACGTTTATTTTGAAAAGAATTTGTCAGGGGTGTTTTTGATTTGATTAATTAGAGACCTACATTACCTACATTTCTAACTTTAATCTTTGTGTAAATAACAGAAAAAGTTTTTGAACCAGTATCTAGTACTGTGCTGGCTGTATATACTTGGGACATAAAATGAACCAAGGTGATTTTCGTTTGTGAATGGTTTTAGATGTTTAAGAAAAGGCTGCTATTATGTTTATAGATTTATTCTTGGTCATTTGCTGCTTGCTTGTGAACGCAAACACTGAGGATATGGCAGCTGCTCCAGAATCCTTAGCGCAGGATGCATTCAAGAATGCATCGGAAGCTTGTAACAAATTCTCCAACACGTTTTATAAAGTACGGATACGAAGGTGTTTAAGTTTTATTGTTAATTTAATTACATAAATCTTTGTAGGCCTTAGTAACCGATGCAAGTGGGAATCTGGCAAGTTCTCCTTTGAGCTTACATATCGTCTTATCTCTACTATCACATGGTGCTTCTGGCATGACAGCTGAACAATTAAAAGCTGCTTTGCATTTAGCTGGGGTCGACCACCCAGTTCATGGTGAAATATCATTGTTACTGGATACTTTGAAAGTAAGATATCACAATCTTATAATGATTTTTATTACTGATGAATGTATATGTATATCTTTCAGGCTCTCAGCAAAGTAGAACTCAGCTTGGCAAACACAATATTTATTCATAATAATATCTCGTTGTTACCAGAATTTAAATTAATAAGCACAAATTCTTTTAAAGCCACTGTGCCAAAAGTCGATTTTGAAGACAGTGCTGGTGCAACTCAGCAAATAAATGCATGGGTAGAGGAGAATACAAAGAATAAAATTAAAGACTGTATATCTGCAGGTAACACTATAAAAAAGGAAATAGGATTTTGTATCTCAGAACTCTGTTAACTAATATTCCCATTTGATAGGCTCAATCAAGGATGACACTAAAGTGATTTTGGTAAATGCAATTTACTTTAAGGGCAACTGGGCCGATAAATTCAATCCAGATTTTACAACAGACAGACCATTTTACGTTACACAGAACCAAAAGAAGTTGGTTCCTACAATGTTCAAGAAAACAAAATATCCTCGTGGAAAGATTGAAAGCCTTAATGTGGAAGTTGTGGAAATTCCATATGTGGTACGTAGGGGAATAATCATAATAACAATATACCCGTACAACAATTATAAATATTCTTCATATAGAACACTGATCTGGATCTATTGATAATATTACCAAACGAGCGAGAGGGTCTAGAATATCTTGAAAATAATTTCGATTGGGACACCATCGCAACTGCACGAAGATTTCCTAACGATGTCGAAATCTACTTGCCAAAATTCAAGCTCGAAGTGACCTCTGATCTGGAGCAAACTCTTCGCAAGGTGAACTATAATTAAGTACAAAATCCACAACAAGAACTGTCCAGGTTCAATAACTGATTAATCAATAAAACAAAAATTACAGATTGGTTTACACTTGATATTCGAAGACCTTGCTGATTTCAGTAGCATGACAGCAATGCCTCTAAAAGTTAGTAGCGTCATTCAAAAAGTCTTTGTGGAGATCAATGAGGAAGGTTCTGAAGCTGCTGCAACAACAGGTATGTCATTCATGAGTTTTTCTATCAAGATTTTTTATTAAAAAATATCTTATTTCAGTCGTTCAAATGCGATTGCGAAGAATGATTAATGAATCATCAGAATTCCTGGTGGACCATCCCTTCATGTTTGTTATCCGTCACAAACCCACTAATATTCCACTATTTATTGGCCGCGTAAAGGATTTTGACGTGCCAATCTCAAGAGATGAATTATAAACAAGGCACCAAATAACAAAAAGAGAAAAGAACAATGAATAATAAAAGAAATAGTTTATTAAATATGACAATGCTTACAACTGAACGCTGAAACGTAGGTATTTTAACATGAAAATGAATATAGAAATAAATTTTTCCTAACAGCGTGCGCAAAATTCGATTTGCAAAGTGCCTCATTCCCGCACTGTCAAACGCGTGTGCAAAATCGAATTTTACGCCGCTTGTTAAGAAAATAACATTATAATACACGTGCGCATAGGTGTTTCCCGCACTCGTTTGTTGTCACCCTCGCTACGCTCGGGCGACAAACCCGACTCTTGCGGGAATCACCTACTTTGCGCACTTGTATCGTAATGTACTATTTCTTATCTCGCAATCCGAGTAACACAGCTTATTTTTATAATGTTTGGTATAAAAACTATTTTGGAATACACATTCATATCTTTAATAGCCTTTATATTTCAGACAGGAACCCTCAGGTTTTGCCTGCTTTTGTTACTTTCTTTGGCTGTGCAGTTGACTGTTTCTTTTTTCGTTTTGACGCAGCCTCTTCTAACGGATAAATATCCTTTAGCTCGTCAATCATTTGCTTAACATTTTTTTTGTACCACTCATCGTCTGGCACAACTGGGAACAATGAAATGCACAATAAAATATATATATGTATATTATACTTATGTGATCGCACTTTAATAAAATATATTTACTCACGAGTTTCATCTTTTGGTTTCTTTGGATCTTCCCGGTCCAAAGCCAATGCCTCGATATTCGCCAGCAGCACTTGCAGTTTTGGATTTTGGCACAGAAGTGTATCGCGATTTTGAAACGCCTTCTTCAGGATATCTTGCCAAATAGATTTACCATCTTCATCCACAGGAAATGGAGGATCATTGTAGATGAAATTGGCTAAGTGTTCATTCAAATCTCGGACATGTTCTAAAGATAAAAAAACAAGTGAAACTACTAGAAAAACATTATAGGTGATCTCTAATGATTTTTTAATGACAAACCAAGAAATGGAATTTGCCACATGTAGAAACCACCATTCTCAATATTTGGTATTAAAGAGAATAAATTTAATTTCCCACCCTGACGTTGTACGACAGAGCAAATAGCCATCAGATTTTTTGAATGGCATTTATTCAAAATCGATGCAAATACAAGCTTCTTGTCTGAAACACGTTTGGAAAGTTATGATTCATTTTTGAAAATACAAATAATGAGGATGATTATTACCTTTCAATTTCTCTCTACAGGTAATATATTTTGGTGCTGATAGGTGATGTATCGGATCTATCTTCAATGGTTTAAAGCAAATTAATTCTATTCTTTTATTACCCGTACTCTCCAGTTCACGCAGTTCGAGAGCAGAAAAAACAATTTTTTGTTGTCCATACTCTTGGTACTTGAATACATCGGAGGATGTATAATTATCAACAATGGTATCGTCGTCGTCGTCATCATCCTATAAATATTTTTTAAATGAAATTACTAGAGTATGCTAATATCCTTTTCATAAATAAAGAAACTAACATCGCTATGGAAACTCATTGGTGCAAAATATGTTGATGACTGCAAGATCTCATTGTCAGCTTTATTCATTTTCACCTGCTTTGGATATTTTGGTTTTCTATAAAGACAACATTAAATATTTGAATTCCGGATAGTTCAATATCAAAAAACCACTTTTTAATATTATCATGCTTACGTTGAGACACTGCGTATTGATACAGATATTTCTAATGATCCAATTCGCCAGGGTAATGTTGATACAGCTTTCGATGGTCTAACAATACATTCCTCTAAATCCTCTATACATATCCGATTATATTCATCATCAGAGAGAGATCCCGCAAGCATCTCTAGTTCTTTATAGAAAAGATCTGGATTCCATGTCTTTCCCAATCCTACTACATTCAATTTTACACCAACATCATGATAACTTGCAGCTTTAAGTCTGATTCTATGTCTTTCACTTTGATCCGTAGCAAGAGGATTATCCTGACAGGTCAACAAAATAACTTTTGATATATATATTGATTTTTTTGCCTTATCAATCATCAGAGTAGCATTCCACAGAGCGTCGTGTAAAGGATAATCAGAGCCACTACCAATGTATTCAGAAATATCACAATTTTCAATCTCTTTGAAATGATCGATAGAGATTTTCTCAAATTTTTTCAGAACAAATATACTTTTTTGCTGTAATTCTGGATCTGACTTACTCGAGCCAAACAAGATTATACCCATGTAATCTGCTTTGTTCCATGACATTTTCTGTGCCATTATATTTTTATATACCTATAAATATACAAGTTAAATAATATTTCATCTTTTAATCTCAACCAAGGTTTTACCTTGAGACATTCATCAATGTACGAATGATTGCAGTTGGGATCTTTATGCAGCATCGATTGAGTTGCATCAATTAAAAATAATATACCTTCACGAGCGTCATAATACACCTTCTTATCATTTTCTGGTTCATCATAGAGATTGATCACAATTTGTTCAGACATTCTAAAATATATAAATACCGGTTGAATATCAATAAAAATATTTTATAAAAATTAATTTTAATATCCCATATCGAAAATTAAAAAAAATAAATAGAACCATCTCCAATTTCATTACCTTCCAATATATTATATATTCAATATTCTTTGTAACAGAAGAAGAACAAAGCATCAAATCTAACTTTGATATAAAATAAGGTGTTCTATACCCGGAAGTTTAATTGCCATTTACTGCGTTCAGCAGACACATCCGATTAGTCAAATCTAAAATTATGAAAGATTAAAGATCGATTGATATAAATAGATGCGACTGCTAATTTAGTGCTATTTTCCGCAAAAATATTCTACGACACCAATCAATTATCAAAAAAAAAACAGAAATAATGCCAAAGGAACAAGAGTATTTATAATTAATTATTCGATCAAAAATGTTACAATGTAAGAACATATTTCGTATTTGAACCAGAGATGAGTAGGTTATATGTTTTCTGTGGAACGTATCAACGGCATAAAAATAGACACGACTGTATAATATAATAAAATGTATATAGTATAATATAATCATGCATTTGCTACATTCCAAGTTAATTAATAGATTCAATAAGCATTGTTCATGAATAAAAAAAAATTAATAATAATCGGGTCTCGAACCCGAGACTCTCGCACGTTGACTCGTTACCATGCACGTATGATATTTAGTTGCCGTGACGTATAGATTGGGAAAGCTGTATTTCAGTTGTTATACACATTTGGAGTTTGCTTAGAGTAGTCTGATATATACGCTTGACCAATCACAAACGTGGGTATGGTTCGAGGCATCTCCGTCCAGGTGACGCGTCGACAATAGAAAACACACGCTTTACAGTGCCACCCGGTATAATCCATGCGTCTCACGGAGCTCACGAATATCACGCGTAGTATATCTATATATACTCGACCAATCAAAAACGTGGGTATGGTTCGACGGCCCACCGCTCAGGTGGCGCGTTTACTCTAAAATAAAATTGGTTTCAAGAATATCGGCCCATTGGCAATCTCCCTACTCATCTCTGTTTGAACCATAATTGCTGTTATTAAATTTCAGCCAGTTGCATCGATTGATTTCGACTATTGACAAAAATCAATCGATGTCATTAGCTGAATTTAATAACTACCTGCGATTCAATTACGGAATATACATACCCTAAAATTAACCCAATTGGATGCGTTTACTCGCTCAGCGATAGTTGACTATTGGTTAGCTTTAGCAGAATAGACGAATGGTCTTGTGTTTTTGCGCAATTGAAGTTGGATAGAGGTAGGAAAAGATGTACCACAGGTATTAAGTGTACCGACTTGGGACTTAAATAAGAAAAAAACCACTTTTCTTCAGAGGATCCAAATCCAAAAAGGGAAGTAAGAGGAATAATCCATATTGTTTATTAACGAAACTAAAACGTATAAATCAAATGAAATCTATCTATAGCTTCATCCACTATTGTTCACTATTTCCACATAGCTTCGCGATTAACCATGTACTTCCAGTAATCTTTTGATATCCTATAGAAGTGAACATTTTTTCTGAAGATGTATTTCCCACAAGAATACTAAGTACAGAATCGAATCCTTGTTTCCCCAAGCATTTGGCCACAGCTAATGAAACTAATTTCGCATATCCACGACGCATATAATCTTTTCGGGTTTGTACCGCTGCCAACGCGTGGAAATCGTTTACCAAAGCCCAGGAAACGAGAGTATCATCCTCCTTCAAGCAAAGACCGAGACACTCATCATTGAATATAACAAGATTCTTCAGATAATTCAAGGTCGTCTCTGGATTTCTTTCGTCACGATGAGGCCACTGACTATGGATGTAGGCGACGTCAGATTCCTTTAGTGGTCGCAGATAACATTCGTCAGGAACTCTGTATTTGGAAAAATTATTTTTTATAAATTATTTCAGATTTCGCGTCGATGGTACTTACCGAATTTCAGCCGCAGCAGCATCCTTGGCGCTCTTGTAATAATAATTCCCTACAATTCTTTCTAATATTTCCGCTCCCCTTGATTCCTTTAGATCTGACAGAAGACCAATGAGATATGGTAGTATATCATCCAAAACGAATGCGAAATATATTATCTTGCCGAAATCTAATCGACGGGTTTCCCTGAGAGCTTTGCGCAAAATTTCGCCCTGAGACTTGAATGCAAATACCACGACGTTATAGAGGGAATGCTGAAATACTTAATATATGTAGGATGATGCATTTATTTAACTTTTTTAAAAATTTTATATTAAACTCAAAAACTCACATCGAATATTCCAACAAATGTACCACTGTTGTATTTTCCGTGAGGACAGTAAATTTGCAGATTCACTTGTGGGTCCTTAGTCTTCCAGATAATTGCATTGCTGATCCAATTACAGTACTGCAAATAACGTTAAGATTTACAATTATATTTTTCTTACACAATAGCAAGTCATTGAACTTACAGATGTGTATGCGGGAGATTCTAGTTTAATAATATCTCGAAGAAGAGGCCATTCCTCCAGAGGAAGAGGGTTCAAGATGTCAGACATGGCTATTACTAATTGAAAATGAAGTTCATTGCTCATACGCTATGCTCTTCATGAAGATTGTGAATATTTTATCTCGTATATAATCGATGGAGATAACAGTATCTATTTCTCCTACAAATACCGATTATCTCAACCAAATACAGTTACCCTGAAGGTAGAGTTCCATTGGTAAAACTACTTTTAACCGAACACCAGTTATATCTCAATGAATGTTCTTTTTTTATTTATACTTTAACACACTCGTGTCTTACCTATGACTTTATAAAATGCTTCGGGTCTGATTTATAACATCTCACCTCGATGCTCTTTGCCCATTGGTCGTGGCCTGCTATCTTTGGTTCATAATGCGCATAAGCTGTAAATGAAACATAAGTGTGTCGGACAACATTTAGTTCAACGCATATCTAGAGCGTATTTTCAACTGCCTAAAATGATTCTAATGTACATACATGTATCTTATCGAGCAAATATGTTTGTTCACATTTATCTAACTTCACAGTCACTGCCTATATCTCCAACTATATGCTACTTAATTTCTTCTAAATTTGATAACAAAAAATATACACCATGACGTCTCCACAGCTTTGTCGGAGTAATCTACTCGTTGGGATACTGAGGAATTTGACCAATGAGAAGTCTAAATGTCCTGAAATTGCAGCTCGTACGACTAATTGGACAAAACTGTGAAGGCACTGTTCATAATAGTACAGAATGTAGTAATTAGCACGTGGCTTTACAAGGAAATTATTATGTATGAATTTCTATAATAATTAACAAAGATTTAATAAGTCAATCAGGACACGTCAGACTTTTTCTTAACTGGTACTCTTAACTCTGCACCAGGTGGTCGATAATTTCCTGAGAACGGTTGGTTGTTGATAGCCACTTGTCTATAATACTGTTGAATTCTGCTCTCAGGACTGAAAGACGCTGGCGCCTCGTTGTGCACTGAAAGTTATATCCAAGTGAATTATAGTGATCAACTATACTCAAATATATCAACTATACTCATATATATGTATATGAATCAGCTCTAACCAAATATATGTATTATTATCCATAGCCAAAGAGCAAGACCTATATGAAACAATGTCCATCCTAGAATAGATTTCCATTCTCCCATAGAAGCTTCAATCTCTGCGAAAGTCTGACAAAAACTTGATCTGTACAGACACTTTTTCTCAGCAATGCTCAACTTACGCCAATCCCCTCGTTCCTTTTCGCGAAGTGCCTAAATTTTAATGGTAATTATGAAGGGGCCTATAATCGTGACAAATATTATAAATAATTCATATCTCCTCAGGTACCATTAGCTCAGGAGTTGAACGACGAAATCGTATAGCAGGAAATGGAAAATCCACTCTGTCAAGATAGCTGTATGTTCCATTCATTCCAAAGCCAACTACTTCTCTGTTGCCAATTCTAGACGTCCCATATATTCCAACTTTCTGCATTCTCATCCATGACTGAGAAACTCGATGGCAGAGTAATGTTGATATGCGTCTTGAATTATTTTGCATGCTGACCTTCTTTTCCTGATTCAGACTAAAGGCTTTTGGCGAATGGAACTTTGATGACTTTGCATTTCATAGGAGCATTTAGATAAATATTCCAGTGTTCTGACCATTGACAGGATTTTTTGTAGCATGTAAAACATAAGAACGATAGAGCATTCCATTGTTTTTTATATTTAAATGTAACTTTAATATCTACTCCGTTGAGATCATCCATGTTTTTGGCTTGAGGAGTCTGAAGACACATAAGGTGCGTTCCACTTATACCCGCAACGCTCCCAACATCGTTGTGTCTTTAAATATTAAATGTATTGGATACAGAAACAACGATGTTGCAAGCGTTGCGGGCGATAAGTGGAACGCACTCATAATGATAATTAGGCCTAATCGTGCTGCAGTTGTTCATCTATGTTTAATCCGGAGAATTATGAATTATCTTCTACAACCGAAGAAGAATCGAACCGAAGAATCATTTTCTTCCTTTCCTTATGGCTGCCTCCTCCAGTGGGGGGATATTTGCCACAGTAACTGGTTTTAGGATCAATCAGGATCAATGCGGATGCTGGAGATGAAACAGGAAATATGTAAAATTGTGAAGACAAAAATACCTATAATAAAAATGAGCCTTTTGGGTCATCATTAGTAGTTCTAATTTATGCCACTCTTGGCGTATGCGTGTCAAGATCCACATTGTCACGTGATTGTTGCCTGTCATTCGTATTCGTCGAGTTTGAGATTCAAGAATAGAATTCTAGGGAAGAAATTCGTCTCCTCCGTAATATTAATTCATGGTTTTTATGTCATGTACATCTATATGGTTCAAATGTATGGATCACTAATAATCTAGATATCAACATGTCTACTCTTGTTCGATGTTAAGTTTAAAGGATTATTTGGGCTGGTTTGATTCTATTCTTGTTCGTTGACACTCAGGAAAAATGTCGAAAATGAACTCAAAGGATAAAGACAACAAGACATTGCATGATAAACTCAGACAATTCTTTCGCATTAATAAGGGTAATTACGGCTATTTAATTATACATCTATCATCCTGCTCTTTACAGTATTGCTTGCTGTCTGCTCTTGATTTTGTGAAAACTAATGTCTCTTGTAGGTCTCATTGCTTTTGTTCTCTAAGCAATGCTACTGTGAATTGTATTATGGAATGTTTAAGACAGTAGATTTGGGAGTATGATTTTGACAATTTTTGTACAGGTAACTACAAAAGTAGAGAAGACTTTACTTTGACTCATGATATTGAGAAAGAGATAAGTCCTGACAGTCCAGTACATCATCGTACAAAAGCTATCAAAGACCTTTGCGATGCTGTTCTTAACCATCAATGGGAAGATGTATGTATGGAGCAGAACAAAATTTTAATAAATTATAGAATACAATACTTACAATTGATCTACTCATTACAGAGAGCTCCAGAAAGATTATGGAATTTAGTGCAAGATCTATTGGGAAAGGATGTACCTAAAGAACACAGACATGTAACATTAAATTTCTTACGTTGTCTTGTACAGGGTCAATATACCAAGCTGTCATCTTTGATGCGTGTAAAATTTTTCAATGTCGTCAAGGATCATGAAATTCCCGAGGATGTTGGTCCTAGGTAAATACAAAGAGAAATATCTCTCCGTCTCCTTATATATTATAAAATTCGCATTGCAGACTGGAACTTTTACAAAGTCTCACAGAAAATGGTAAAGACATAGTACATTTGGAAGAAAGGATTGGACCCTTCCTTCTGGAGTGGATGCCTGCAGTCACCAGTGGTGATGGTAAACGAGGAGCAGAGTTTCTCTCCTTGTTAGTTAACGTGATCAAATTCAACTCTGCGTACATAGATGACGACATTATATCTGGTTTTGTACAGTGAGTCTACGAATAACCTGTAATTTATACTGGTATCTTTAAAGATTTATTTACTACTTTATGATCTTCAGGTACATTTGTCACCTATGCTATTATAGCAATAGTACAGAAGTTGTCTCCGGGTGTCTAGAAGCTCTGGACTGTATTGTTTGCTATAGCAACTTACAACCTGACTCATTACAAACATTTATCATAGCATTATGTCGAAGTGTCAATGTAGAGACTTACTGTCAAATAAGTTGGAAGGTGATGACCGATAGCATCAATTGTACTATATCATTATCTTTAAATCATGAACATACATTAACTTTATCCACTACTTACAGATAATGCGCAAATTATTAGGAACACATATGGGCCACTCAGCTCTTTACACAATGTGCCGTCTCCTGCAAGATCAAAGCTTACAGCGTGACGTACGTCTCCTTCGTGGTGCTGTGTTTTATGTCAATATGGGTCTCTGGGGCACGCACAGAATACCCAAACTAGTTTGCACTCCTACCTCAGTTCTTCCATCCTTCTTTCAGGTAATGAAGATGAATTATTCTAATAGATAATTATTCAAATAGATTATCATACTGACTACTCATCATTTCTAAGGCTTTGCAATGCAATCATCCAATAGTCATGTATGAAGTAACATTATCAATTCAAAGACTGGTCAATAAATTTGGACTTGAGTTACAAGAGCCTACCTGGAGCATCATTTTGGATATACTAGAGGAAATCATTGCTCACATAGGTACAATTTCTCAGCAATATCCCTTTATCAACCATTACACTACTAGGGAGAGTTCTATGAACTTAATTTAAATTTTAGAAACAAGTAATCAGCCAGCATCCCGACAAGTCTCTGTCAGCTTACACGAGACGATTCACAGTGTAGAAAATCTATTAGAGGCTGGACAGTATAATGGATGCATTCAAAGGTTTTATGAACTTGTTGAGCGCTGTTCGGATTCCCGACCCGTAAGATACAAATCATATTCCCTGGAAGATTATTAGAAGTCGAACAACAGGAAGGACTGTGTCTATTCTTTCAGGAACTCTCGGTCTTACGGTTGATAGATTACAGAGCCAGTACAATCGATCCCACTCGGCATCTATGGCAGTCAAAACTTGCTAATTTGATGGAACGATACTTTAAAAATGAAACTCGAACAAATATTCGAGTAAAAGTTTTGGACGTCCTTACTAACGTTATTCAAGTGAACAGGTCGCGGTACGAAGATGAACTAATTGAGAGGATCGTCGTACCGTATTTGGTGCACGTTGACATGGATCCGGATATAACAATTCGTAACGTAGCTGCTTATTTACTTGTGGATTTGTGCATTGAGTGCGAGACCAAACGGTGCCTGGAACTCTTAGATATACTTGAGAAGGTTGAAGCGTTATCTTTATACTTTATATAATTTTTTCTAACGTTCTACTTTTATGTAGTATCTCATTCTTTTTACAGATCGTTAATAAACCATTCACATCGGATACACCGATATTAGTAGATGCCGATATTAAAGATGTGAAGACTGCTGTTACCGGTGTCATTAAATTATTGACTGTTAAGTTGTATCGATTGCCATCGAATCATGCAATTCGTGCTTATAAAGTTCTAGTGAATCATTTGGAGCAGCATTATAAAGAGCCTGCAGTATTTCGTGATGTGTCTACTATAAGGTACCTGGTGAGTAATAAAGTCTTGTAGAGGACACACTTGAGAATCACAGTAGACTGGATATCATTTATTAATTTCTAGATCTTTGAGTGTTTCCTCAAAATCAGGGCTAATGCACTGTATCATCTTGGATTTCCTGATTCTGCAAATGGTACTGTGAATCGATTCAGTCCTTATCTAGTATTGGAACATGCCCCAACGGAGAGGCTTAGTGGAGCAGGTACTGCTGGAGGTGGTGGAAGTAGTCCCCCTCCTGCTAGTCCAGCACCGTTACAACATGTATCTTGTCACATAACACACATGTCCCTGGCTCATGCATGCAAAGCTGTTGTCTCTTGTATCAAGCAGGAAAAAGGTTTGACTTTACTCTCAGGAGTACCGCAGAATATATTTGGAATTTTTAAAAAGTTATTTAAATAATTGCTTTTCTTATCAGACTGGAAGGTGCTGCAACTTATATTGAAGGAAATGCCTCAGGTCATGCAAAACAGGGCATTGATACTGTCCAGGCACAGCAACGACATTGATTACCTTGCAGCAGCTCTCTGCTCGATGGTCTGTTTGATTTATTATGATAGAGTGTGATAAATTTTAAGAATCATTCTTATTACATTTATTTCCTAGGTTAGCGATAAGACCTTGCGACTACCTGAGAGTCTCTATAACGTTCCACCAAAATTCACCATTTCTGAATTTCGCGTTTTCGTCTTTCCTGTCTTGGCATCCTTAGCCTCGTATCACGCGCATCTCGAACCAAATTTACAACAACGTTTGATCAAGTGCCTGGAGGTTTGTAGTTCAAGAGAGAATAATTTTATCTAGTAAATTTGTGACTTAATGATCTCTTAATTAGGTTGGTCTCACCACGAGATGTGCCAGTCAGTGCGTTACGAGTCTGACGACTTGTACTTTGGAAATGCGTGATGCCATGAATAAGTTGCTCAGTGAAGTATTACTGAATTTGTCCAAAATCTCAGCAACTGTTCACATCGCTATACCAATTCTTGAGTTTCTATCCAGTGAGTGTTGAGACGATTACTAAAATTCTTGATTAGTAACGAACCTAGTAGATACAATCATTTATTTCCAGCTCTTACAAGGCTACCAAAGGTCTTTGCCAGTTTTATTGGAGATCAGTATATGTCAGTATTTGCTATACTGTTACCTTACACAAATCCCTTTCGATATAATCATTACACAGTTTCCTTGGCACATCATGTTATCGCTGTGTGGTTCCTCAAATGTCGGCTTCCCTTTCGTAGGGATTTTGTTAAATTTATCACTACAGTAAGTATACCTCAACCTCGTTTATAATTTATATCAACTTTTATTTCACCAGGATTTCTTTTAAATAGGGTCTGAAAGCCAATGTTCTAATACCATTCGAAGAAGGACATTTGATGAAGCCTGACTTTAGCCTGATCAATGAGGATTCTTCAAACAGAAAGCGTAGCTCAAGTTTAACCGAACAGGTATCATATTAGAATCAGATTATGAACTAAATAAAATATTAATTAATTATTTATTTCATTAGGGTAGTCGAGGTCGTAGAGAAAGGCCATTAATAGCAAATCGTATGATCGGTGAAGGGAGGACAGTTGATCTGAAACCACCTATTGGTGACAGTTTGATGACATTTCACGTAGAACTTACTGAAACTTGTATAGATCTGATGGCTCGATATACATTCTCTACATATTCAGCACTACCCAGAAGGTAATTAATGCTTAATTGAATAATATAATCAGCCTATTAAATCGCGTATCTATACTAATTAAGAGCTCTTTAAACCTCTCATAGACTTCCAGCAGCAGATTTTCTACTGAAAGATGGTCAATCAATGACCTGGTTACTTGGTAACAGAGTTATCACCATTACTACCAGTGGGTGTAGTAACAAAGCTATGCGTGGTGGTGTCTGTGATAATTGCTGGGCTGCATGCAAACCTGGACCACCTTCACCGGATCATAAGGCAGCACCACAGTCTGGTCTCCGAAGAGCTTCCAGTACAGAGGTAAAAATTTAACAAAGGTAATAATTCTTTTAGTAGCTATGTTTATTACTAACCTATTGTATCATCAGGGGCCTAAGGCCGAGAGTAAACTCTCCAGACAATCCTCGATTGGTCACGTTAATTCAAATGCCAATACCGCTACAAACTCTCCAACCGAAGAAACAAAGAAACCATTAGAGGAATCAGAACCAGCTAAGCGAGAATTCATTACGGAAAAGACTGAAAAGGATTCTGCTGAGCCTTCAAAGCTTGAACAGATTCTAGGATGTGAAAAACAAGAGGATCATGTACCCTGCGCCTGCTGGTGTCAAGGATGGGCTGAGATTTATGTACGACGACCTACCGGCGATATGTCGTGGATTATGAGAATACAAAATTCCATGCAATTCGATAATCCTTTAGATTTTCCTGTCTACGATATAACTGCTCTGTATATGCCAACGTCACAGACGATGCTTCCTAATCGAAATCAGGAAGTCGTGGCTAGTAGCGCTGCTGCAGCTCCTACAGCTACTTATGAATATGTACCAGAAACTTTAGAGATGGTAAGAAGAACCTTGCGGAAAAACTCTGAATTAAAACAGGATAATATATGGTTAATTGAACGTCCTTAGGAACAACCGGAGAGGAATCTCGACCTGTCTCTAAACGACCAAACCATTCCCATGATGAAATCAAATATATCTTTAGGAGCATCAGGACCGATCGCCATCCCAGGATCACCAGCACGTCCTAGTCCTTCGCGACAGAGCTCACGAGACAGTCTGGAGAGTCTTGAGGAAGGCGAAGAAGGTTAATCATTTCCTGTACACCGATTACCATTGGATAATGAGAGTAATATTTGAACTGATCATTCAATAATTGTCACCAGACTCGCGACGATCTCGGAATCCTGTGCGCAGATCAAATTCCAGCCCAGAAATGAGTGCAAACTGGAAGAACCCTTTTCTTAATAAAGATAAGCTCATCTCCCAGCAGACTGACAGGGATCTCTCCTGCGCGGACTTCGCCGGTAAACTCGAGTCGGAGCTCAAGAAGCACGCGAAGAATACATATACTAAGGATATGAGGTACGTCCTTGGTTTACAATTCAGATATTTTATCTCGCCCTATTAAAAAACGTCTTAAACTCTGCATCTCAGAGTAAGCTGTGAGGCAATTCCTGAGGAAATATCAGGAATGGGAACGACACCGCCTTCGTGTGAAAATCCAGCGACCACAGCACCTGGTGATCATCCTACGTGTTTACGCTCCCAACGTTCCTATCCTGGTGCCGCACAGACGACGCAGACGACGACCATAGCTACAAGTAATACCGTACCACCATCACCAACGACAGCAGAGGTAACAATCAAATAAAATTATTTTTGTATTCTGTCATTAATGTATTTCGCACTTTCCACAGGCACCAGGAAATTTTTTGGGAGTTCAAGGACGAGGATTACAATTACAATCAATTGCTAATATGAAACCACCTCAATCCCCAACGCAAATGTACTCAAGGCTCACTAGTCTCGATTCTTCCCAAAAACAGACACCCTTAACCGTAGAGATGAAACCTCCCATTGGTAGAAATCATGGAGTAGACAAGGTATGATTATTCTTTTACAAAATTGAAATACAGTCTTCTAATTTCTCCTCTTTATGTGCAGAAGGATGAGAGACCAGATCCATCAAATTTACCGCCATTTTCTTTTCGCGATAGAGGACACACTATATCTGTAATGAGTCCCGTGAAGAAACCACATGGCGAATGGAACAATATTCGCCGTGGAAATTCACCAAGGGCGAAGGATCCTCCTAGAACTGGTATAAATCCTAGGTAAGACACAATAAATTATTAATTTCTAAAACAAACAAAGATCATCCAAAAAGCACAAAACGTTCGTCTTCACAGCTTTGTATTTTTACAACTTTATCATACGGCTCATTTTGGCACCACAACGGAGAAGCCTTTACTCGTATCCCAGACAGCAGCTACCCAAAGGACAGTGAAAAATCTGGACTCGATACCTCCGTACGAGACGCATAAGATCGGCGTAATTTATATTGGTCCTGGACAAGCATCCAACGAAGTCGAGATATTAGCAAATCAGCATGGTTCATTACGATACGCAGAATTTTTGCAACGCTTAGGAACCCTCATTAGACTTAAGGATGTCGATCCCCAGAGTGTCTTCCTGGGTGGATTGGACCGCAATGGTGAGAATGGAAATTTCGCGTATATCTGGCAGGACGACGTTATGCAGGTATATCGATTGATTAAAAAATTCTTTCAATTACACTCAGACAAATTAACGAGACTCATTTCTTTAGGTTATATTTCACGTGGCAACTTTGATGCCCACTAAAGAAAGTGATCCTCAGTGTACTGGCAAGAAGTTGCACATAGGGAACAACTACGTGAACATAGTTTACAACGAGAGCGGTGAACCCTATAATATTCAGACTGTCAAGGGACAATTCAATTATGCTTGTGTCGTAATACAACCATTGGATCATGGCACGAATCAAGTAACTGTTCAAGCAAGAGAGGAGCTCGCAGAACATATAGGACACAGTGAACCTAAAATTATTTCTGATCAAAATCTTGCCATTCTCTCTCGGCAGCTCGCACTTCACGCCAACGTAAGTACACCCATCAAATAGAAGATAGAGGAATCATTAAAAGGTTCACCAGAATGAATCTGAACTTGCACTGTTCGCAGCTCGCTTCTATGGTTTCGTCATCCCTGAAACAAAATGGACGCAATCCCTACGCATCGAATTGGCTTGAACGTCTAAGACATATAAAACGCTTAAGAAATAAAGTCCTGCAGGACTCGGCAAATAATAACCCTGAGGGTCAATCTGATGAGATATCACCAAGATTGAACAAAAGGGTACACATGGACGATTTCACGGAGTACACGACCTAATGGCAGACGGCATTCTCTAATACACGATTAAAGAAATCGCAAGACCCACGAGCACGGGAGACTGTACTAAAGAATATACTATTTGCTCGTTATCATTGAATCGTCTAAACTCATCCTTAAAGATAACCCAACTCCGACAATACACAGACCAGAGTCCTCCTCAATAAGGTATAGAAGAGAAACAGTCGTTGTTGTAGATGATTTTATTAGCAAAGCTAAACTGGTGTAATAAATAAGTCAGGATGGTCTTATAGATTAAGATTGGAATGGGCGTGCATCGAGCGGATTGATTTTTAAATCATGCGCCTCTTGTAAGCGTGATGGTACCGCCATAAGTAGGCGTAACACTTCGTAGCGGTCTAGACTCTGTCTGAAATTCAAATGAATCCTCAGGTTAGTCAAGAACCCTCTGGAGTTCCTGATCCCTCTTCCTCGTAGTCAGCGGAGTTCAAGGATGCCAAGGAAAGGAAAAATATAAGAAAAACAAACATAGCGTAAAAGAGCCGTCGTTCTGGAGCAACGTCGGCATCGAGAGATCAATAGAAAGGAGGCTGTGTCGTCCCGTCGCATAAGCTACACTAAAGGGACACCCATAAATCATCCGACTCGACACACACACATACACACGCGCGCGCGCATAGATAAATATCTTGAATTCTACAAATACTTTCTCCTCATTTCTTCTCTTTACTTTCATCTTCCATTGACACGTGTTTCCTATGTGCGCAATTCATACAATTTTTTTAAATTATCGTTATACCGTCCTGGGTGTTTATGGAGTCGTTCTAACAATTAAAAGCCATGAAATTATTTTTTTTTTCAGTCATTTCGCAATTACATTAACACGTATGACAATAACATAGCAGAAATATAGTAACAAACACCGGATACACCCATGTGACGGTATCAAATTTAATCAATAAATATAAACGTGACGCTAGTATACCTATATATGTGCCTGTATACAGGGTGTTCCGAAACTACCTGACCCGGTGGGTATGGCGGTGTTCGGGAGGCTTCACTGATCACGAAAATGACCTTCTTTTTGTCCGGAAGGTCATAGTTTTTAAATGGGAGCAGGTCAAAGTTGACCAATCAGAGGGAGGCGTCAAGAGAAACGTAGGCACCTGCGAACTCTGAGTTTTCTTCCCTCGCTTTTCTTTCTCGGTGGCTTCGGGCAGGATGACGTCAGCCGAAGACATGCCTATGGGAAACAAGAAACAAGCGACCGAGAAACAAAAGCGAGGGAAGAAAACTCAGAGTTCGTAGGTGCCTACGTTTCTCTTGACGCCTCGTTCGGATTGGTCAACTTTGACCTGCTCCCATTTAAAAACTAAGAGCTTTCGGACAAAAGGAAGGTCATTTTCGTGATCAGTGAAGCCTCTCGAACACCGCCATACCCACCGGGTCAGATAGTTTCGGAACACCCTGTATATATATAATATATATATATGCATAACTTATCTAGCCTCTACAAAACCATGCAGTAATTCGAGCACGTAATACATAAATATTTTAACTCGAGGACAAATTGCTTAAAAAATAAATAATTGTCTATATCGTTGGATCGAGAGTCGACAGATCTTTTTTTCGTCGAACGCCTAATATATAAATATCTGTTTCTACGCATAGCGTAAGCTAGTTAGGCCTCCGAGGTTGTATGCTGATGACCCATATTGAGTTTATAGCACCATTCTAGATCACTTATCAACATTATGCAAATATCTTGAATTTCTTTTCTTTTTATTATAAATATTGTACGTTATTTCCGGGAAATACGCAGATGCAATTTGCGTCAGGCATTTGTAGAGCAACGGGAACTTCTTTTTTTCTTTCAATTCAACCACCATTTTAGGCGGTCTTCTAGATGGTGTTTATATTTACAAAGGATACGTCAAAGCTGCCGACTTTTCTTGCTTTCTCGATTGCACAGGGGAGAAGAGAAGACTCGACCGCGTTTGTAATTTCTACAAAGTTCATGAATTCACGACTACAATTGTCTATCGACGTTGCTATTGTCCGTAGCGACCAAAGGACTCTGGACGAAGCTAATTAAAATCGTTCGATTGGACCAAGTCAAAGTTTCAGGAGGTAGAGACATTATTATTCTCCAGGAATTTCACAGAGTGACTATGAAATACTCCTCACGTAGTTTGGACAAAAGTGTCAGGGTTATTCGGCGCATTGAACAAATTAAAAAAGCAGGTAGAAACGGTAGGGGAGAAAGGACATACCTTAGCCCCTAGAACGAGGATCTGAAGAAACCAAAAAGTGGTAACCATCACCAAAGCCAAGAATACTTAAGACAATAATGTCCATTGGAAATGCTCCTAATGCCTCGTTAGGTTCGTGAGGATGAAAACGAAAAGAATCGCAAGTAGCCTGGGAGTCGTTGGAAATTAATGAAGCCGTCCTGGCAGTGCGACAGACACGTACAAAGGATAGAGTTAAAGCATCATCATCATTCAGCGGTAGCTCCTGCACCAGCGTCCTGGATCGTTCGCAGTTCATTTGTCGGCACTACGTCAACAGAGGCGATTGGCAGTGCCATTATTCACCTGTGTACCCTCCGCATCCATTTCTGTCTGACCTTCATATTCGCACGCCTTGGACTTGTCGACGTCTACCGAGGGACCTCTTTTTTTCTTGAAGAGATCCGCTATGCAGAAAGCCTGTAGTATACAAAAGGTATCCTTTAATTACCATCTTCCTACACCTAGTACATTGGTCCTTTACTACTATTATTGACCTGAATAACTTACAACTATCAGGGCGATGATGATCCCAAGTGAAGAACCAGCCAGGACGTCGCTCCAATGATGCTTATAATTTGAGACACGACTCATCGCCGTGAACCACGCCATGGATAAACATATAAGCTGTAAAAAATGCTTGAGCAACCTGCTACCTCGCCACGTGAACCTTAGTTGGAGGTACATCTAAGATGAAAAAAGGAATAAGACTTTTTAGTACTTTTATTTTTGGACCACCCTGTCAGTCGGATCTGAAATTATAATAGGGAACTTACCGCAAGATAGACCATCGTGTAAGCAGAGAAAGACGAGTGTCCTGATGGGAAGGACAACCTGTAAGGAATAAGATTGGTCATAAGATAGGAGATGATGGCGTCTGGATAACCAGACAGTGAAAAATAAAGAGCGTGACGAACAAGACAGGAGAGACTGAGTTTCTGTCATAAGTCTACAGCGACGTTACACGCTAAAGAAATTCTACGACGCGTACAGGCGCCATCATTCTCTCCCTTTCTGTTTCTCCCTGACGTAAACGAATACGAATATTATCATTGGATGTTTATCGTAAAAACTTTAAATCCGTTTGATCATCCTGTTACCTCGGGTTCGTCGATGGCCGTTTTACAAGGTTCCAGACAAGCCACCATAACGTTCAATAAACCAACAAAGTCTGTGGATAATTCCATCGACAAAAGACAACGTCCTACGTCTACCAGAAGACGGTGTAAAGGGTCTGGATTAAAATGTGATTTAAAAAACCTCATTCCCTAGATCATACGGATCACACTCACCGGCCCTTATACTCGGCTGGTCCTAAACTCTCTCACTATATAGTATACCCAATCCCTTTCCCTCGGCCGGAGTAAAGAACGAATGAATGAATTCTCTGTGGGCTTTATCGAAGATTCCTCAAATGTCCCTATATATAGAACTGTCCCGCTTCCATCTCGGATGACTTCAGATAAGCTCTAGTACCCCACCGAAAATTCTCCTTTTTTGTCAGCGTCCTCTATAAACTCATCGGTTCTTATACGTCAACTCAGACCCAAGTAAATCTACCTGATCTCCTTCAGGAGTCTCGCCGAGACGTTAGTCGCCGTACAGGTGAAGTCCTCAATATAACGGTGCTGATTTTCAGGCAGGCTACAATCGACGTTAGGTACACAGGCTGTCATAAAGTGCGGTCTCAGTCTGCCAATGTTGTACTTCGCAATGTCAGTTATCAGAGTAGTGGATATCGCACCGAAGCCAAAGACCCCAATCTAAAAGATATATATTGGGTGAATGACAAAAATTCATCAAGTGACCCTTGACCTTTATAACAGTTACTACTTACTTTGGAGTAAGCCTTTACTATCCAGGGTGGTATCGTGTATCCAAAAAATACCATAGCAGACTGACCAGGACTCTTCTTGGAGTGTACGTACTCCCCTATTATCATCTGAAAGCAAAGGTACAGTCAGTTCTAAATAAACGTCTCTTTGCCCTCTCATAACTGTATTATGATTATCTACAGATATTTCACTAATGGCAATGATAAAATTATCGTTATGCAGTTTATGCATCCATCCATTAATGCATCCATTTTACTGGACACTGCGATAAACGACAATGATTAAATTACAGATGCATTGGCTGCACTTAACTGAACTGAAGTCAGTACACTAGAATAATTTTACATAATTACACTTATCATATCGCTGTGGTTACAGAGTCACAAACTGATATATGTATGAATGAAATGACACTGCCTAATTAATTAATTAATCAAAGTATCATATTCTCTTTTTTCAGGTTTCAATTACAAAAAAAAAAACAACACCCAAAGCGTCATGTCCCGTGTAAATCATGTGTTTTGCAAAAACCGGAAGAGCCACGCCTATCACTTGGCAATGATTATGCACATACATGTCAGGTCTCATTACACGCATGTACCTACGTACGGTCGTACACGTGTAAAAATAGGAAACGAAGAGTCATACGATGGAAACGACGATGGTTGTCAAATGAATATAAAAAAACTGGACATTCTGCGCAAGCATAGGAAACCGAAGAAGGTGGCACGTGGCTGAACATAGAAGAAGAGTATTAGGATGACTTGAAGACTAAAAAATGAGTTGGCTTCATGTTCTTGAAGCAAGTAAAAATATACATAGAGTAGACACATGTTTATCATCTAGAGAATATATATAAGTATACAAGTATACATAATATACAGTGTATTAATTGATTCTCGCAACCCCCAAAAGTTTTTGCCAGACTTCTTGGTACCAGTAGCATTATGGTCGGTTCCACAGATACGTATCTCGGTAGCGTACAATATTTTTGGCCATTTTGGCTCTTATTTATGATCCTATGATATTAATGCACAGGTCTTACTTCTACTATGAATATGTTTGACCTAGAGAAATATCTATGACCTCGGACAAACTGAATGCCATGCATAACTTACCACGCATATAGGAAGGAAGAGACCAGTGATGTAAAGCATCGCACTGGTCACCGTGGAATTTGCATAAGGATGATAAAGAGATTCGTCGTTACAGAAGAATCCCCGCTTGAATGGCTTTCCGAACAAGAAGAAGTACAGAACCACCATGCCCACTGTAATCAGAGCAAACGATATTATCTAATTAAAACAGATAAAAAAAATTAACACAGATGAAACAAGTATTCCGTCGATATAGAACAGACAATTAAGTATCTAAAATTATTTGACTAACATGGAATTTAATAAATTGCGTTTGCTTGTAATAATCGTTCCATATATATGATTACGCGTAGCATAATTAATATTAACTATACAAAATTAACTTGAATATCAATTCCAACTAACAACCGTGTTTTAATGCAATATTAGCTAATTACTAAGCTTAATGCAACGAGTTTGCCACTCCGTTCAGTAAATATTATGGTAAAGTCAGCAAATGTCCTGCAGATTATTGCGTGATTGTTTAGGAGTGTAATATGACCTAAAATCAAATAAAATAGTTTACTAAATCAGCCAGTAAAAGTTCGGCATACCCAAACGTGTACATAAAGAAGCATATATATTATATCCTGACAAACCTCACGGGGTACAATTTAATTTCCGCTCGATTGAAAAACAATACGCACGGCCGCGCGTCCGGGAGGCCGCAAGGGAACAAAACCCTGGATTCCCCGGTGGCAAAGTAGAAATTATGGTGTCAAAGATCCACCTAGTCTAGTAAACCCATCGGCGGCACATCCTGTACATGGCATATACGAACCAGCGTATACACATAGGAGCGGCCATGCTCGGATTACCATTCGTATGGTAATTTCTATAGAGAGGATAAAAAAGAAGAGAGCAAGAGCCGTCCATATTTAAGAGAGTCCTGCGGCGAGGACTTGAAAACATTACAAGCAACCCTCGTTTACTTAAATATACCTTAAGCTTGGCTACCTAATTCGTTAGGCACTTTATGCATTTCATGGATATCCAATGCAATTTCGCCAATTGCACGAAATCTGCGTCATTCGAGCAGAACGATGCTGATACAGATAGATTTTAATTTCCTCCAAAAGCATCGCCCTACCATGTGGACAGTTTAGATAGAAATTATCTATGTGTTGTGTACGGGAGGTGTCATCCTTGTAATTTAATGCTGCCTCTAGGCGCCTTGGCAAATATGACATTTATGTGCATTCAGTTCTTCTTATGTGCACAATTCTCACACGTGCTCGATCAAGGTTGCCATTCAAGACGTTGAGAGGAGCAGCACTGATATAAAGCGGTGAGGACTTCCTTGTGGAATTCACGGTAGCCACAAACTACCGGTTCGCGTATCCGACGAACCGGTCGTTTAAAATGCTATTCATGTTTGCAGAGGTAAGATAGTCCAGCTACAGTTGTCTGTGGGCACACAGAGTATACTAGGAGCATACAGTGGAGACCTTGTGTACACTAGCTACAGGTGAGCACACGTAGATAGCTCAGCCTGGAGGAAGTAAGATGTAGGAAGTAAGAAGGAAGCAGCTAATGAAATTCATCCGGGTCTAGTATGCGACCAGTATCCCCTGGTGATGTTGGATCGACTGGTTGTGGTTGAGCGTAGGACGCTACGCATGAATCTTATCTGTACTTTCACGCCTTCTTTGTTTACCGGCGTAACGTGCTCTTCATAATGCCACCACTATTCTCTAATCCATGCTCCCATAGTGGTGGGGTCTTCTCATGGAGCTCCAATGCATCTGACCATGATTATAGACAGAAGTATAGACGGTGGTAAACAGTCGGGCAAAACAAGTTCAAGGACCTTGTTGAGACTCGTGTGCAGGGAAAATTTGTTCTACTTCTTTTTGCGGAACGTCATGCCCGACGGCGGCCAGTTTTGAATTCTAAGGAGCTGCCGCGCTCCGACCTGTCCGTTGTGGCAGCGCTAACGAAGTCTGAAAGAGCCCAGTTATTAGGTGCCCGCCAAGATGCTCTAGACGAGTCACGAAACATTGACGAGAAGACCAGGATCATGTGCCAGTATGAATAGCGATGGTAAATTGGTTCATGAGATCACTGGTACCGGTTGAAGGTGGCGCGATGATGTCAATGCAGGCAGTGATGAAACATAATAAACTGGTAAATCGATACCTCGTGTTATAACGTATATAAATACATTATTGACACAGTAAGAATACAATCCATTTACAGTTTCGCTCCGAAACGAGTACAAGGTATCAGACACTGTTTGTTTAAGACTTAGAGAAACTGTAACTGTGACAGCTGAACCTTAGTATCCTAATCTGACGTTTAACTGAACGGTTTTCTAAACTCCAGATATCGTGGGAAGACTCTGTTCTAATTGAGTAGTAGGTGCTAAAACAACTCAGGATAACAATAACCAAGAGGCTAGGTATTTGTCACTCACCAATCAAAAGACATAGGAAGTCTATAACCAGCTTGCGCAGAATGGTCCTCGTGGATCGGTCCATCTTGACTCAACCACTTTTTTTTTCTTCACAAGTTCTCCTTGATAAATTCTGGTCGTGTGTCACGAGTTGGGACTGTGCTGTGGAATGTGGGACAGGTCGAGCAACGACGTGATCCTCTGCTCCAAGTGGAGACAGAGAGCCTTGGCAATGTGGTTGACACACGCGACACGGCCCACTACGAATTAAGAGCGAGCCATCCCCTTCGACGGCAAACTCTCTACTGTAATACTCCGCTTTCGTAGTCAGGGATCAGACCTCGGACCTCGAACCAATCGCCAGGCTTTTTACTCCAAGACTTGGTAGACCTGTAAAAGCGCATGCGTATGATTCCTATATTGAGATTGGATCCGCGCGGACTCTACTTTCTGCTTGTGTATGTATATACCTCTATGCCCGTTACTACACTTTACCACCCAACACTCTAGGCACGACGCTCCATGCTGACAGTACGTTTGGGAAAGAACCTCCTGAGCCTGCTACGGAAAGGATCCTTCAGCGCTGATTTGGCTAGTGCGAAATTCCTTAGGCTATACGTATACATAATACTCCCAGCTATGTAAACTTGCGTGTCAGAAGATAAGCTATGGATCTCTGGGTACTATGTGCGATTTACGATATACGCTTTTCTTCGGTTTACTCGTAGAGGCGTACGTGGTGATAGGAGAGTCCTAATCTGTCAGGTAGACATCCACAGAAAGAGTACCTGTGTAGTTAAAACGTAGTGATTACCCGAGGTAGAATGTGTTTTACGTGCTTAAAAAATTTCGTCAAGCTACATTTACCTGGTACTGTTTACCTTTCTTGTGCTGACGTACATACCTTACTTTGCCTGGGTGTTTCAATTGTAACTTATATATAGAACTCTTAACATTTATGACTCTTAGCTCTAACCATAGTATCCTATTATTACTATTATTCTATTGCATCATTTGGAGATGCTCTATAACTTTGTAGCTCCAACTGTATGAATTACCAGAATGTCACAGCTGTTCTGTCTTTTGGTTTATCAACGTTTGGAAATATTTCACGGTGAAAATTGAATGAAATATTTTAAATAGACCTGTAGATGATTTATCGAATAACAACACCGGTAGGCTACTGCAAAATGAGATCATAGCTATTGTTAAACCTCACCTCACCAAGGCGTTGCCTTGTCACGCTGCACTAACTATTACACGTAATCTCTATTATCAGTTTAGCGTTTAATCAATCCAAATGGCCCTTCGTACTCCTAGTGGATGATCACCACGTGTCTACGTTGTTTGTAGGCGGAGTCCAAGAGTATCTCGTTAGTCTCCCTGAAAGAATAAAACAAAAGGGAGTAAAAAGAAGAAGAAAAGATTAAAGTCTGGCACGAGTGCCGAATTCCACGTCGCAAGGAGTTTCATTAGGGCGGTCCTCCTGCACGCAATGTAATCAGAAGGCAGCACCGCGACGACGAAGAAGTGGATGCAAGAAGCCTGAATGTAATTGCTACACTAAGCGGGTAATAATGTTGGCCGCAATCGTAGGCGAGCTTGCGGTCCGCCGACACCAGCGCAAAGCTAACCCATTGCCCGCACCATTAGTTTTCTTTATTACGCCCGTACGTGTGGATAAGACGCTGGGCACATGTAGTAGACAGCTCCAATTACTATCGCTCTCTTACCAGATAAAGCAAGTAAGTATCAGGGCTCTCAAGATGCGGCAAGACGATCAGAAGTAGCTCGTAAAGGGCGCCGTTTCACTTTTATCTTCTTATCCATGCGTATCAAGACGTTCAATTGCGCAAAGCATCATTCTCTGGAGTCTCCACGTGGAAGCGTTTAAGTCATGCTCTTATTTTCAATAGACGTCGATCAGCTATGTCGGTCGACTCTGGCTGGTGAAGCCGGCTGCTCCTTGTATTCACACTACATTGTAGCAACGCTCGAACCTTTGGAAACGCCTTTGAATTCGTTCGGCATGTTTCCTGGACAATGAGTACCTATACGGACCGCTGCGCCATGGGCACGGAATAAGTCAGGTAAACGGGTACTCTGGTGGGCGTCACCGGCGACATGCATACGTACGTACAAATAAGCGAATACAACGCCACACGAAGACCTCAACAGGATGAAGGTCTACCCTGGGAGTTCCTCTTAAAATTAATCTCAGTACCAGCAGACTGCATGATTGCAGATGGTGATGTGGGAGAATTTAGAATAGCCTGCGGGATTCAATTTCGAATTTAATTAATCCTGCGAAATCACAAGCCACAAACTCATCCTGAAACTCTCTGTGTTCACGAGAGTCGTTTATATGTCTGGCCTTGGCGCACCGCCTGCCAAACTTTCTTTTATCTTATTTCTTACCGTTAATTTTACCTTATGCTTCTATCAGCTTGTTTCCTCGTATTTGTACTCGGATACTACTTTATATTCCTTTTTGATTTATATCCATGCAGTCACTTTGTTCAGTCAACTTGACGTTATAGTGATTAACACTATAAGTCGATGATTAATATGTAAGAGTATATATATACGTGCAGTTACGACACTGTGATTCATTAGTTTTTTTTTGTGACTCATACTTTCAGGGTTAAGATTGTTCTACTGTTATCAGGAGATATCGTTTACGTGAATCTTGGCAAGTGGGTGCGATTTCACTTGGAAATCATGCTAGTTTCCCTCTCCGGAATAGAAATCCATGACGTCAATTCATTGGTACACTGTTGCCTTATCACATCAGGATGTTGCACTGTGAGGAAAATGTATTCGTGCATATCCACCCTAAATTTCCTGTGTACGATGACTCTTGTTTTTTACAGTAGAATATCCAGAAAATTCCTCCGCCATGTAATAGTTAGTCCTCGGCCGTCATACAGTCTGGCTGAAGTCTTGACACCAATTCCATTGTAAAGAGAACGAGGCATTAAACCTTCCAGAACAAACAAATGGAGCGCAACCTATTCGTCTGTGTTGCACCCATGCACTTTAGCGTTTAAAGTACATCGTCCTGGATCAATGTCGAGAATGAGGAAGGTGGAATAGCTGTAAAAATATAGAACTCTTAGAATAGATGGTAATGTGTGAAACGTATTTGGAGAAGAAAGGTAGGACGTAGAACGTCGATAGATCCACCAGGATAAAACGATGTTTGTTCACTGGGATAATTTCGCCGTGGAGAAAAAATATCTAGGGGAAGTGTAAGAGACAAAGAAAGAAAGCTAGAGAGAAAAAACAATTTATTAGATCAGGGTAGTAAACCCTGTCGACCTGAAATCACATGAAAGAGAGAAAGAGAAAGATTGAAAATAGTTTTATACAGGAACCATTGAGAAAACAATCTGATAGAGTCGATAACGGATTTAGGATCAATCATGTTCAAAAAAAGGCTTATGCTTTTTTTCTGAAAAGATATACAGTATATACATGAAAATTATCACACCTCATGAATTATCATCCTGATTAGTTCAAAGCACGTGAACAATGTCGATCCATTTAACGTATCTTTTTCACGGAATCCGTGGTTTAAAATAACCGTGCTTTTTATCAGTTTACTTTTTTTTTTAATCACGTTCTTATCGGTGGTAATTACAATGCTGACAACTAAATTACGATCATGTTCTCTTTTATTCTATAGTATAAGGACTTTTATTCTATGTATATCCATAGTATATTTTCTTGACACTAAAATAGACTAGGATTCATTGACATTCCTATGGTGCACCTCTTACCCTCTATTCCTCTTTCTCTCTCTCTCCCACGCTGGCAATGACTCTCTCCCTACTCTCTCTCTTACACTTTCGTTCGTGCCGCTATTTGAAAACGAGACGCATTTACACGGAATACCGGTGGTTGGGGGATATGGGCAGGAACGTCTGGAAAGTTGTTCACGATCTCGCCAGATTATAGTTGAAAAGCATCATCAGGACGTCACCTGGCGCGGTTCGTCCCTTTGATGAATCGCTGTTAATCCTAGCTTGACTGATCGTCGAGAAGAATCATCGTAATCGGATAACTTTTTTTCTAGACTAGATTTAACCTTAAATATGACTAAAGATAAGGATTTCTTGATTCTCACACTGCCTTTAAGAGACCTCTGGTACTGTAACGTTCCTCGTAGATTCCTGAATGTCGAATTGGATCAGGATTACCATGTAAGTGGTCATTCCTTTGATCTGAAAGAAATTAAAACGAATGAATAAAGATCGTTGAGTAGCCCCTCGTCATTCAGTGACGTATTTTTCGAAACGTACAAACGTCAAGAATGAATTATTTATCATGAACAAACCGAAGGCCGAAAATTCAAATTTATCATCAGTTATCTGTAGAGATAACATGTTCAGCTGAAAAAATTTTTTTTTCAATATCGATATAGATCAGTATCTATATTTACCGTTTGATACCTACATCTATCTTTGTACGTGTGCCTGGAACTACTCTGATTGCCTTATGTACAACGTAAGCCATTTTCAGCGACTACGAAATGATTGATAACTAGATAATAGATAAACAGCTGACATCACGACGTATAATTGATTGACAACTTACGGCTCTGTTAACACTTTCGCAATTTACGGCAACGTAAACCACTGGTAAGGCAAATATCCCAAGCCATATAACAGTGTCGATAATAGGCAGAACACCACGCTCTTCCTTAATCATGAGGTAAAAAAAGTAGCTGTAGTATGGTAGACTTATGTGATTCAAAATAAAACGTTGGGCTATCTGAATGCCATATTCTTTGTTAATCCCAGCCACAACATCTGACACGTTATTATACACGTCCCTTAGAGCTTTTATATCATTCTGACAGAAGTCTATGCCTTGAGGAATTTCTTGAGACTCTCGAATCTTTCTTTGCAATATAAGCGTCATGAACTTGACCCATCGACACACCATTTTCACTAGACATCCATAATAGAATGGAAACCTGCAAAGAAACAAGAAGCTGAAACCATTTTAAAAAAATGGGGGAAGGCATGATTAAAACAATAAAGAATTATTTACTCCACTAAATATATAATTTCAATCACTATTAATAATGTCGTGTAAATGTTTGCTTTGAAGGAATATATATCAAGAATTACTATTATTATGTATACAATCACAGGCAGACATATTGCAAGCACGCTCATTCTCTGTACTTTTTTATAGTTCATGTCCAGTTTAAAATTTCGATCCAACTTTTGATCGATTTTGATAATCTTATCGATCAATGCGACTTGATGCTCAGCCCTGATGAGAGTCAATGTACAGATTGTTCCAAGTCCAAAATATAAACTATAAGGTATAATAAATTCAAACAATGATGAAATATTTGTCAAGTTAAACATCTCCGTTGTAGTGACGTATAGCCATTTTGGATAAAGCAGACAAAGTAGCAGCACTATTTCTAACAAGACGTAGATCCATTGTATCCTTGATGCTTCGCAGATAATTAATTTTTCACAATTGGACTCAGTTTTTTTAATCCTCATCCAAGGTATCATCCCTAATAACGAAGCTGTGTAGAACGTCGGTTTTAGCGTCTGGTAAAGATTTCTACTTTCCATGGTAACGTTGTGTCACAAACTGACATTGGTAAGGAAAATGTGATACAGTGTTGTAATAGCTTCCGTCGGTTATGAATGTGAAAGCTTCTATTTGACCTGTCACGCTAATTGCATTCGATCGACTGGTAATTATCAATATGATAAATAGTCGTAGGGGTATCTAGTAATGGATATTGAAGATAATCAATTCTGATACATATAAAACAATATTTGATATGACAGGCTTTACATAGAATTATCATACAATACATATATTTATAATTAGATATATACAAAAGAAGCTAAAATCGTAATCTATGATGTTATTTTGAATCTTATATTCTTTGTTAATACCTGTTACAACATCAGACAAAATTATATACATCAAAGAGATCTGATACTCAGCCCTTATCAAACTCATCATGTAGATTGTTCCCAGTCGAAGATATATGCCCCAAGATATGACGAATTAAAACAATAACGAAATTATCGCTCAAGTTTATCAATCTTTAGAAGAATATCAATAGTATTGATAACAAAGCATAAATCCGCTGTATCCTTGATGTTTCACAGATGCTTATTTGGCGAGAACCGTAACCAGATGCTGTTCCCATGTTCAACCAAGGAAGCATTCTCGGTGTAGAAACAACGTAGACTATTGGCCTAAGCGTCTGGTAAAGCTTCCCAACCTTTCATGGCGACGTTGTACAGGAGTCAACGTCGGTAAGTCATTTATTATTATAAGAATGTTCCAATTGCATCCACTGATCACGATTGTGAAAGCTGCCATTTGACCCGTTAATTGCATTGGATCGATCAATGATTACCAGTTTATGCGAGAAGGACTAACAATATATATATATAATCAATAACAATGCCAACAACACAAAAAGGATATGAAGGATAAAATGTAAAAGTCTCTATATAACATGATCGTATTTTTATTTTATATTAGGCAACTATGTACAAAGGCGTTACACTGCGAATCTGTGATTTATTTTCTACTGTTTCCGATTTCCCTTTCGCTTCCATGCGCTACGCGGTGCAGTTACGTTTGTCAGCATCGTCGTTCACATCAGCCACAGAGATCATACATCATTCGCGTGTCTCTATTTTTGGCGGTACCACTTCCCCTCGCCCCTTCTCTGCCTATGTATCCACGTGTGCGCAGAAGACTGAGTAAGAAGGACCCGTTGCTATTCCACATGTCAACTTTTTAAGTACGCTGCGGGAGAGCCCTCATTCATACTTGTCCAGATTCTCGTAATATTTTGTTAATTTCTCTCTGACTGGCAATCTAATGACGCGTACATTTTTGTATACATATTTTATGTTTATATACAAGACGAGATGATATTAATCGCAGTTTATACACTATACGCACCTAGAGGCTAAGCGTTTTATCTTCGTTTCATTCGCTGAAACACGTACATACGTTTAGATGTTACCCCTAAGAGTCTTCTGTGACATCGTGCAGTAAGCTATTGCAGTTACCCATTGTTTAATACTATAGGCGTACGTGCGTGACAGGTGTATATTTATATATAAATAAATATATATAATATTTATAAGTGTCGCGCGTCCGATGAAACACCCCAGTATGACAATTCGAAACAGCAGATTCTCTTTACATAGCTCCAGCAATGCGTATCCGACTTCGCTTCAAAAGCCAGAATAACAAGAATAGTGGGATTGAGGTCAAAGAAGACGCACGTACGCAATGTATAAGCTCATACGCTTTTGGCAAATGTGTATAATCTATACAAGATCCACCGCCGACAGTCATCTGCGTGGCTCGGATGCGTATGCTGATATCGAGCAGTCTGCACATCCTGCTGCGAGAAGTACTCGGTGAGGATGAAAGTTTAGACAACTAACGAGACCTATTCGGGTCCCCATGAAGCCTTCGTGAAACTTTATTGCATTCAGATGATGTCCTGACGTGTTGTAGATACTAATGCATTGATTCATCGACCCACTGGAATACAAAATTGTTATTAACAATTATTGTCCTACTTTGCTTGTGGCTTGGCCATATTTATTCTTGTCATTGCCTAGGATACGAATACTAACCAGGCGAATATGTCTGCCGCTCCGTGGACAGCTAGGGCGGTAATGCCCTGCGTAGTTTGTATAGTGCTCACTGAGGAATTCTTTCTGAGATCGAATATTTTTATGTCGCCGGATAGAGAACCGGTTATGAGATGCGGTGATGAGCTTCCATTTTTCTTGAGGAAAGCTCCGAGGACCCAAGCATTGTGCTCTCGCCATGTCATCACCCTGGACTCCAGAGGTGGAAGGCGTCTATCGAATAATCTCACGGAACCGTCCCCACATCCAGCGGCCATCATGGCGCCCTGATCGTCGGTGTCTAAGCAAGTTGCACAACAATCGGCACCCGTTGGAATGTCCTGCTTCTTTAATTCCGTCTCCGCGTCCCAGAGTCTGACGATACGAACATCCCCTGTTACTGCCAGGGTCAGCGATCGTTGTTCCCACCTGGTGACGAGACCTGAGGTAGCTATAGAGAATATCTTACTCAAGGCAGAGATGGAGATCATATAAATTCACCCTTAGGTGGTACCTACCGACTGGACTCTTAGAAATTAGCTGTACATCCGTCAGAGCTTGCCATGCTGTCAGTAACGTTGGATCTCTTCCAAGCATGTTACAATAATTCTTCCATATCCTTACTGATCCATCGTCAGAACCAGCCATTAGTAGAGTCACGTCGTGGGCGTTTATGAACTCCAGGGCCGTCACCCGAGACATTTTATTTCCACGACTCGTGCAATACGTTAGCCTGGTACCTGTTTGCCAATCCCATACTCTGTAAAACGGGAGAATCAATTAGAATCGCTAGTTATTGTCAAAGAACAAAGGAGCGAAGGTAATAATGTTTTCCAAAATACCCAAAGGAATCCTTAGAAGCTACTGCAAGGTGTGTGTCAAAGGGATGAAACGTTAGGACATCTGGTGCCTGAGGACTTCGGGCGTGAAACACTTGTGACTCTATTCTTCCACGAGCTGCCCTTAGTTGCTCATCCCTTGGGTCCCGCCTCTGTCTCTTGTTACGCAGATATCTGAAAAAGAATTCCAGACGCGCGTGACCCTTATCTATGTTCGTATCTCTTTCCTTTACACTTTATCTCTTTGACTAATGAGGTCACATCTTATCATGAAACATGCACGACGTACCTCCATTCACGTTCATAATGAACTCGGCTCTCGAGATCGTTCGTCGACTCCACCTCAGACTCCAGACTCACGGGCTGGGCGAATTGAGCGCAACTCCACTCGACGAACTGCGAGGTCGTCAAGGGGCTTCTTGCACCAGGGACATCATCGGCTTCCTCTGATATCTGATCGAAGGTTCCACGATTAATTGATGTTTCATTGATTTACCATGATTATTCTCACCGTGTTGGGCATTGGTTTTCTCGTACGATTCGCATGTGCGGGTATCCTGGAGGAACGTAACAGCTCTGTTGTCGAGTTCACCGTTGGTGGAGACTCGCCCTTGCTACCGCTGCGGACAAAAATATTTGTGTGTTAGAATATATTAGGTTTTTGTATCGCTATATCAAGATATTAACCTGAGATAACTCGTCCTATTTGAGGGGGACGGAGGGAGTGATAACGACGAGGATATCTTTGCTTCCGTCACTTCCTTCGGAGCTGAGGAATCTTTCACCTAAACAAGGTTAATCATTTTCACTTGTTTCTCTCTAGGAACTCCGTACCATCGTTATCATACCTGACTACGTATATTCATAGTGACTTTTTGCGACATTGCTGCAACTCCAGGATGAGGGTCGTTATCCAAGCTGCAGAGGCCGTGCCACAGTTTCATATAGACACTGCCGTAAGAAAGACTCGGTAGATTACCCAAGGAACTGTGACCTAGGATAAAGAAAATAACATTTTTTTTTTAAATACATTACCGAATATTAGTCATTATCAAAGAGTTCTGCAGAACGCAATGTGTAGCGAGGTTCAACGTACGATAATTGATACGGATACAAGATACTTGAACATACTTGATAAATACGAAAAATACTTTAGAAAATACATAATCAGTGAGAAACCATCGACTATCCATGCGTGCAGACACTGGTGCCGTTTTTTATTAATTAGTTACCGAGCGATTCGCAAGGTTTCCTCACGAACTCCCAATTATTTCCTGGCGCACCAGATGGAACAAGAGAAAATAATTAATCAAGCTTGATAAGTATATCGTGCTCGATCATACATAATTGTCCAAGTCCTCACCCAAGCTACTGATAGATGACGAGGAGGACACTCTCTTGATACGATCCTGTCCAAAACCATCTGTCGTATCTCCGCTGTAGTTGTTATTTGGTGATAGCATTTTTATTCTGTCTCTGGAACCAATTCGTCGCATCCCACTGAATGGCGATAACGTCTCGACCACGAGTTCCCGTCGACTATTTTCCTCAGCCAGGGCCAGGGTGACAAACGAGTTCTCAAAGTGTAGAACCATCCACTGTAGAGCTACCACAAGTTCCTGGAGAATTTTATAAGTTGCGTTAAAACCTTGAGACTCATTGTTGATGATGACTCGTGTTACTTCTCATGGACTTACATACTTTTCTGACTAAGGGACTCATGTCGTGAGTGACTGTATTGATAAGCGTCATAGCGATGATCTGATCAATGTTATTCGCATGCTCGCTACGTTTCGTAGCACTGTTGATAAATGTTCCTAAAGCATAAACAGCTGCAGCTCGGACCTATGTATTAATTGTATTGTTAAACTCTGGCACGATAGGAAATTGTACAAGTGTAAGACGAACCTCTGGAACAGGATCCTGTAGAAGATTGTACAGTTTCTCATGAGCGATGTCTCTTACTCCACACCACCTGGCTCTGTCATAATTGTGCCACAGTCTAGCAAGGCATAGGCATAACCATTGACGCAGCAGAGGATTGGAATCTCCTAGTTGTTCCAGGCAGATGGAAACAAGACTACCTTGCAAGGCAGCTTCTTGTCCAGGAAGGTAGTTGTTCACGATACTCGCAAGGACAAAGGCTGCCAGTGTCCTATGTTCGCTCTATCGAGAAGTCAAATGCTAGTCATTAGATTCCTTTCTTGTGTTCTGACAAATATATCCAAATTACCTTCATGGTTGCGTCTTGTAGAACCGATAGGAAGTACTTGTGTCCATTGTCGCGAACCAAATCTGCCTGACACGTCTATATAATTCAAAGGCAATGATTGTATTATTAAAATTGGATTAATTTGATATGAAGTCAATCTTAAACGATGTATAATTGACTTACACTATCAACAGCCAGAATTTTCGCCCATATAAATACTAAAAGTGGTCTCAGTTCTCTGGCATTACTTTGCAGAAGCTTCAGAACGTATGGAAATATTCCCACGCTCAAAGCAAGGTTCACTGCCCATGGTCCCAGGTCAAGAAAACGACCTAGGAGTTCCAATGCTCTGAGCCTATGTACTTGGCTGAGGAGGACTTGCAGGACAATTGGGAGTTGTTCTGGAGGATTGCGTGATTTCGAACCCAAGGTAAGCCACACTTGAAATGCTGTTAATTGTTCTTCGAAGAAGGGAGAATGTACGAATTGGTCTTCTGACTCCAGGATGGCTGGAAGCTGCGCCAGACAGAGATCCAGGGCGAGATCCCACGCTTGCCACATAGGATGCTATTTTGTCATACAACGTTTGGTAAGCTTCCAATATAAAGTTTATATCGTGTAACAATATTCGTTTCACTACATACCTGGAACGTGGGTGGTAACTTTGGAAAGGACACTGGAGTACAGTCGTACGATCTCAGAATCCTCTCTGCTAATAGGAAATTTCTAAATAAACTAGCGACTAGTAAGTCCTGTCTGAACAATCTCTGGAACAAATCTAAAATTCATGACTGTTATAATAAATAAATATGAGACATGTTATTTATTAATAGTCTATTTGTTCACCTCGAGATAAAGTGTTCCAAGCTATTGTATCGGTTATGGCTGTGAAGATCCAGTTCAGCTCTCCTAACATTGTTCTCCTATCGGTCAACTGACCAGGAATTCTAAATCATACAAAAAAGAAAAAAAATAGAAAAATGATTAGACCATTAATTATCTGCTTGACATAAATGCATTAAACAACTAAGTAAATTAATGTCTTACTTGTCAATAAGATCGAGAGATACTTTAGGCACTAGTTTGGACGTATTTTGCATAACAAACCTATGAAAATTAAAAATATCTGAATCATGTCAAATACACTAAGCGCATATATAATTGAATTAATTACCAGCGGAGTGCAATTTTAATTGGGGTTGTTAAACAAGATGTAAATATGTCAGCTGGTAAATCAGGATTCATTGGTAGAATCTGATTCGCAGCACAGGCAGCTAGTTGAATACAATTTTTGTACGAAAGTGCACCAACTCCAGCTACACCAGCTGCTCGATTTTGTTGTACAGCTTGTTTTTCCATCTGCAATTGTGCATTACAGTGAGACTTTCATGGCCGTAGTCAATATTTTCTATTTTTAAATTAAACAGTTTAATTCACTCTACTACGCTATTACTTCATATTCCTTTTCGTGTTGGTCTGCGAATTGCTGGAAGGATTCGACAATTATTCCAGCATTGGAACAATCATAGACATAAATAGATGGTGCTCCCATCCATGTTTGTAAATCGTAAACGGACAACGGTATATACTGCGTGTACGTCTGAAAAATAAATTTTTGTATTTGACTAGCTATGATTAATCATCTAATATAATAGCCCATCAAACCCTTTCCGCCCAATGATTTAACTTAGGGAATTAAAATCTTAATGGATTTTCCTCTTCTAATGATAATATGCTAAGTGGTGCTCATTGATCATGATTAGCTAACGGCTAACAGCCCTGAATACATTATAATATTAATGGCGTGTTATCTCATGTCATTTACCACATGATAAATCCTGGTATACGACATATTGAATTGAACATAGGATAATTAAATAATTTTCAATGACGTTCACACAAGCTTCAATGCATTTAGAGCTGTAACTTTAGAACCTCTTGAGATACCTAAGCCATTATAATTATGACCAAAAAAAACGGGTTAAAGCGGAAAGTGCCTAAAGCAGCCTGAATATTATTACACCAACCCTATTAAATACCCAGATCTCTCCATTACTGGTAGGTTTTGGTACTCCATGTCCATTATAATGAAACAGTACTCTCTCCTCTTTAGCATTACGCCTTAAAGAGGTACATAACTTTTTGACCTCTTCAACAGTAGGATCAAGACTCTGCTTATACCTGGCTCTAGGTTGCCATCGTTCATATTGTTTTTGTAAATTTGATCCTATAGTCTCAAGAGCTTTTTGTGGGCTTACTGAGAGTGGATCTGAAACAAAACGAGTATAGGTCTTTTAAGTCATGTATAATTCAGTTACTCGAGGAAAAAAATAAATTATAAAAACATAATATGTCCATTTCTTCAGATTTTGAATGAACTCTGCAGTATCGGCAATCTGCCATACCGACTGCGATACAACAAAGGAACGTTCCGGAGCAAGAAACAATCTGTTTTCGACTGGCTTCGGCGCAACAATCGCTTAACCTCAAAGAGCATTATTACATAATGGCGATGACACGCGGAGCTCCCAGTAGACGTAAATAAAGGTGTGAATTACCAATCCAGCACTCTAGACGAGCGCACGGTTGCGTCTTGACAATGTCCGGAGGATCGACGCCAACATTGAGGCATAGAACCAGCGCGACGCTCACTGTTTTCATCTGAAAGAGTTTAGTGTTCGTATAGCAGGGAGAAAAAACAAAGAGAGAAAGACAGAGAAAGTAACGCGTGTTCGACGGAGATATCGATTGGCATTGTCGCCATAGTCAGGGGGGGTAAGTGGGCATAGATATCCTCGAGATTAAGGGCCACGAGGTCAATCCTAGAGCGATACGCACCCGCTCCTTCATACGCCAGGTTTGAGTGATACAGTTGACGCCCTCGATGGTGGCTGTATGCCTTGGCTTGTTAAAGGCAATAGGCATTCGCCAATCTTCGTCCTCGGACTGCTTCGAGTCCTCATCTTCACAGCAGATCCTTGTCCCGAGAGTCGACATTCTTCGCAGTTAGTTTATCCCACAGGATTTTACGCCGTTTATTAACGGGACACGCGCCCTGGCACTAAAAGTTCACCCACCCGCCCGCCTTACAAGTACTACTTCCACGCAAGACCGTTCACGAGGTGCATCGAATAGATTACGAGCTGGACACTTGCCCGATTCACAGCTCCTCGGTACCCTCGCTCAATCGAAATACGCTACGTCTCCGCGGCTTTACTTCGCTAGCCACCATGATGCGATCTTGTACTCTTTACCGATGAGAATTTGCCCTCGGCTGACGAACGGTTCTTGGATAACGATCCACTTCGCGGGGCTGCTTTTGGCTGTTGCATAAAGATGGCGCTACTGTAGATGATGCATAGGTTTTAAACCTGCCACAGGCGCAAGAATTCACCGCTGGATTTCTGCTTGTTCATTAATTACAATACTTGATTTAGAGACAATCTGAAGTAGCGTTCATTGTATTCGTGTTATTTCATTTATTCTTATTGGCTTCAATGATTCACTATTTGCCACAGTGTAAGACAAATATTGTTTAACAAACTGCGCTTCTCTTCACGTCTTACTCTCTAAGACCTAATGCAATCATTATAAGATTGGCTAGGAATGACAAACGGTACTTTATGGTAACATTGGTAAAGGTGGAATAGCAAGGTCGATATTTGGTGATGTAATATAAAAGATTTGAAAAAAGAAAAAAATAATGGTTAGCCCTCGCGGACTCAGGTCGTCAATGTCCGCACCGCATTATGTGGCATACCGATTCACAGCCTATGTGCAATACAGGGCTATTCGTATTAAAATGCATTAGTTAGATTTAATAGTATTATATTAAATTTGATTGTAAAATATTACCAAATTATGCTTCATCAAGCAGTCACGCGACAGCTGTCAAATCTGGCTAATGCGCTTCATCTGAATAACGCTGTATAATCTATGTACAATTTTAAAGTTCATCAGTTGTCACACCCGGCACTATATACTTATTTATTATTTATAATTAGTGTATATGGTGTATAATATATATATGTCGATGCTATACTTCGAAGAAAATGCTTAATCTCTAAAAAATATTACAATCAAATTTTAAGGACTCTTTAAATGTAAAGTTGAATGCGTGCGATACAAGTCCGGACGTTTCTTGATAGATTTTTGATTTGTCGATTTAACCGAATTTAATAAACTTCGCACACGCTTCAGAATGCGTCAGGCATTTACTACGTTTAGTAGAAGTAACGCTGGAAAAAGTTTGCTCTTCATTTTGCTCTAGTTGTGTTTGGAAGCTATTGTTACTGCAATAGCTGTGAATTGCCAAGTGGTTTATAGCCCTGAAAGAAAGAAAACCAAAAAAAATATCACAATTACCATTATGAAAATCAGTTTTAAAAGAATATATAATTTTGACAAAAGCAAAAGTGAAAGACTGAGTGTCGTTTCATCTCATTTCTTAACGACACACAAAACTCTAAAGGCAATTCTTGAGGAATCATGCATAACGAAACAATTTGAATGAAATTATTGAACTGAGAACTGTCATGCAATTTTTTAATGTGTCTGCAGGAGACATCTTCTGAATAAAGTACAGGATCGTTCAGACACATAAAGCAAGCGACAGAAGCAAAAACGTAAAAACAGTAATGTACGTTACTGCTTGCATTTTACGACCATAAAAGTTGTCGAGTGATCAGTTATTCATCAATCCGAACTTGTCAGCGGTTCATGCTTCCATAATAGGGTGCGCGTACACTTATCCGATTGCTTCCAGGTCTTACAGCACTGTCAAAAGAGTCACGCAATCGCTCGGCAAACGTCTTGTATTCCATATCAGGATTGCTTTGACCAAAGTCAAAATCAGCAACCTCAACGGTGAACCTCGCTCTGCTCTGTATGTAGTAAGCGATGCCAAAGATGATCAGTACAAGAGCTACCAGAGAGCATAGTACTGGTACAACAATAACTGAGAGCTGTGGTTGTGTTGTAGCTGAAATAGAGTCGGTGTGTTTTTGAACGTACTTCAGGATATAAATTGGTAGTTGTATCAATGAGGAATATAATAGCAAAACGAAGAGCTAGAAGATATAAGAAACTTCCGGTTCTGATATAGTAACTCACCCTGGTAAATGTTTATGGTTACGGGATGTATATTCGTGCTGATGTCGTTTGTCAATATTATAACAATGGTGTAATCAGATGGTTCTAAGAAATAGTGTATGATTGAGAAATTGCAATTGGGCTTGCGTTCGCCATCTCCGCAAGTCTCGTTTCCAGTTACGTTATAATTTCCTCGATGGAACTGGAGACATCTTATAAATGGTCCTGAGCCCTCACAGGTTACGTTGAGATTCAACATTGCCCATGGTTGAATCCAATTAGTACCATCCACTGAGATATCTGTTACGGGAGCTGAAAGATCAAATCTATTATAACAAGGTAATCTAGAATATATATAATCTATAATCAAGGTAAACCTAGGAATATTTCTTATCTAGCATAATACTGACCTCTGACTTCGATTGTTCTTTGAAAGTAGCCATATATATTATGAGGATCTGGGGGGACGATGGAAGAGTTTAAGCACACGAAGGGAAACGAAATGTTACCAAATACTGGCACCGTAGTGTTTTGCAATGAATTTGGTGTTGTTATCGTAGAGAGTGCCGTTGTAGATGAAGTGGTAAATGGTGTTGCTGTAGATGTTGTAGAAATAGCTGTGGAATTAATGGATGAATTTGATACCACAGAAAGCCATGGTGGATTGACAGTAGTGCTGGTCGTAGTATCTGGTAAGGAGGTCGTTGTGGTGGGTGGATCGAATGACGCAACTACCAAGGCCTCAATTGTATGACTCCTGTCGGGATCCGTAAAGTTGTAGTTAAAAATGAAATTCTCTGTGTGACCATAATATTGGCAGTCGATGAACCAAAATGTGGAAATTGATGTTGCATTGGTCATTATAAAACTGAGATCACCCTTGCGAATATCTATTGCGACAGTTGACTCGAGTGAGGAAGAAACAAAATTTCCCTTTGTCGTAGCATTTTCTTGTTTAATCGTCATGTTTCCATTTAATAGTGCTATAACAAAATTGTCACAGTTAAGAAAATACTAAATGTTTCTTACTTTCGGTTTATATTAATACCTACACGTTACGGCAAATTTTGTTGCTACTCTGGTACTCTCATTAAACCAGGTCTTTTTTTTTATGACTTTGACTTCTACAATGTATATACCTACACTGTAGATTTCGGCAGGATATGATATTGACCAAAAAGCAGTGGTATTCCTTGTATGATCAGGCTAGAAAATCAAAAAAGGATCAATTGAATATTTGTAATTTCAAAAGAAGAGTTAAGTAAATATATACCGTATATTTATGTGGTATGATACCATCATCCTTCCATTCATATGAAAACGTTCCAGATGGCCTGGTACCATCATACTTATAAACATCAGCTCTAAATGTTATTGTGCCACCAATAACAACAGGTCCATCATGTGACAGTGTTACATATCCATCGAAGTTAGCATTAACTAAAATATTACAACTTTAAAATCTTTTGAAATTCTAAATAATATCATTCTAATGAACCATAGTTAAAAGACAAGCTTCATATTTTTCACTTTGCTCCGAAAAGAAAATTGATGAAATAGAAAATGATGTGACACATAGGATCTATCAGAACCTAGATAAGTTTATCCCTTTTAGTATTCAGGAATAAGAAAAATCCTGTTAAAGAAATAGTAAGCGAGTTATCTTTATATAGAGTAAAGATAAGTATCCAATGTATAAAAATTCATGAAGAACAAGTAAATTTGACGATAATTGTGAGTTATAAAACGTCATTTTGGATCTGTCACCTTGCAAGAGATAACAAAATGTGCCAAGGACAGCACTATATAAGTGCAGAAGACGCATTTTGCGCATCAGCGATGTCAGACGTATCCCAGGAGGCTTATAAAATTACGTATCTTTGTTTTCCCGTGATGTTGACAGCAATCATTTGCATGTCAGCGCAACACAGCACAACATTTTTCCACTACCAACCACTACTGGCTAGCTGAGCAAGAAAACAGGAAGTAGAAGGCGGAGCCGCATTGTTCTTACAAGAATGCGATCCAAATTTGAATTAAAGAGGAAAGCAGTATCTCCATCTGTTGAATAAACTCGTAACTAAGTGTTTTCGTAGATTGTGAACATGACTGCATCTTGCAATCTCAGTAGTAAACCGGAAGTTGAATGAATGTCAAAGCAGTCATGGCGGATTTCGGCGATACGAATTCGCACGATATGACAGAAAATCATCCACCAAAACGTTTTAAGAATCAGTGGGTGCGATTAAATGTGGGTGGAACGTATTTCCTGACGGCAAAAACTACGCTGGCAAGGGATCCGAATTCGTTTCTCTATAGACTCTGTCAAGAGGATTCCGATCTAATATCGGACAGGGTTAGTTGGCATTCCAAACTTCCCGCGAAACTTGAATTCGCGTCCCTTATTCATTTACGTTTTACGTGTAATAAACAATTGTTAGTTTCTGTCACTGTTTTGTTTGTTGTAACGAATTTGTATTAGATGTATTTATAATGTTATACCGACAATACTTCAACAACGCGTAACTAGTATTTCTTTCGTATATTCAATGTTCAATAACCTCGAATTAGAATTATGGATTCTTTTAGCTTTAATTTTATTATACGCGTTATAATTAAGAGATATTTCGTTTCAGGATGAAACTGGTGCCTATCTTATAGATCGGGATCCAACGTATTTCAGTCCTGTTTTAAATTACTTGCGACATGGTAAACTCGTTATCAATAAGGACCTTGCTGAGGAAGGTGTACTGGAAGAGGCGGAATTTTATAATATCACTGAATTGATTCGGCTGGTTAAAGAACGAATCATACTCAGGGACACCCGGCCACAACGAGATTCTAAAAAACATGTGTATAGGGTCTTGCAGTGTCATGAGGATGAGCTGACCCAAATGGTATCGACAATGTCTGATGGCTGGAAATTTGAGCAGGTATATTTGATTAATTAATCATGAAATGACTATAGTGAAAGTAATAGCTCTCTAAGAAAGTTTTATTTATTTTCAACTCTTTATTATAGCTAATCAACATAGGCTCTCAGTATAATTATGGGAACGACGATCATGCAGAATTCCTGTGTGTTGTGAGTCGAGAGTACGGGGCAAGTCAACTCACCAGCAAGGAACAGGAATCCACTGATCGTGTCAAGGTATCGACATCCCATTCAAACCTTACGCACCCCTATCCTAGCCAAAGTAGTCACGAATAGTATGAATTTTTTTATGTATATATTTTTATTGTACATCTATCATTATATCAAAATTTAAAGAATTCCTTTTTTGCACGTTGTTTCATAAATAATTGTCGAATCCCATTATTTATTATTGGGGAATTTTATATCATAATATTGTATTTAAATGCATTTAGACATTAGTCAATTATATAATTGATTCATTGTAATCCGTTTATAACTCTAATTCAATAGCATTATGTTTAATGAGAGGCCAAAGAGACACAATTAACATTGGAAAAACTTTATTTGAACAATAGATTCTTTTGTTTTTCTATAGCCACTCATTTTTATTAATACCTTAGATTTTTTTTCTTGTCACTTAATCATTTTAACATTTCTACTTTGGTTATTTCCTTTTGTAAAAAAAAAAAAAAATGAATTTCGCGACATTTTCAACGTAAACATGCTTTGCGTGCAAGAGCGTGGATTATAGTGATTGACCAATGTGTCTTTTCGCTAGAATAGAATTTTATGAGGTGGTTTGTTATATATTAATTTCAAACAACCTTGTATCATTCATTACTAATCAATGAGGCCAATCCGCATGAGCATGTCCTGCCTCTGATATTTTTTATTGTAACGTAATTATTATTATGTATTATCGCATGCAATTCATTGAATAAAGAATATTTTTCTTTCATCGGTTTGGTTACTTCCTGCCCCGCGTCCTGCATGATCTGTTTTGCATGCTAATTTAAGTGTCTCATCTTTCCATTATATTTCTGCCTAGTAAAAGATATATGTCCATTTTAAAATCGATCAATACATAAATTCATATTTCTCTGAAAAAAATAGTCTATGTACAACATTGCTTTCAATTGGACATTTCTATTTTCTTTTTCTTTCTTTCATAATATATTTCACATTCGTATCCTCTGCTGGTAAATATTTCAAGTAAGCTTAAAGAGAGACAATTTAAAGAATAAAGAAAATTGATTATCTGAAACACTGGTATCATACTTGAGACATTAAAAAGGGAGGTGAGTGAAAATTTGCATGCAACCAAAGTACACTGGGCAGGCTACGGGTTTACAGATAAATGAAATATCAAATAACTTGACTAACGGATGTTGAAATAATTGAAGAACAAATCCTAGAGGCAGGAATGTGTATCATCTGGATAAATTGAATCGCATACTCCATAGATCATGGACTCCTCAGTTTCTCCTGGTAGTAATTCTAGATAAATGAATATAACGTACCTCCAGTATTATCTGTGTAATTATAACTGCTATTACTTGAACCTATTGATACACTGTAATAAATTGGGGTGATTCGGTTACATTCTAGGTCCTGCAGCAGAAGGGCTCACGCATGTAATCTAGTCCTAGCATCCTCACTCCCTTCTCTAGACCAGCTACACGCAGCAACAAGACGAAGACTGTTTTTCTGTTGTTTTATTTAGCAGCTTTTACTCCATACGAGATACGAGATCCGAGCAACTAACATTTGTCAGGATCTCGTTTAATTTATAGTTATAGGGATTATAACGAATAAGGAACACGCGCTGTGGTGCAAGAGATTATGTAAAGAAACGAGGAAAAGAAAAATCAGCAACTTAATATATCACAATGGGATCTTCAATGGCTTTTACACCGTGCTAACAGAGTGAAGATAAAATCGTTTATATTCAACGTAAAGGATGATACAGGATACATCACAGCATCCTGACACACTTAAGGATTAAGATGAATTCCTGAGATCTTTGGATAAATTGAATCTTCAAGAGTAATCCACATTATCTGGTACACTCTGTAAAATTCCTTTGAAACAAGGAATCCTGACTCACTAATATAACAATTATAATACCAAATCACAACTTTGGTAAGATTGGCACAGTGGCAAGTGATTATACCACGATGGCTCTCTACAATTATAATCTGACAAGAGAAGTGGAACAGGAAATGAAGAGACTTTGAGAAATAGAGTGAATCCTCGTTATGAATTATTATAACGAAACTAAAGGAAACGCATTATATATTTACATTGATAGAGGTCAATGGACAATAGACGCTATGGAGGAAATCTCTGATATACGACTTTCTAACGCCATGTGCATTACATACATACAGGGTGGCCCAGTCAAAAGTATCCAAACCAATCGAGTGCTTTGACCAAGGTGACTTCTTTTAACTGAGCTACCCAGTATATATAAAGCGTCGTATAGCTATACCAGTGATGCTCAGGGGACTCATTTTACATCGCAAGTCATTCACAAGAGACCCCTCATCAATTGATGCTGATGTACCAGCAAGATAATACATATTATTTTAAGGCGTCTATCAATTAGAGTATTAGATGATTAGGTACTCGTATAAAAATTGATAGAAAATTCATGGTCGTACACAATAAGCGCACATCCTTCGTATATCCATGATCATATAAAAATTTTGAAATTCCATAAATGCGCACTGCCGTTAACACGTACATAAAATTTTTTGCGATTATATAAGAACGACGTGTGACTTTCGTAATGCCTTATTGTTTCTTCTTTCTTCTTTCACCATGAGGATCCATAAGTCCTCAAGATGAAATCAAGATTAACCCTTGAAAGCTCCGAACAACTGAGCACATTTGTTCTTCGATAACTTAATGTAATAATGATTTAAGGATAATTAGAGATTTTAATGAAACGCAAGAACGAGAAAAGTTATGCAGGATTAAACAAAATATGATGAGGGATAAACGTATAACGGTGTCTTTTATCTTGTCCCGTGAAATTTTATTTCTTCTCACTTTGCAATAAGACAGAGTAGAATTTAAGGATAAACTGTCAAGCGGAAGCACATAATTATAGTTTATAATACTTTACGACGTCTTAACGCGCGTTGTCATTTCCGGTATTGACGCCCGGAAGTCCCTTGACGGGAGTCTCTTTTCTTTTGCGGGTGGGACTGCCGGGCGCATGTACAAGAGTGTATTTGAATTTGTTATACTTGTTTATTTTTTTTTATTTTTTCTTGAAAATATATCAGGATCGTATGTTACACGGTACTGAATTTATCTATATTATAGTTGAGTGTGAGAGTAATAGAGATATAGGTTGTCAATTGTCATAGGCCTATAAGGAAGCGTCCTAGACAATATATTCATGCTTGCTACACACGTGCATCTGAAAGTGTGAGAGAAATAGACAGAAAATGAGACAGAGAGAAAGAGAGAGAGAGAAGTTTTATTAAAGAATTATATAAATAAGCCCAATGGAAAGTTATGAATGTATGTACAAGACCATGGACCTCGGTGTTATAACTGGACATAGAGAAAGATCAGAGTGCAATTATCATTGAAGAATTCATATACAGGAATGATTGGAAAAGGTTAAATGAGAGAAAGATGAAATTTGGTCCTTTTATTCCAAGGAACGCGATACCCGTTTGCTGTTCTGGTACCGGGTGCGCATATGTTGTTTTAATGAAAGAATTATATGATGAGAGAGAGAGAGAGAGAAATCCATTCTTTAGCTCAAATTCATGTGACTAATATAGGCGACATTGATATTCGTTATCGTCAAAAGTCATGATTAAATATAAGTACGTCATTACGTATTATATATGTAAAACTTTTTCGACTATGTGAAAGGATTTGTACTTTCATAGACAAATTTCTAAAGCTATCGACTACTCGATGTGTATCGTTAAGCATGAAAATTATATTTATATGTATAACCGAAAGGTAACTTTTAATACGAGTAAATGTTAATAAGTGATTAAGAGAAGAAGATGGATATGAGAGCGAAAGAATGTTTTAAATTCATATAGTCAAATAATGTTAATCCAGTATGGGATGGTGTAGAATTTACAGAGGGAACTTTACTAAGCATTTTCTTCATTCATCGATTATTATTGGAATAGATACAGACGGAAGGAAGGGAATGGAAAATGACGAAGGAAGGAAGGTGACATTCCCATATTAATGATTCTATTCGACATGTGTACTCTTCTCAGTAGAAGTATCTGGTGCGGAACTCCTTTCTCTGTTTTTCTATTCTATTGTTTAATCGTGTGAAGAAGAAAATGTTGTCATATGTACAGTGGAGACTCGATTAACCGGACTAATTGTTGTCGAAAGTCATTCGGATAATCGAAAATCCGGATAATTGAATGTATGAAGAAAAGCGGTTTTTGTATTACATACATATATATTAACTCTAGAAAGAAAACCTATGCCGCCCGCGCATGGTTATCTTTTAGTTACGTTGTCATATGGTATCTTTCCAGGGAAACTGTCTAGCTAAAACAACAATGAAACAGGGCAAAGAAGAGATCGCGTGGGGCGCGGGCGGGTAGAGCCAGCGCAACATGTCCGTGCACGCACGGACTAGACTACAAAGATATTTGCTTGCAGTTGGCAATCCGGATAATTACGAATCCGTATAACTGAGGTCCGGATAATCGAGTCTCCACTGTAGTTTTGTTCAATTGCTGTGTGGGCATTCTATGCAATACATGATGGATACATTTTTCACTACCACACCTTGCAGGAGCACTCTTAATATCTATCGACAGTAATTACCAGAGTTAATCATTAGTAGATCATTCAACTTAATCAGGAAGCAATTCAAGTTAGATGGTTGTACTTATCCACACTCCTCTGAATCTTACTCTCTATGAACTATGACCATCTTGACAGTATAAGTTAGCACGAGAGTTGACTACCAGCAACCGAATTAGTGTGATACAGTCGTGGATTATAATAAGTTGTATGATCATAGTGTTACAATATGAATTATAATGTTCTGTGCAAACAGGTGGTACAAGAATTTGATTGTTTTCTACCACTTCTAAGTTAAAATAAATAAAGACTTTATTGTATAATTTTGGAGTGTTTAACAATATCTTGAAAGAAACTGCGAATTTACGTTGCAATGGATTTTACTAAAAATATATTTATATACAGCTGTGAGACAAATTACGAAACTTGATATACATTTGTTACAGCATCGAGAGAATTTGCAGATATTGATGGAATATCCTTGCACAAAGTTGATTCCAAATCAGTGTTTTTCATGGTAAACTAGCTATTGTCTTTAATGGTTCATCAAGGTATTGTGCCAGGGCTTGTGCTTTTTCTCTGAGCAATCCAAAACCAACGTTCTCGCGAGCGTACAGGCACAATAATAGATTTGCAACTTCTGTAATAACGACCTTTCCTTCCTGTAAGAGTTTGACTATTGTTAGGATCATAACATAATCACTATACAAATAGCAGATAGTCAATTATAAAATTGTAATTACTGCGCAATCCATCAAGACAAATTGGAGTTCATCCTCTTTGAAGGCATTTCGTCCATTTTTCTCATAAGCAGACCAAATATTACTGGTTATAGCTGCTGTCACTCTAGCATCTTTATCTCCATAGCCACTATATGCTAACAAACCACCATCCCTGGTCAGTAACCTAAAGTAACAAAACAACAATATCACTATCAAAGAGATAGAATGAATTTACTGAAATATCAAGTTTCACTGTAACAACATAATTCATTTGTTATCAGAATAAAAAGTAGGTTCATAGGTGAATAGCTTACAATGTATTTTCCACACCTCCAGTATTTGCTTGACTCAAGACCTGTGTAAGAGCCTTTGGTTTCAACATCTTTCCAAGCACAAAATGTAACAAAACTTTCTAATGAATAATGTCGCATTAACAATAACAATTGCAAATAAATATTGCTTATGACTCTTTCAGAATAATGTTGATCATAACACCCTGTCTCAATATTACATACTTCTTTAATTGACTGTTGATTTAATGACACTGCATTATTATTTATTTACTCTAATTGTTATTACATGTGCGACTACCAAATGACTGCGTGTAACAAAACGAGAAGACGATGAAGATGGGAAAAACCATGAAAATACAAAATTCGTAGGACTTCTTCTTTTTCCTTTTTTTGGCTTTACTCCTCCATCAGACCTCCATCCGTAGTTTCCATTTTAGTATCTAAATAGGCGTACAGTCCGGTTCGACCAATAGGATTCTTTAGATTCAATCAAACTGCCACTCCTATTGGTTGATAATTGACGTCACATGCACCAGAGGTCTGAAATTGCAACTTCCGGAAGTTTTGTTGCACTTGCGTATTGCATTTGTTGACTGGAGATGAGAATGGAAATATTTTATATCTCACCCATCTATCTTATTGATTCTTCTAGCAAACTGTATGGATAGTGAAACGTTTAAATGTATTGCATCTTACAATCTCTGACGTATTTACTCACAGCAGTGGACGAATCATAATTTTATGTTGAGAAGAGACGCACCAGCTAGGCGAGGACGCTAAAATTGATAATTCTTTCATATTATATTTTTTCAATTAAAAGTTACGATGGGTTGAGTTCTCAGCTAATGTGGAGCTAAGAGCATTATTTTCTTGCTCTGAACTCAGGTTTTACGTATATGGAAAAAATATACTTATTGTTACGTATATCATTCGTGTTATTATTTAATCATTTTTGTTAGATCATTATTAAATTCAGGAATGTTTCCGATTTGAGTGGTTGAATTAAATATTTTGTAAACAAATGGATATAATATTTTTGTATTTACTATTATTATGCTATTACATTGCTTCGTATAGTTACTGATCTTTCACCTAAATCAATTAAAGTCAAATAATCTTGCAATTATAATCTTTAATATTTGTATGTTTCAACAGCCGATTAACTGGCATGCTGGGTGATACGATAGTTAGAGCACATGGCAGTCAGGAACTTTTTTGTGCGCTTTTGTGCAGAAAGTGATGATGAAATAGAAGGGCTGAATGAGAAACTTCTTGAACTTCTGTCAACCTTAAAGAGTTCACAACCTGTTAATCAGCTTGAGGTCCATAGTACTCAAGCTGCATCGGCGACAAGCACTGAAAATGACACAGATACGCAATTGGAGTACAGAGGTATGGCGACTCCGCCGTCTTTTAGACGCTACCACTATGACTGCTCATTTCTTCATTGTGGAAGTCCAGTTAACTCAGGCTCTTTATCAAACTGCTTACCTCCAATCGGAGTTTTCTGGGATATTGAGAACTGCCAGGTCAGTAAAATCGTTTATTGTGCATTTTTCATAATTGAACAGGAACTCGTGCAACCATTTCTTTTCAGGTTCCCAAAGGAAGGTCAGCTGTGGCGGTTACTCAAGTAATTCGAGAAAAATTTTTCTCTGGCTACAGAGAAGCAGAGTTTATTGTAGTCTGTGACGTTTACAAGGAAAACAAACAGGTTATCCAAGAGCTGAACGATGCTCAGGTAATTCATTTATTTATTTAAGGATAATAAATTTATATTTGACTATAAAAAGACGTGTGTACAATATTTTTATTACTATTCATTAGGTCAATTTAATACACGTCGCATCAAGTTGTAAAAATGCTGCTGATGAAAAACTCCGACAATCCATAAGAAGATTCGCTGATACACATGGTAGTCCTGCAGCTATAATTTTAATATCCGGTGATATTGATTTTGCTGCAGATCTAAGTGACCTGCGGCACAGAAAAAAGATACACGTGATACTCCTGCACAAGGAACATACCTCCGAGGCTCTGATACTCTGTGCCAATGAGCATTACAATTTCATGGAACTGATGGAACCACTGCCGTCCCGAAATCCCACGAAGGTAAATAGATTTTTTATTAATTTTCAGAGTTTCTTTTGCACTAAAGTAATAAATTATTCTAATAATTTTAATATTACTTTTTCCAACCTCTTGATTTCCCATAATATTATATTTTTCCTAGACCGTGCTCATAGACATGTTCATTTTCATTATTCATTGGTGCTTTGTGTTTCATGTCTCCTCTGCTAATATCAATTCGTATACTTTTCCAATTTCCTTATTTTTACTTAGTTGAATTCTAAGCACTCCTACCTTTTTAACTTTATTTTTCAGGTTGCAGAAAACTTCGACCTGCTAGTCTATAATCTCCCTAAAGATAAGGACGTAGTAGCTATTAAACGTCGACTTAAGCAGCTATCAAGTAATTCTGGTGGTCGAGTTATAGGAGTTTATTCGAATTCAGCTACAGTACGTTTTACCTCTCATGACTGTGCTATAAGGTATGTAAAATAATGGCATAAATCCATACATAATTATAAAATGAATCATCTATAAAATAATCATTAAATTCTACATGCTATATTAACAATCCAATTGAAGTTGGACTTAAACTGGCGCGCTTATTCCTGCAAAATACCACCTTGGCGAATAGAAATATCTGTATTTACATTAGGAAAAAAAAGTTATCTCTAGATTGACTTGCTCAATATTAGGAGTAGGGATTAAGGTATAAATAATGGTAAATTTGAAAGGGCGAACAGCAATGTAACGAATTCTACGCATCGTCACTGGTCATCGTACAAATAATAGTTTTAACGATTATTAACGTTAAAGTGTTTGTCAATATATTTCGTATATATGGGTATATAGTGCTGTAAAACGAGAAAGATCCATTTATCCATTAAGTTTTGATTGATATTAATTTATTGTTTCAATAATTCGTATGTTTGTCTTCGCCTGACCTCATGATTGGACTACATGTACTCAACTCTGGTAATACGTTTAACAATTTCATAAAAAAACCGAAGCCGTTTTTTGATAAGCGCGAAGATATTTGATTCTAATAACATCAAGTAACATCGTCAGCTCGCCAGAAAGAGACATTTAAAATTTATTTAAAGATCGTACATATTCCTCTTCTTCACAAGCAAGTCGAATTCTCCGAATAAACTCAGCTGACTTTGACCGTGAATAACAACTTGTCCTTTCTCTCTTTTTTCATTCTTTTTTTTTTTTAAACTCTTCCTTCGTTCTAAACAGGGCTCAGAAACGTATGGACGGAGAGCACGTATTCGGATCTGAGATTTTCGTGAGATTTCCCAAGAATAAAGAAGCTTATCCCGGGAAGATACGAGGTGAGCTGTCTTTTCCATTATTCCTGTGTTTGAATTTCTCCTGCCTGTTTTTATTGTTTACTCGAAACTCTATGTCTCTGATCAATGGTTATAAATATTTTCGCACTTGCCAGCTTTGACCCTGAAAAATTTTATTTGAATCCTGCATCACACCCATGCTTTTATAACTGATCATCTGCTGCTAGTCTTACAATTTGTTAACACTCCTAATCAGGATGGAGATCAGTCATCGTTACACATTGTTTTTCAAAATCTTGCAGGTAGTTCTTTAGCGCGTGAATATACGGCTAGTGATTCCGAAGCTGCTGCTGGATCACCTAGACCAATGTACAGTGCGAGTTCCTCAATTGGTGGTGCCAGGAGTCTCCCCGTTACTCCACATTATCACTCTTTGTCTCCTGTCGTTGGAGGTTATTCTGGTTGGAGTGGAGTACATTGTACACCAGTTACTGCATCAGCTGGGTATGTCCACTTATTTTTTTTATGTAATTTTATATAAACAAAATATAATTATTTGTTTTATTCAATGATGATATTCCGAGATGGAGCTCTAGAGTCGTGAGTTGACTGCAATAGTCCTTACTTGACTCGAGCTGTGACTTAAAGAAGCTTTGATCTTATCTGATATATAACCTAAATTAAAGAAAAGATAAATACCTGTGGCATCCTTTATACTACTTTGTGCTTTTTTTCTGTTCATTTTGCAGAATGATTCAACCACCACCTGTATGCATTAGTAGAAATTGCTCCAATACTAATGATGGCACTTTTAGCAGATCGTACAACGAACTTCCCAGATCGCAGTCTCCTGTAGTCTGGCCAGTTACAGGACCACAACAATTTGCACGATTCTGGGACGAACAATATGGTGTAAGTTTAGTTTTATAATATTAAAAATTCGGCGAAATTTTGGGCGTTTAAAATATGGACATTTCAGAATGATCGTGCAAAGAATCTTGGAAAACGATCACAAGCATCACAGGGTCGTGACAATGGAGTTTCCCACGATAATAGAGGAGGTTCTCGTACTCCGGATGGTCTCAGGGGAATTCGAAGGTCTCACAGCTCTTTGTCTCACTCCTCTGATTGGAATAATCCTAGATCAAATTACTTCCCAGCGCCTCCAAATTTCAGTGGAAATGGTACTTCATTCAAATTTGAAACTTTGAAGTTGTTTGAAAATTTAAATATTTTAAGGGATTCTAATTTTATATTGTCTTCAGGTTACGGACAATCACATTCTTTTAAACGTCGCAGTCCATCTCCAATGTATAGTATACAGGGACGAGATAATCAATGGAATGGACAGGTACGTAATATTTATTGGATCAACCAATATATTGTTGTGTTAAGTACTTATGTATAAATATTTTAATTAATGTGTCCTACAGAATCAACAACCTGGCACGCAACGAAGAACTCCATCTCCTTATGATTGCACAATTTTGCAATCAATGGGTCATCAGACAAGTCGTACGTCCCCATATTATCAAAGTGATCCGGAGAATGAGGAGGTCGAGGTGAGTTAATTATAAATTATTTTAATTATTTTAATAAACTAATAAATCATCCTGCATCAAAGTCTAAGAAGAAAATGAAAATAAATTTGTTCCAACAGAAGTTTTTCAATCCTATAAATAATCGCAACGGAAACAACGCGGCCAATGGTAGTTACACTCCCATCGAACTTCAAGTCACAAATTTAGATCAAAATATTGATCCAAAAGAGATGAAACGAATTTTATCATCCATTTTCATGGAACACGTAATGGTGAGTCAAGCAATAATAATTGACTATACGTGTGTAGATGGGATTGTACATTCTCTATCATTTTTATCAATGCATTCAGGTCTTGCACGTGTCTGTCTTTATGCAATCTGACGGTAACTTTGCGGCCAACGTTAAAGTTCCCTCACTTCCGGAGGCGCAATACGCCATATCGCAACTGCATCGTCGCAAAGTTGGCTACAAGCGAATTCTTATCTCCTATGCTCACACGGGTGGGCCCAATCCGCAATTGGTTCGTTCACATATTGTGATGCTTCTTCAAGAAGTACCCGGACACAAGCTGCCCCTGTTTAAACTGCGCGAAATGTACGAGAGCCGATTTATGATCTCGATCAGTGTTTCCGAATTGTATAAGATGAAGGATGTCTGTATTATTACCGAAGATCCTGATGGAAGGATGGTTTCCTTGAATCCTGATCACAGGAACACTCCATCACCTTGTTTCAGCAATAATACTCAGGTTCGTTATAATTTGTCTGTCGATAGTATTAGTTATATTTGAAAACACTTTATTGACATTTGTCACTTCTACTGCGATAATTACCCTGATGACAATTGAGAGGCCGAGTTTGAGTTACTGTAATGAGAGTCGAGCTCAACTTGAGTTCCTTTTATTATGGATAAACTTTGATAATTGCTAGAAGCGACTTGATTTATCTGATTCTTTTAAACGTTATTGCACAATTAGTTATTCATTGGTACTTTCATCTAAACATTATTTGCTTTCTGGGTTTTACTATTCAGGATGGAAATTTTGACTTTCCTTATTGTATAATCCATACTCAAAAGCCATGGTCTGATAAAGGATGGGCAGAGCAGGAAATGGCTTCCTTACCGAATGTTAAAATATCATTGAGTGTTCTTGCCACTCGTATACATCAATTACTCATATCACATAATGGCAGCTTACCGTTACCCAGGTGAATAATGTTTTCTAGTAATATTTTAGATTTTCCTTAACAATTCTTAATGAATTTCTGTATATATTTCTTAGCTTGTCAAACTGCTACGAAGCAGAATTCAAGGAATCATTAGACATAGATAAGAATGGAGTTCCTTTGGAACATCTTGTGTCGTGTTTGCAATCTATTGATTTGAAACAAGGTGTTGGCTCTGTCAAGCACATTGTTCGAGTAGGAAGCAAGGGTAACGATGACAGTCACGAAGGTAAATAAACAACATCTGAAGCAAAGCGTTCGAGTTTCATAAATTGAATTCTCTTAATAATCAAATTCTATTTGTTTCATAGAAAATAAGTGTGTCAGTCCACCACTGGCAAATCAGCTGGCTCTGTTTAGCCGTGAACTGGTGGATCTTTTAAAAACAGCGCCTCATTGTCAATTACTATTCAATCGTTTCATACCAGCCTATCATCATCATTTTGGCAGACAGTGTCGAGTGGCTGATTATGGTTTTACAAAATTAATTGATCTTCTCGAAGCTCTCACGCACACAGTGCAGGTTTATATTCTTTTGGCTATTGAACATTTTTCACCTCTTCAGCTCACTTGCATCATCTATACATTTATTAATAGGTAATGGGCGAAGGAGATAAACGTGTTGTGACACTTTCACATCGTGCACAAGTCCGCCGGTTTACATCTGATTTATTAAGAGTACTGAAGGCTCAAGCGAGTAAGCAAGTAGCACTTTCCGAATTTCCAAGTGTCTATTCCAGAGTAATAGGTAAATAAAACACGTTGAATAATTTTTTTTACCAACAAAGAAAGAGGATAATACTTCATTTCCATGGTGAATTGCATTAGGTAAACCCTGGGACGTTGTTGATTATGGTGTTTGCGAGATAGGAGATATCCTGAGTGAAGTATCTGAGAATACAGTGGTGGTAACCAATTTTAATGGCGACGATAAAATGATTGCCATTCCTAAACGAGAACAGACTCCAGAGGAAATTGAGCGTACTAAACAATTTGCTATTGAGGTAAGGACAGTGGAAGATGTCTAGAATATTCTTTATAATTAATTTGATCAAGTAAAATATCGATGTTTAATAAATACTTCATTTAAAGGTTATTGAGCTATTGAGACATGCTCCACAATGTAGAATGCTTTTCAACAAATTCGTACCGTCCTATCATCATCATTTTGGTCATCAATGTCGCGTATCCGATTACGGTTTTACAAAACTTATTGAACTCTTCGAAGCCATTCCGAATATCGTGCGAATTGAGGAAATAAATGGTGGAGAGAGACGCATCGTTCTCACTGAGAAAGAGGGTCTTCGTGTTCTTGGCGAGCAGATATCAAAATTAGTATCAAGATCCAGAAATGGTCTTAGCGTTACTAGCATTTCTCAGGCTTTCCTCAGACAGTTTGGTTATGCCCTGCGTCCAGAATTATTTGATTGCAACTCCATGTTGCAACTCATTGAAAAACTGTCAGCCACTGTCAAGGTAATTGGAGATATAAAAACATTTATAGAAGGTTGGAATATTTTCTATGAATAATTAAAACACATTGTATCATTTACCATCTTAGGTTATTCGTACAGCAGCTGGACCAGTTGTTCAGTCTGTCGATAAATCCCATTTACAAGAATTAGCATTACAATGTCGTCGAATATTAATGGATCAACCTGACCATCGTGTCTCAGTAAAGGAATTCGAAAGATTTTATTCTCAGTACTATGCTCATTCTTGTAATCTTGATGAAGTCGAGAAGGAGCTTACTGGTATAGTGAAGGTAAACAATTTCACTGTTAAACAATATTCCTTGTCTGTGGTTTTTAAATAGTCTAATCTTTTATGTTTTTTAGTTTACAATTGCAAATGGCGAACGGTTTATCCAGCTGACACCTCTCTACTGCTTTGCCTGTAACTTATATCAAGTGATGATCAGGCACGGTGGCTCCTTAAACATGTCTCAGTTCGAAAGTGCCTATTTGGCTGTGATAGGATCAGCAGTAAGAGCTGCAAAATATGGATTCCCTACACTTTCAGCCCTACTCCGAGCGTTACCATGTACTGTAATAATAAAGGATACACGAAACAAAAAGAAGATCATGCATCTTAATAAGAAGCTAGCCAGTAAGTCAAAATGATTTAATAATTATTAACAGAGACTTTAATTACACTGATCTCAATCGTTTTTATTTTTTCTTATTACAGCAGTGGGAATACCCTTACCATCGACTTTTTCGTCCACTTCGCCTTATCGTGATACAGATTCCAGCAATGAATCCTTTGAGAGCGATACCTCGTCTCGTGCCAATGCCTCCAATGCTTCCATTACTTCTGAGGAACGTAACAAGTGGCCAGCACAGTCTGCCAGTTCTCAAAATACTTGGAAGCAGAAGGAGGATACAGATGTTTGGGAGAAGAAGGAGGAAACCGATTGGTCCAATATGCCAAACACTGCGACATCCAATAAATGGCCTGTGCTGGAAAGCAGTGGTGAATGTTTCCTTAAGAGTCTCGTTCGCGCTCCTGTAATATGCAAGGAACTTCCGGTGCCGCCACCGTCGCCACCTAAACCAGATTCCTTTGTAGCAGTATGTTTCTTATTTACCGCAAAATTGCTTTGCTTTCCTCTTCTATATTTGTTCATTTATATTTTAGGAGGAGACAAGCAAGCAGAAGCCTTGGAATTCATCAGTTTGGTCCAGTCCTCCTAATTATGTATATTCCCAACACGAGCACGCTACCAATGTGGATGTAAGTATTGGTAAAATGGCGTTCTTTAAATATTAAAATTAACTTTCTTATATTTGTATTGTCCAGGTGCCAGCATTTACTCTGCCACAATGGAATCAAATGCCTGGAGAAGACATTCTATCAAATTTATTGTCGCCAACGAAAAATCTACTACCAGCTGCTGCAAATCCTTTGAATCCACGCACTTCCCCTTATTTCTCATCGAATAGAAATTTAGTCGTCGCACCTCACCCCTCAGAGCTGCCATTGCCTTCGATGTCGTTGACTCCTAAAAAAATTGGACTCGCAGTAGACAATAAGGGTGGTACCCCAATAGTCAAGGACGACGTGTCAAAGATTACGGATACGAACGCAAAGCCAATAGAAGTACCAGCGGCTTTCCAGGAGGAGAATAGTACTGATCACGATGCCAACCGGGTCGACAGTACACCAACAAAACGCTGTGAGTATCATTTCTTATTTTTAATTCACTTTAGTACATTCCGGGAAAATGAAGTGCTGTTCAGAAATGACAGCTGAGTGACGATAGTTTTTATTAAACTTAGTATTCTCAGGGAAACGTCGTCTAGCTGCCCAGTTCAACCAGCCAATCGACTCGTGAGCGAAAGCATTGAAGAAGCGTACGAATATCAAGAAAATTTCAAAGCCTAAGATTTACGAGGCTGCTCAATGAGAAGATTAAATGTTAATGCCAAAAATGGAGCCCCGTGCGAATTTGCGCGTTTCAATTTTATTATCAGAAATAAAACCATTAATTGCATAAAGATTCGGTAGGCCAGCTTCGCTCTCAGTTGGATACCGAAAATTCTTACTCATAAATCGGTAGTCGTATGCCATACAATTTTTTTCATTCGTTTCATTGAAAATATTTTTAAAAATCTCACTTCTCTTGATATACAATATCATTCGCCTTTCGCCTTCAGCTCTCTTACACGTTACTGATCCTCTGTAAAGTAACAGTATTACATAGTATCCAGTAAAACAGTGCATAATAATATACGAAAACAGGAAAGAAAGAAAAAAAAAAGGGTGAAAGCAATGAAGAAAATTTTGAGAGCGTATAATGCACGTGCGGCATTTATTATCGAACAAATTACGCATTAAATTCGCGTTGCATATATCAAGACTGTGATAAGAAATGAATACCGATAACGTGGTTAAAATTTTTTGCAAAATGGGGCGACGTGACGAGTGACGATGCTCCTAATTAAATTGCGAAATTAAATAACGCCGTAGATCGGTCTAATTATTTTGGGGGGGAAAAACAATATGAGATTCCAGTGAATGGTCCATTTTATGTTCCCTAATGCTAGAAGTCATTATGGAGCTGGATCTCCTCGTGAACGATGATCTCACAAAAACGTAATATGTATATTAACGCTCTTTTTACATTATGTATTATATTCGTTTCTAGTACAAACTATAAAGAGAACGAGAATCACGCTGGAAATCCAGCGATTTGGATCCATGCGATTGATCTTTGACCCATCCTTAGTTCTTTCCGTCTTGTACACAAAAAGAAACCACTAGGATTTTTTTTCTGTTTTACTATTGTGATCAGTCCACTCTTTTTTTATACGTATACTGCACCTGATTTTATAAGATTTTTTCTTTTTTTTTTTTTGATTGTCATGGGATTGATTAGCTTTTCAAAATTACACTATATTTTTCTAATCAATCACGAAGACGTAATTTAAGGCAGCGCTCAATGATAAGTCTAATTACATGGAGTCGGTGCGCTTTTAATCAGGGAAACATTTATAATATTTAGTATGTAATATAGTACGGTAAGATTATATATATAAGATATTGGTACGGTTATATTAGATAAATATGCCATAAGGATATTTTACCGTAAACCGTATGTGGTTACTTCGCGGTTTCATTCTTTAGATCCCTGCTGAATCTCCCTGTTCGGTCGGAGAGTCGCTTGCGTAAATTTTAATTCTGAAAAGACAACAGGAGCGTATGCGTAATTGTAAATGTTTTATCCTTTCGGTAATTCGATCATTTTTTCTATCGTTTGTTACGAGCGATGTGGAGTGATTGTTAATTTTATTTTGATATAGGCGATATTTTAATCGAGCACGTATGCTAACATTATGTATGAAATATTTGCCGGCAAGACGGGGTGGAGCCATTATCGCATCACACAGCTACGTATTTCATAAGTATAAGTCGATATCAATTTCATCCCGAATGCTTATTCGATTAGGTAGACAATCACTTTTATCGGATTCGGATGCATTGCTTGTTAGTCATTTAAGGCATAATATTAATTGTTAATTAATCCGCCGACGCTTAATGTATAAACGGTATTGATGTAAGTCGGTATTGATGCGGCTGCAAGGCTTCGCGCTTGCTGCGCGGTTTTGTAAAACGATCACAAAATTTTATTTATTACTATATCGCTTCATATGATTTTGTTGTGTTAAATATTTATTGCGTAAACCATGGATTCTTGCAAATTTATTATTATCATCGCCGATTTAAGTACCGGCTTACGGTTTCTATTAGTCGAGGACAAAACGCAATACTCATTTGATTGATTTTCCTTCTATCTCGTGGGAAAATAATCTAGACCTTTTTTTTTCATTCTTTTACGTAAGAAATATCTTTATGGGAAAAAAAGTATTTGCTATCTTTCTTTTTCCATGTGAACTTTGGCTAATGGTCGTGTAAGCTGTTGGATAAACGAAATGCATTGTAGGGACCTAATTATGAACCCTAAGTGCAATCAGTTGTTGAAAAACTGATTTTACTTTAATAACGAGGCAGATAAATGATATAAAATGTGAAGAAATACCTACATCTATCTTATCCTTCATCCTCCTTTTCCTAATTAGTATTTAATAGATTAATTTGATATGCGTCTACATTAGATATAGATGTTTTGTATACAATGAAGTATTAAAATAATTCAGAGGAAAGGCGTCAGTTTATGAAACAATAAAAAGTGATACTAACTATGGCTGTATGTATGATCTCTATTTTTTCAGTGTTTCTGTACAATTAGTTGACAATGCGTTTAATTTACTAAAGCGAGATTATCGCTTGGTTTTTCAATGTTACATACAACATTGGTATAACAATAACTCTACATGGATGACAATGCTAATCATCTGTTTTCATACCAGAACCGACTGGTCCATGTCTTCTTTCCCAAACCATACGATGTTTTTGTTTCATGAAAGCAACCTTTACATTACCTTTTGCACCTAGATCTCCATCTATAACAGACATTGATTTTAATATCATAACTTTGAATTAACATTTGGAATACGAAAATGTGGAGTATTTTACATTTTGCAAACCAGGCTCCAGCTGCATCTTCATACAACTCATGCAGAGGTTTACATTTCTCTATATCTATTCCATGATAAACTACACAGTCTTCGTATCGGTTTCTCATTATATTAAGAATTTCAGAATCGACTGCCCTGAAACACAGATAGTGAACTATGCATTTGAAGAAACTCATGCACATAGCATTAAAGTACAATATGAAATTCTTATCAAAGAAGAATCTACAAACACTAGGAAGATTTACTTGTCACGCCGGAATTGTATATTTGCTTCGAAGAAGCAAACTGGATCATCAGTGTAACAGGTATCGATGGTAGGAACACGTCGAAATTTCTGATGATACCATGGATAGTATTGTTGATTCGGCTTAACGATCTTATCTAAACATAATAATTTTAGCAACAATTAAACCTTAATAAAACAACAAATGGTATGTAATATCTATAACCTAAGAGAAGTGATTAGGTAATACCATGTACGAATGTCACAGGGCCATCCAAAAGATTATACACCGCATTGGCAAATCTGTCCATAGGACTGCGTCCGCCCTCCATTTTTCAATAATATTTTTATTCCCCGTAATATGAATATTATCTCAGTTTAAAAGTAAAAATTTAATAATCTAATACGACAAAATCCTACGAAACATCCAAACCAATACAGTCGTGTGCAGACGTGAGGTCGGATGGTCCTCAACGGTCTTGCGACTGCGTCATAGCGTATTCTTAAATAATGAACAAACTTTAGTAAACTATACTAAAGAAAATCTAGTCATATTTTATCTAGTTTCTAGTAATATTAATGTATGAATTGGCACTACTGTCACTACCATTACTCAGAACTTGCGTGAAGTTGGGCAGCCAATTTTTATTTTTTAAACTTTTTTTTATTCCAATCGTTTGATAGTCGTTTGATAGTGTTTGATAGTCTTGTAAAAACGTTTTATAGTCAATAGTCTTTTCAGAAAATCAAAATCAAAATCTGATTGGAAGTTGGCCGGCACTTTTTTGTTTCTAACCGGATTTTGTTTTTCCAGGGCTCAATCGATGCAAAATCGTTTGATAGTTGCGAATTAATTAATAAAAACGTTTGATAGTCCATTGCTTGGTTCGTTTGATAGTCCAAAACCATATGCGAATTCGCATATGGTTTTTCTCATTTTTCTTGCAAACGATGGATTATCAAACGTTTTTATTAATTAATTCGCAACTATCAAACGATTTTGCATCGATTGAGCCCTGGAAAAACAAAATCCGGTTAGAAAGAAAAAAGTGCCGGCCAACTTCACACCAGATTTTGATTTTCTGAAAAAACTATTGACTATCAAACGTTTTTACAAGACTATTAAACACTATCAAACGACTATCAAACGATTTGAGTAAAAAAAAGTTTAAAAAATAAAAGTTGGCCGGCCAACTTCACGCAGTTTACTCAGACTATAAAAGGAAACCTCCCACCATCTAATCCTCCATTTTCTCTGCTGATCGAGCCATGGTAAGTTGTTACGTCGTGTTCCGTATAATATCTAAAAACATCTTTGAAATCTTTAAACACTCGAGTCACTGATAAACAAATACCCGTAAAAAAAGGCTTTAACTTTATATTGATCAAAATATTTATCCATTTATCATATTACTAAAGGTCTAAATTAATTGTACAAGCCATGGGCTTGTAGAAGCCTCGTGTGCACATGAACTTTCACTTGATCCAAATAATACTTTTTCTACACCACAGTGATGATTTAGATATTAATGTTTATGGTTTAAACTGAATAACCCTGAAGATATTATTCTAGGGCGGTCTGAGTAATTAATTATTTCGAAAATAAGATTATACTTGTTTAGCCATCTTGATTCATTGTGGATTTCCGTTTGTTTTTCTAGTCTCATAGAAAATTCAGCGCCCCTCGTCATGGGTCTATGGGGTTCTACCCCAAAAAGAGATCTCAGCGTCATCGTGGTAAAGTAAAGGCATTCCCTAAGGATGATCCTAACAAGCCTGTTCATTTGACGGCATTCATTGGATACAAGGCTGGTATGACGCACGTTGTACGTGAGGCTGATCGTCCAGGTTCAAGTAAGTATCCTCACCGAGTGATACTGATTAGAGTATTTTCAATATTTCAATCTGGTAGTTTTCTTGTATGATATCGATGCTTATACTGGTATCAGATAGGTACAGTAATGTACTGGTCAGGTGCCAGTTGCAGTTATGGAGCTGCTTGATCTTGTGCAGTATATTCTAAGCTGCAGCATCGAAAAACATCTCTGTCCCCTACTTTGTAGGAGTGTATGGAGGCACAGCATATTCCATAAGCTCTTTGTAGCCCATTGGGCGTTGACAATTGAGACAAACCATGCTGTGTACAGCCCTCCTTACTAATCTTATATTATTAATAGTTTGTTATTGAAAATAGTAATTAATTTTTTATATTATAAACAGAGGTGAACAAGAAGGAAATTGTTGAGGCTGTAACAATCCTTGAAACACCACCCATGATTGTAGTCGGTGTTGTTGGATACATCGAAACTCCTCACGGTCTTCGTGCCCTGACTACTGTTTGGGCCGAGCATCTTTCAGAGGATTGCAGAAGACGTTTCTACAAGAACTGGTGAGTTATATATTTTTTTTAAATACATTTGTTTTAGTATATGTGGATACACGTATAAGTTATGTATGTAACATAAAAGTTGTGTGCTCACTATTTAATAAAAAATATATTAGCTCTCCACTCATACGATGAGAGTTTTTTCGGAAACAGCCATTGAGCTTTTTTGCTTAACTTACGGCTAGTCCGACATATGTGTCCAGCCTCCGCTCGATTCGATGAGGCTGGCACGTTTCAGAGGGATAAGAATAGGCAAAAAAGACGGACATTTTCATTGATTCTGCACAGGTACAAGAGCAAGAAGAAGGCCTTCACCAAAGCCTCAAAGAAGTGGCAAGATGATCTTGGCCGCAAATCTATTGAGAAGGATCTTAAAAAGATCACCAAGTACTGCAAGGTTGTCCGCATCATTGCTCACACCCAGGTAATTTATCTTCACCATCAAAATTGTATAAGACAATCTCGTTGAATTAAAACTTATAAAAGATTGTTGAAAACAGATGAAGTTGTTGAAACAACGTCAAAAGAAAGCTCACATCATGGAAATTCAATTAAACGGTGGAACAGTTGACCAGAAGGTTCAGTGGGCTCGTGAACATTTGGAGAAACCTGTGCCAGTAAACAATGTATTTGCTACCGATGAGATGATTGATGTCATTGGTGTCACCAAGGGCAAAGGATACAAGGGTATGTATTACATTTATCGTATTCAAAAAAGATATATATATTCTCAGGCAATATGATGAAAAAACATGATGTGCATTCTCTGATTATTTTCTGACGATAAAATCATGCTGCCTTCCTACTGAAGCCTTTAGAGAAACGATAACCTTTTATTACTAATAAAAGTTTCTTCTAAGTATTCAACGTTCTTTATACTCATGTTAATTTTTCTGTTCAGGTGTTACATCCAGGTGGCACACCAAGAAACTGCCACGCAAGACACATAAAGGTCTCAGAAAGGTTGCTTGTATCGGTGCATGGCATCCTAGCAGAGTATCTTTCACTGTTGCTCGTGCTGGTCAGAAGGGATACCATCATCGTACTGAAATGAACAAGAAGATATACCGCATTGGACAGGGTATCCATACAAAGGAGGGAAAGGTAATGGAAATTGTACAATTATTGATTCCTAACGCATGTAGCCTTGTGACAGATTAATTCTTCCGTGTAAAGTGGAATTGTTGATTGATAATACTTAACAAGGCTAGATGAAGCATCTTGACCATAGTACTCAGTGTAAATTGTATTTTACCTCTGAGCCTCCAATTCAAGTTACAAGATCTCAAAACAGATCTTTTATATAATAAAACAAATTCGTACTCTAACAAAAGTTTGTAAATTTTGTCGCAGATCGTCAAGAACAACGCTTCCACCGAGTACGATCTTACTGAGAAGACCATCACCCCCATGGGTGGATTCCCTCATTATGGTGAAGTCAATAATGATTTCATCATGCTCAAGGGTTGCTGCATGGGACCCAAAAAGCGTGTCATCACTCTTCGTAAGGTTAGTAGTAAAAGTTTTACTTCACTTAAAGTTTGCTTAGATTGCAAGTATATTGCAATTATGATGAACACCGAATAGAGCCAAAATAATATTCTCTATGACAACCAAGTGATATTTAATGATAGGACTGAGCATTAATAGTATTACTAATTACTCATTCTGATATAAAAAGATAGAAAATTAAAAAACTATTATTTTCTGCAGTCCCTACTTGTGCACACTAAACGAGCTGCCTTGGAGAAGATAAATTTGAAATTCATCGATACCAGCTCCAAGTTTGGACACGGTCGTTTCCAAACTGCTGCCGACAAGGTTTCCTTCATGGGTCAACTCAAGAAGGACCGCATCCGCGAGGAACAGGCGCAAACAGCAGCTGCAGCTCCATCCACTGCAGCTGCACAGTAAATGTATTTTACTGTGTTTCATTCAATAAAGAACTAAATCGAATTTGCTTTTAGAATTTCCACATTCCTACAAACGTCCCAAATCCTTGGATTTTCTAAGTTCGGTATAGAAAACCGGTTTTGAGAATAGGAAGAATTAATGAATCCGAGTCGGTGCATCATATGCTTCTCCATTTTTTGACTACTGTAGGAATATTTCCCGGCAACAAATTTTTTCATTTCTAGCATAGCCGAGTGTTGCTGTATTTTCTGATATCTAGATATTCCTCACCATATAATTCTGATTTACAGGTCTACTCGACATCATTCTTGGTATCTAATTACTCCTCGTCATAATTGACATGTCTGACCTGACTATTATTTGCTTGACAATAATATAATACTGAGAAATGCATTCTTCATAAACGAAAGTGAATTACACTGCAGGTAGGTCTAACAATGTAACACCAAGCAAACTGATAAAAGGGTAAGATTAAATTTCCAATCCCCTGCTGCTTTGGGTCGAGTCTCTCATTATTTACCTGCAACTATGTAGAAACCTGGCTATATCTATCTGCTAGCCCTTTGCAACCTGCCTCTCCAGAATGGTATAACTTTTATAATAGAACATTTCTGGAATTTCAATGACCAGGAAGGATTATGAAGGTAATAACGTTTAAATATATTAATTTAGCGATAAAATTTTACAGTCGCAGAGATTAGGACTACAAAATAAAATATTGCTAATAAAGTACACGTAGCGGTTGTTATAGCATTTGTCAATATTGCACGCTATTCAGGTCTCAAGGCCCTAAAAATCTACTAGTCTTCATTCTCAGTCCCAAAAAGGTTTCTTTTTATTATATTGGACCCTTTTGTTGCCTATCTTTTGGTATCCAATTTTACCAAAAGCAAATATGTGAGGTATAATCAGCGCCATCTAGATACAATGGTTTATCAACTTTATTCGACGTTCGACTGTGTTCGACTCTCGAGTTTAGACGACAAGAAGCGCCAGGAGTTTTTTCATGTCTGCCATTTTGCGATCGGTAAACATCGTATCTTCAATTAATTAGAGAATTTTCGGAATTGTAAGTATAACGCATAGTCCAATCCAAGTACCACACACTGTCAAAGAGGAGCATGTAATTTTGGGTTCTTATTAAGATCCCAATATAACAGCTTGCGCAGATCCTTGTAACGGAAAAATGTTCGTACGTCCAGCAGCGCGATCAGTGACTCATATTAATTAGTAATGACATTTATGTCACATGTGTCTGTGCTACAACTTTTTATTACTAGATACTTTCTCAAAGACCTGTTTTAGTTCTTTACTGATCTGCGACTTTAGACGCGTTTCGTGGTTGATATGTAGGACATTTCTCTTTTGCATTTTCATTGCGCTTCATAGTATTGATGTTTGCTATGTGAAAACACGTTGTTCTGCCAAGCTCTATTCACCTGTCTGAAAATGAAGCTACGGTTATTCATTTACGTCATTCACTAACTTGCTCATGTAGTTTTGCGTAACTTGGCACGCGCTACTTTCATAAGAAGTACTGAATGCAAGGAGAGAGGTTTTATTTTGAATATTAATATTTCATTAGTGATGAATAACTAGAAAGTAAAAATATAATTCATGCAGCTGTAATAGTCATTGATGGACTTTTGATTTTGAACCTAATTGCAGATTACTCTTTGAATATTTCGTGTAACTGTCTCTTTTTAATCTAGAACCTGCACTTATGTACGAAAGGGACTGGAAGCTTGGGAGATAAAAAATAATATTTCTTTGCTTTTGGGAAATAATTTAAGAGATTCATAAATTGGGCACACTAGCCGTAGTCATGATGGAAATCGATTCACTCCAATTTTCATCAAAAGATGAAGAAATACAATATTGGATGGATGTTGCTCAACAGATGCATCAACGGTCAGCATATTTATTTTGGTTTTTATGTGATTTTAATGAGTCTTATATTGAATTGTCAAGCTAAAGTTAAAAAACAATATTGCAGGAAAGAAGATGTAGAGCGGGAATTAGAGGAATTTCAAGAAAATTCTCAGATGCTTGAGAGAGAACTCGAGGCATCATTGGAACAGGCAGAAAAAACAAATAAAGAATTAAGACAGAGAAACTCGAGACTTGCAACAGAAATTGAACAGTTAAGAACACGATTAGACCAGCAATCAGCAGATTGTACAATATTTCAAACACAAGCACAAGAACTGCAAGCCCAAAATGATCAATATATGAAATATATACGAGAACTAGAACAAAAGAATGATGACTTAGAGAGAGCAAATCGAGTAAATACAGTGACAGAAGAAGAGATAGAGGCTAAATTTAATCTAGCAATTGAAAAGAATGCTTTATTGGAATCTGAGCTGGATGAAAAGGAAGGCTTGAAAGTAATTGTACAGCGCCTTACTGACGAAATTAGAGGTTAGTATGACTGTCCAAATTAAGATTGTGACAATATATCACAACACTTTTATAATTGCATTCTTTCTCTGTTGTTACAGATTTGAAACAAGAAATCCAAATTCACGAACGACAACAACCCGATAACGACAAGTCAGCTGATAGAGTACGAACTGTGGTTGACAGTAACAAACTACAAGTTGATTTGGAAACGTGTACACCATCAATTAGTCCATTGACAGTACAAAATGCAGCTGGTATAATACACACACCGACACCTCCACCAATGAAAAGTAAGATTCGTAATGCTCTTCATAAAACGAAACAGCTATTATCGTTTGGACATGTAAGAAAAGCATACACAATGAATAGGAAACAAATAATTTATAGAGCACCACAGTTGCCCTTAACATCTCGATCTAGTATAGCTTTTGAGCTCTCTGTTTAAGGCTTACTAGCATTATTTATTTAATATTTTATATTTATTATTTAATAAGTATACACATTTTAGCACAAATTTTACAAGTCAATTTGAATCATTAGCCTATTTGTATACAACGCTATTAGTTTTGCGTTAGCAATAAAGACTGACATAACGATATAAATATACAAGTTTATTATTTCTATTAATCTAAGAGACACTGCATGAAGACACTTTTAATTGAGGTTTTGGTTTCCCATCCTTTCATCACCCTATACAATTATGTAGTTGTAATATGTCTGTTCTCATTTGCTATTAGTTGGAAATGGCGTTGTTGGTGGTGTTATCGCAAACAACAACAACAATAACAATATGAATCCGCCAATGGCACCATGCACCAGAATACTGGCAATGAACATGATCGGTGACCTCATGCGAAAAGTTGGGGTAAGTGATTTTCCCATTTTTATTAGACAAACTATCTGCATGAAGTGTCACTCAGATCCCAATCTGTATCCAACTTAGTGTAGCTCATTCCAAGGCTTCCAGCACGGCTTTCTTCGTACTTTTTGTATTTGTCACCAATGAATGCAATTCCTAAGCGCAATACCCAATGCGAAAACAAAATTATTCCTCCCAGAATGTCAGTACTGTCCCCATTTCTCTGGTCACGGTAGTTGGGTGTGACGTAGTCGGTGTGTTGGTAGCTTGACAGGTGGCTCTGCATGGACTGTAGAAGAGTGAAGTGTTCTTGTCCCGGTGGAAAAAAGACAAAGACCACTCCAACCAGAGAGCTCCCATCAGTTCAGATTGAAACACCTGTAGAGTGTATACGACAACAACCAAGGCCAACTAAATGCTGACCAAGTCTGACCTGATATCTCCTACACTACACTGCAAGCCTTTTCGTCTCCGTTCAACTGCAGGTCTTCGTTTGGTTTTCTTCTTTTACGTTTGCACGCTTTTGCTTTTCACCTGCTAAAACACATCCTCATTTTCAAACCATTAGTGCACTGTTACACCACCTTTAGAAAGCTAAACAACACCCACCACGTCACCCTCCGCCCAGACCAATTTTAATGTATTAACAAATTAGTATTCTGTTCTCTCATCTAAGCAGCATTATCGTTCATTCTACTGTTATCGTCGACAACACACCCAGTCGCCACGTTAATGCAAAGGATTTACGCTTTCTGTATTATTGTCATGAATAATTTTTCTCGCTCTAATCATTATTATTTTAATGTCACACAGGCCCTGGAGAACAAGCTCAACACATGTCGCAATGCATCTCGAGAGGACCAGGCAATGCGTGATCTCTACAGGTAACGCTAAACAATCTACTCCCATAGGATTGTTGTGTCGTTATTATTCCCTTGTTGTATCTTACGTGTTGGGCACGTAGTGCGACGATATCATGTACCTGCGACTTCCTCGTGTCAAAGACAATTCGTTATAAACGATGTCGCTCCAAAATCAAACGATGCATTTTGTGATACGAATAAAACGAGAGACTCAGCAAGGTGCATGATACTTATATCAAATGATTCGTACTTACATCTTAGTTCCGCTGGTTGTGCTTCCTCTACTCATCATTAGTGGTCATCGTATTCCGTTAGGACAAAGGACAGTCTTATTTTAAGCCTTTTCAAAACTCCCAGTACTATTTTAGTAGCAAGTCTGTGCTCTGTTTGCGAATTTACACTTTCTTCCATGTCGTTCTTTAACGCAGCTGTTAAATACACGGTGTCATTAGTTCTCATTATGCAATATCGCAATAGGCAATATTTGTTGATTGCTCATCGCATGTTTCTTTCACGAAAAATATTACTTCTTATTGACAGTGCGATCAATACTGTGCATGTCCAGAATATTACGGATAGTCTGTGCTACGCGATACCTAAGCTATATGGCTTGCCAGGAATTTAATCAAGTACAATTATTTTACGTCATTTTGACTTAATATATATTTCGCTTTCGTTATCTTCACGTTTACTCATTTTTATCTTACAGTTCATAGGTGAACTCGTGGCAATACGTGGCAACGGGGTAAGACGTGATAATGTCATTTGTCTATAGCTTCTTCCAGATGACGCTGACTCGTCTTACCCCTTTACTACGTCTTCCCACGACTACATCTACTGACATAACACTCTGGAATTCACTACAACTTCAAGTCATTCCTTTCATCGAGACATTTTTTTAAATTTTTTGTGACAATCGACGCTTGTAATATTTTTGCAAGGATCTCTTTTCGTTGGACCAGTGGCATAGACCTTCTGTACCATTCTGAATTCATATCGAATGTACAAGCATCTTACCTTATCACAGGATAAACGATCTCTGATCTAATGAGCTAATGTAAATCGTGCTAGCGCGCTAATTGTTATAATTTAGTTTATTCTATTTGGGAAATTATACGTATGTATATATATAGATGGCAATACTCAGTACAATAACATTGCGAAATTGTACATCGAATTCATGAATGGTAGTATGTGTATATATATCATATATACAGGGTGTTCCATATAATGAGTCTAATAAGATTGTAGCCTGGCTCGGACAAAGTCCATGTCCATGCGCCTCTATTTCTTGGTACTCTTAGGGTTCACTAACGGTCGAAATTCGGTTTTATTTGCTAGTTCTTACTTTAATTGAAATCTCCCAAATAGTAGGAATGAGCGCAGGCGTCACTTTACTCGACCTGGTCGACTCGTTACATGGAACATTCTGTATACGTGTAACGTGCGCCACTCGTGCAATTTGGCTATGTAAATTTTTAAATAATATTTCTAGCGGTTAATAGAGAGAAAATCAATAATTCATAATGATTTTTCGACGACGCAAAGTACTTGATATATTTTTGTATATTTGTTTTGTCATTCTGTACGTTTTTAACTTGCGTATTGGTGTCATCGTGAATTACGATGAATTTTAATTTTATGTTTTGTTCTACTCTATTTAAGTTCAACGCGACTCTCGACGTCTTATTTGAAGTTTAATTTTTTTTCTGTCAATTCATTCTGATTTTATCACATACAACGAACGTGTAAAGATTCTCGAATGTATTAATGTACATACAGGTTTAATGTAATTTTATAAAATATTGGACCAGCGTAGAAAGACATTTTTCTATGTATATTGTTTGTCTATTTCGATCAGTCATGCTCATTTTAATGCCTGCACTCAGTAGTAGCAATGCGGCAAAATCAAAATGCGTTAATCAAACGTTCAGAAGCAATCACAGACTTTCTGCAAAGAGAAATTGATAAAATATATTTTTTTTTAATCGTTACACCATCCTTACACTGTATTGTTATAGAATATTTGTAATCATAGTTCATCCTCTCTCTACTGTGTTAGATTGGGCCACAGACAGGAGAAATAAATGTCATTTTAAAGAAAGCTAACTTTAGTCGAGACCGTCATTATGAGACAAGGGTTAAAAGTGAAGTAAAAATTTTGTCATGCAAAGATCCAATTCATTTTGTAGACAATTGGCATTTTGGTATAATCCAAATCTTGTGGCTCAATCTGCAGTGGATCATTAATTCATTGGAATCATCCATTTGTGATTAAATTCGTGAAAACTGTCACTTGCATGAATTGTCTGTTGCACTGCACCATCCCCTAACATAGATAATAATTAATTATTCCACTTGAATGATTATACAATAACAGATATGTGTAATGCAAACTACCTAAAAAACAATGTAAATTAAACTCACTTGAAGAACGTATAATATCTTGTATACGTTTTATCAATGTGCATTAAAAGAAAGAAAAATTGAATTTGCATTATCCAACAGGCAAGAGCTGTGCAATGATTCTGTCAGTGTTTACCGCACGAGCTTCTATCTCATAAGCACTGTAACGAGAGAAAGAAAAATATATATAATCATTTACATTTTTGTCTATCCTGTTACATACGTTGAATGTGTTTGCATTGATTTATTCTGTATCTTTTGATTATTTATAAAGAAAAAAATCTATCTTGCTTTTGCGTATGTTCCATTAGGACTAGACGACAGTTCCGCGCACCTGCTTCCGGAAATAACAACCACATTCGATTCTAAGTGTCTCATTGCGAAGTTGTCTAATTAATTAAGTGCGCCAAGCGTCTGACGATAAATTAGAAAACCTGCGAAATTTAATGAGATCTGATTCTTTTTTTTTACGGCGAAGTTTACTGTACTTTGTTTTGTTTGTCAGCATCGTTTAGGCATATATTTATCTTGGACGACGTTCAAAGTTTTTTATTGTCGCAATTATTCGGAAATTCTCCTACGGCTATAGTGATATATTGTGATATAAATAATCGAACAATGATATTCTTCGTAGAGATTAACAAACGCGTCCGAATTTCATGTCTCCGACATTTAAAATAAATTTAAAAGAAAAAACGGTTAGTACCTACTATATGCCACTGCAATATTTTGCTCTAGTTACAACACTGTATTAGAAATCTAATCAGTGGCTATAAAATCATAGATATTTTTAATATGACCGTAATGCGTAGGTTTTGATGGAGAAAGAAAAACTGTATATTGATAATTAGACGATACTTGATGTTAATCGTTAATGAAATTGTCGGTGACATTTGCATGGTACAAATTACGGTTTATTAAAATTACGAAAGAAATGCAAATTTGAAGTTTTCAAAAATTAAAGTCAGACGCGTTTTCAATCTAAATGGATGATCCTTGGATTTCATTGTTCAGTGTCTAACGTCTTGTATTTATTTATTCGACACGTAAACAGTGGACATTTAACGTCATCCGTCGTAAAGAAATTTCTTTGCTGTTATATAAAGTAACCAACAATTATTATGTATATCGAATTTGTAAATACCTATATATTAATTTATTAGATAATTCCGTTCGAATTTGTAAAATATTTATAATTGTCCTTTAATGTAACCCGTGCAGCGTTTGTAGATATTTTTGAAAAACCATTTCAAATAAAATCATTCGTTTACCGTCAAGTAGTTGCTGAGATTTGCCGACGTTCGTTTCTTCCAAGTCAAAGGCAAAGAATTCGAAGCTTCTTGCAATCATGAAACTTAAGAGAGATATTACGTAAACAAGCGAGATTGATAAATTCAATATAAAAACGGGGAAAAAACGTCTGTATTAATTAATTAGTAATGTAGCGATATTGAATTATCTATTTATACAAAAAGATATTCCGGGTATAGATAAGCTAGTGTTTGATTTTTCATTATAATTCAATTCAGATAGTAATTCAAGTGAAAAGTCATTTGCTAATATAAACTATTACTCATCGATATTATTTTCATTGTCCTCCTTTGCTATGACCTAATTCTAAAAGCGGTAAATGACGTAAGAAAAGCGGGGAGCTATTATAACCTATTTTATTAACGATGCTAGTAATGATTTCTTATTGCAAGTAAAATAATTGATCGGCTCACTAAAAAGCCGCATGAATGATTCATCATTCACATTTGTACCTTGAGCAATTGTAGAAAATTGAGTAGTAATAATAATAATAATAACAATTTGAATCGCTCGTTCATTAATTAATTTGTTTTTACGACTTTCCTTGTTTTATTTTCTAATCGATTTCTCATACATTAGCTGCTGGAGGTGACCCTCATGCGAAATTCATAGATTTACTAAAGCGCAGTAATTAGATACATATATTTTCTGGTTTCTTTTCCACTACTTATTTTTCGTCGATATTATTTTTTCTGTATCTTTAATTAATATATATTGAGCGCAGTATTTAAGTTTGAAATTACAGTGACGATCTTGAGTCGTGAGAACAAATTTTCAATTTCTTGCTTCACGTTTCTTTTTGTCTTTTATTTTCCTTTTAGCGACAATATGACGATCTATATTATGCAGTCAGAAGTCTTAAAATATACTACTCAACGGGAATGATACAATAACACATTGTTCGAATATAAATTAAGTTATTCTTGTCCGTTTTTAATGTTTATTTAATCACTTGAGCTGGCAACGAAATGACGGATTCGCGTGACAAAATGCTACAAAAACAAAAACATCTCGACGTGCGTGACATGTCTTTCCAGCACAAGTGGTTAATAAAGAAATGTTTCGATTACCTATAAAACGTTGCACCTATACAAAAAATATTGTTTGCTCATTTTGGAAAATAAAAGTTATCTCAAAATAGTACTGCGTACTTTTCACTTAAAGAATAGTTTGACTTAATTTTCAGTTAAGATTATGCTAGAGGATTTAATTATTCATATATCTAGAGAAAAAAAAGAGAAATCAATAGAATTTAGACGATTTATTTATAAAACGTTTTTCTCTACACAAAGAACGATGAATACTTGTGTGACCCAAAGTCGACTTACGTAAATTTCCATACAACCAGAAACCTGTGAGGAAAGAGCTATTGCTGGATCGCTATAGAAACGAGCTGCTGTTACTTCCTAATGCACACAACTGTGTATAATAATTATAATAAGGATGACAATAATGATAATGAGGGATGATGATGATGACAATAGTAATAATAATGACAATATAATAATTGTGTAATGATATCCATAATGGAACAATGAAAAATCAAAGTCTGCTATCTCCAAAGCTCACGTGAGACATTAATCACAGGGAAGTTAATAAATGTTTAAGAACATTCGAATTGATGACGAATCTTTTGCACAAGTATTAGATATTGTGAAAAAGATGAATCAAAATGTTCAATACTTTTGAATTTCGATTTCTATCTTGAACATTCATCGAACAAATTTCTCTATGATTAGTTTTTTTCTATTATTATAGGAGGATGCTGAAGAACATTTGAGTTTAGAGACTATGAGACCTCTTGTGAAACTGCCTAAACCTAGCGACTATGAAATATGAACGAATTATGTTAGTATAATTTTGACAAGCATTCAAGTGCCCTATGTTTTTGGCGCAAGAATGCAAAGTTAATGTTCGGAACATTAATTTCTGGCGAAATACAACACAATATAGATCGGAATGAATGTGCTTCATCCATCGATATGAATATTAATAATAACTGTAGACGGTATGCATGAGAATTAGATGCCACATCTTAAGCACGTTCTCCACGGATTCGTCGAGCCAACTGTATATCCTTGGGCATGATGGTGACACGTTTGGCATGGATGGCGCAAAGATTTGTATCTTCAAAGAGACCAACCAGGTATGCTTCAGAAGCTTCCTGGAGGGCACCTATAGCGGCACTTTGAAAACGCAAATCAGTCTTGAAATCCTGTGCAATTTCACGAACCAGACGTTGGAATGGTAACTTTCTGATCAACAACTCTGTTGACTTCTGGTATCTTCTGATTTCACGAAGAGCTACAGTACCAGGTCTGCAAGTAAACATTAAAAGTAATTTTATTAGTGGTGAAATTCTATGATCTCATGCATCGATTACACAATATCTACAATCAATAATTTACCTGTAACGATGGGGTTTCTTAACTCCACCAGTGGACGGAGCACTCTTACGAGCTGCTTTGGTAGCAAGTTGTTTGCGAGGAGCCTTTCCTCCAGTGGACTTACGGGCCGTCTGCTTGGTACGTGCCATGATTTAATCTAGAAAGAAGGAATTACTCAATTGACATAAATTTCTCCAAAATCAAACCAAGTCTTCCCAATCTTCAACGGTGGTACATGGAAAGTTTGACGAGTTAGAAAGTACTCTTAGAAATAGACTATTATATCGTCCGCACTATAGTATTTCAGGCAATGTAAATTGGGACAGGTTTTCTGTATTGATACAAGGGAAAAAAATCCACCACAAGATAAAGTGAATCACTTATCACACAAATACTCGTGACACAAACACAACGACGACAGCGAGAAGAATGCAGCACGGGTGCCGTGGAAGAAGTCGGGAAATAGGAGAGGTGGCAAATCAGAGTAGTGGGAGTGAAACCCGTTGTGAGTTGTGCAGCGGAACAGAGTATATTGAAAAGCACTGAGCAGCACCGGGGAACGCCGTTGCGTTGCGCAATGCACAAACTTTCCTTCTTCCTGCGCCAAGAAAAAAGCACGCCGCCGGAACGAATTTTTCCGACAATTAATTACAACGTAAACGCCAATAGAAAAGTGACACGAAAGGCCACATGAAAAAATTACGTGATAAACATACTGAAGCCAAGCCAAGACGTTTCGAATGTGTCCCGAAAAAGTCAATACCCGAAACGGACAATTCCCTCCAAGCGACAATTACAAGATGGAGGCGACGGCAACACATTGGCGCTGCCCGTGAAAACCCACGATTTTTCACGATTTTCCACGTTTATCTTAATGCTCGTGTCCCGTGTTCTACACGAAATTGACCGACGGCTGTTGTCTCGTACAACGAGTATTATATTGACGGGGTTACTCACCTCTGACGCGGAAAATGTCACGAGAAATGCGGAGCTAGTACTACGTTTCCTTGTACTTCAATGGCAGTGGGCGCTCTCCACTCTTCACCGCTCTGCTGCTCTACCGATGTGTCTACCTTCTGCCTCCCTAGTCCCTACCCCTAGAAATTAAATCGTGAGGAGCACGTAAACCCGCGGGAGACTCGGCCAATCCGGGGTCCCGTAACAGACATTGTATTATAAGAGATCGAGTTCTATTGGCTCTGCTCTCGTGAACGAGTGCAACGTTTCTTCTCATAGTACTCTTCTCTTTGTACGTCTCAACTATACATTTGGTACATCATAGAGATATGTATATGACATACGTGCCTTATCAATTTGCAATGTATTGGAGGGTTCATTAATTATTTTATAAATATGTCCTTGTGAATCCTTTTACGGAATCCGCAGTGATTCCTTAATGGTTTAATCGTTATTTATAGATATTATAATAACGCAATATTTCGGTGTGTAGGCCGGTTTTTTTTTTAATTCACGTTATTCGGGTAAATCTTACGGCTTTGGATTTATTTAAATTTTAGAAGCGTGACTAATTTGTTATTTCCAAGCACTGATTATGGCTATTGTTTAGTTGTTATTATGCTCCCACTCTCTTGATGTGGAAAAAAGTAGATCATATAACTGTATATGAATAGGCTGATAAAACAATATTTTGTAATGGCAGCTTATAGATAATATTTGATACCGTGTATCAATACGTAATTTTGTTACGCGTACGAATGAGTGATGGGAGTTGTTGAAATAATCAGAAATGATTTTACGCTCGAAACTCATTAATTTCGTGGAATTTTCGAGTAACTTGCAATTGCGCAATGACGTCGGATAATTTAACACTACGTTGTGTCAGTATCTAGGGAATTGGAACGGTATACATGAAAAGAACAACTAGGAAAATGTTCATTCTGAATTTATACGTTGTCGCTCTGTACTTGTGAATTAGTATACTTCATAACACATTATCGATTCCATTTTATAATTCAAAATTTACACCAGACTAGAGAAAAAGTAGGTTCAAAAATAAAAGAGAAAATGTATATCATTCAATATAACGTTTTTTGCAACATCCTTGTTTTGGAGGCGGGTTCATTTTGCCACAACAACCCATCTTTGCTCTTGTACCGCGTAACTTCAATTCTCTAGCATCTTCAATGTCTGATGTTTCCAAATCATTGCCGCATTGTCGATGAGATTGTCTTAACATTGCTCCCATTGCTCTCCGGAGTTCCGCTTCCGTATCCTCTGTCTCAGGGAAGACTTCGCAGGCTGCGTAAAAATCCCCTTTAAGTTTAGACTATGCAAATTAGAGAGAATCGACCTTACAAGAACTGTACAAAGGACGTGGCTCCTCTTCATAACAATTCTTCCATAAGTATGTCTTCTCATGAACCTCTGGATCCCCACATCTGCCTGTTCCTCGCGTGCGCACTATTGTTTTTCCCACTATAGCTGAAGAGGGTCGATCCAATAGATCATCTGTCGTATCCTCGATTTCTGCGTCGTGCAAGACGTTTCTTGAATGCATCTTCTGAGTTTTACGACCACAGAGGTTGTTGGAAGCCATATTATTTGGGTAATTATTGAAGTCCGGATTACAAACTCGTTCCTCTGAAATTTATGAGTCCAAGGTGCGAATTCAGGCCATTTCTATGCTTTTAATTTTTGTTATACCTTTTATATTTTTCTTGAAGTGGTACTCCTTGCCATCGTCGTAAGGCTCTCTAGAGGGAGACAATCCTTTTCGAGCTGGACGATTAAAAGAATAGGGACTTGAGCAATAGGATTTAATTACGTGCAAACTGCCAAGTCCATCGCTCTCTCGACTTCTCGTCTTTTGGAGGAAATTTTGCAAGGGGTTGATGCTGGTAGATTTGAATCCTTATCGATTTTCCGCATCTTCTTTTCACTGTAGAGATGCAGTAGTGCATCTGCCTGAGAGAGATCGAGATCCGCTACGTGATGAGCTATATTACATATAATTATGTTTATAAATTTCAGGATTATCAAAAAATTACTATAAATGTATTGCGTCTAGAAACTCACGAGATTCGTCAATGAGTCTTTCGATATAGCGACTTCTTCCCCAACAGGGTCTTGATTCGACTACAGGTATTTCTCTTCGTCGTCCTCTGAAAACGACGACGGAATCATCAAGGATGTTTAATGTCAACCAAGATATCAGGAAAATTATGAAAATAAATGGAAGTAAAAACTAAAGAATGAACTCTCAACTTCTTCTCAATTGAAACTTGTTTATTGACTTCCTGCTTCTCCGTGAACCTATTCTTATCCCGCCGACGGCATGCATCAGGAGCTTGACTGTTGTCTGGAGTTACCGTAGTTGGAAAAGCTACAGTACTCTGTTTACGAGTATCCTTGGATTTTGCAGTTGAGATCTTAGGACCAAAATGCTTAGGATGGCTCCATTTTGGTAGTGGTTCTGTGGAGATGGCATAATACCCATGAATTCCAAATTTTGGAATTTCCTGGACAGCAGCATATTGGCAGAGATCACCAGAAACCGAATTAAAGATCGAAGAATAAGGAGGTGATTCTGACTTTGCTGATTTTACCAACGATATCATATCTGCAGCCTTGACGATGTAACAGAGAAAGAGTCTTATGTTAAATTCTATGATACAAACCAACTTCCTTCTTTTTTTAAAAATATTTGAAGCTTTTTATTATATGTACCGTAGTGCATCCTTGAGGGAAGGGTTCAAGATCTCCCTCTGGTGGTGCTTTCTCAAATATTCCAGAGAGTTTATTTTTTTGCATAACAAATAGCAACAGTTTTAAATATTCAATCGGCTGTGAGTCTTTTGCATTTTTTGCATTGACTTCACGAAGCTTCTTGACCCATGATGCTGCTGTACTACGATCTAAATAAGAAATAAAATGTTGCAGACATTTTGTGCTTATCTCAAACATAACTTACCTTTAGCATCAGGTAAATTAAGCACAAGAGGCTTTGCAAATATTAGATAAAAGTTAAAATCATCCATATCAGCGAATACGTTAAATTTGCAGGCTATCTTAAATCAGTGAGAAGAAAATTCGTCTTTTATCTTTCATATAACAACCCCATTTCCTTATCAGTAACAAATGAAACCAAAAAACCATGGACTGTAGATTCTTTGACTTTGACAAGTGAGAAGCAATCAAACGGGAAAATCAATTAGGTTATGTTGGTTCAATCCTAAATGTCAAAACGTATCTTTCTCATGATATAATTTGAGAGCTTCCCAAAAAGCATGTTAGATATAGTAATAAAGTTAGATAACAAAAAAACATTTTTCTCAACTTTCTGAAATTCAATAAAAACAAATAGTTAACGCGCATTTCGTCTGCTTCTGTCCACGTTTGCGCAAAGCAATTCCAAGATGCGCGCTATCATGAAAAGTTGGGATCAGTTGCGATGGCAGACAGAGTAACGTCAATCGAAGTATGATGCGGGCGTTAATTAGTAAAAGCTTAATTAAAGTGTTCATACTCGACATCGCGAATCAGCGGGTTGAGTACTATATAACTCGTTCTTTAACGTTGCAGTAGAATAAGTATGCTGCATGCTGAGCTTGTGCAATTTTATTGGACTCTTCAGAGTTCGTTTGTTAAAGCATAAAACGATGGTACGTCAACTGTGACGACTCTGTGTAATAATCGCGACGCCAAAGTCGTGTCAAACGTCGTTGTCAATGGGAGAAACAAAGTTAGATGAGATTTCGTAATGATTTATATGCTATTCTAAATAGATCAATGAATGCCAAAGAGTCTGGACGAGTCTCAGAAGTGCAGCATGTGTGATGTGTCTAAAATGGTATTAGACTTGCACTTTGCCTTGAAAGTGACAAAAATAAGAGTGAACAAGTGGCAAGTAATATTAATGCGAAGGCCGCATTTTATTTGTTCTAGGGTAAAGCTGATGTAAGCTAATAATTTAAAGCTAATGGTGCTTATGAAAAGTGCTAACTAAACTGACGGTCGTAATATGGTCTCATGAGATTCGATGATATTAATTCGGCCAATGTCGTCAGTTTATTCCACGTATAAAGTGCAATTACAATCTAGTCTAACTGTTAGTAGTAAATGAAATTCTTATTATTCATAGCTAGTTACAAAACCTAATATATTCAGAAGCATCATACTAACATGAGATGCTAATGTCTAGCGTTGTAAGAAATAGTAATTATTTGATGTTCTAATAGAGCATTATGCAACTGTACTTAGAAGAAATACTTAGAGTATTAATGTCACTAAATCTAGATTTGCAAATTGACTGATATTTAACAAAACTTTGTTATTATAATCATTTTTTAAATGATTACATCTATAAGAGATCTCAATGACCATAAAATATAAAAGTTACGAGGAAGAATTTACTCATTCGATATCAATATGAAGTTTTCTACTTCTACGATACGATAACAACTAAGATATTGTATAAGAATTGTTGTTGCTGAAGTTTTATACAATTATGGAGTCATGTGATGGGAATGAAGCCTCAAACAAAGAGGAAGTCTCTCCAAAATCAAAGCAGAAAAAGAAATCACTCTGTCGAATGCTTATGAATAAGAAGACCAGAGTTGGCTGTTTGGAAGTTTCATACAGAGATGGTGATTCGCAGAAGAATTACAAAATGGATAATTCTCAGCATGGTTCACACACAAGCACAAAGCTCTCTCTTTGCTGCGCTATCACAGAACGGAGTAGAACACCTCCACAAAGTTTGACAGTTAGTCAGCTGTCACCAACAACTCTAAGTCGCACATCTGTCAAATCCGAAGTTGCCTCAATGAATGGGGAATGTCAAACGGATGCCCTGGTTGAAAAGACTGATACTGTTGTCGAGGCTGCTAAACAAAATGACCGCGAAAATTTCATAAGGAGAAATGAAATTCCCAAGGGCAAGGAACAGCAAAGCATCTGTGCAGAAGGTGAGATTACTCCAAATCATTCTCCCTACTAAGTTCTTATCAATGACTTGCATTTAATTACTATAAAATTATTCATCGTCTTGTTTGTTGACTGGATTTGGATTTCATTTTTTGGGCGTTACTCTTGTATTGGCACTCTTCAATTATATGATTTCATAAGAGCAGCCTGTAAATCCCCTCTATGCGCCACATATGAGAGTGTATGATACTATAGCCGAATACAGTGATGTCAGTATAACGTAGAGTTAGGAGAAACGTGGGTTAGATAACCGCGTTGGTGACTAGTTAGGGTAACTGTTAATAGTTTTAACATGGTCAGTCGCGACAATAGTGTTGCTGTTACCAGCACTGTCAGAAGTCTTGCGACAACTCGTAATGTCGTGTTAACAGTGTTCCATAAGGATGTCAAATTCAGAAGAGAAGGTTTCACGATTTTTCATTATTAATAAATTAAGGAAACTATTTCGCAAAAAGGAAAGGAATAAGAAACAAAAACGGGAAAAGAAACATTACGTGAAGTGTAATTTGAATGAACATAAGGTAGTGGCTGTCGCTCACGCGTCTTCCAACGAGCCATCTCATTCAAGGATCAATGATTCTTCATTAAATTCGGAATCTTTTATTGAAGTCGAAAACGATACATCATCAAATTATAATATGACAGGAACGGACAGAAATCTTTCAGCAAAATTACAATTTTTAACCGAAAATATTACCACGTCCGTTGTTGCTTTGAATGAACTGTCTAAAATGAATTCTAATAAGTCTAAAGAAAGAGACTCATCGAGTACGTCCATCGAATTATCTAACACCATTGATAATCCAACAAATGTCATAACGAATACAAATTTCGGTGAAAACGAAGAAGAATCTGGAGCAAATGGCAAAATTACAGTTCACGTGGATGTTGGAACAAGTACTCCAAGTATTAATTTTATCGAAGCAAAAGAGAAGCCTGAAAATGATGATGGTGAGAAAAGTAGCGCTGTGAAAAGAGTCAAAAATTTTTTACATTTGAACAAAGAAGACAGTGACACGTCTTCAGAGTACAGTACAGACAGCGAAGAATCCATTTATGAGGACTCCTGTGATTCCGACGACGAGGAAGATTTGGATGATAATGAACGTTTGATAATGGCTGAGAGAAATAAAAAATACTTTGAAGACGGTTACTTTACTAAGGGAAAATACATTACGTACTTCTTTCTACAATTAGAAAGGCAATATTACAATCCCAATGAAGTCTACAGTATGGTTCGTTATCACGCCGACGAGGACGTAACGAATAGGGAAGGTATAAAGGAAAAAATAAAATGACTAATAATGGTGAAGCTTTTTAATTCACATATGCTACTTAATTCTCTGCAAAGTATATCCATTAATTATGAGAACGTGTTATAGTCATTGATTTCTTGATACTCTTACAGTAATCGTATACACGACTCTCTTAGAAGATAATACGCTTGCGATAATATCAAATGTTACAATATTAATCAAAGACTATTGTCAAGTTTTGTAAGAACAAAAAATCTCTAACATTCGGGCCTCGTATTTTTCTAAGAAAATGATAAGAAGTGATAGTGGATTTCGTGCGATAGCGATTAACGCTATGATTAGATTGAATTATTTGATTTTTTCTTTATAATACGGATACGAATACATTATTTAGAAGTTACTAATTGCCTTTGTTCATTCATTATGATTATTACTGACGAACATAATTATGATAAAAATAAACTCATACTGACTTATATAATTATATGGATTTGACACTAAAAACAAAACGTATATTCGTGGAAATTTTAATAGTGTTTACACGTAGAAAATTAAAAGTATTATAGATTTAATATCAGAAAGGCATGTTTACGAACGCTACCTAACTGCGTCTTTAATAGGAAGCTGAGAATTTTAATAAAATTATAAGTTTGATGTCACACAGGAACGTTAACAGAGATTACGTGACCGGTCATCAGTGGCAAAACGCAAATTTTTATCATATAACAGTTATTGGCCTTGAAGGTGAACTTCAATAATCTTTAACCCCGTTTCGTTAATTATTTCGTCATGTAAAATGAAAAAAGTCAATTGACAATTACAAGCAATTGAAGTAATTCCGTTATATTAGTACATCTAAAAAGCACTTTACATGATTGAAAATTTCAAAGAAATTTTTAATTCGTTCAAAACCTGAATATATTAAATGCTCATTGGATGGACTAGATTAAAATTGTAACAATGAGATTTAGAAATGACCATTTTTTATTTCTCAGGTGGAAATTCATCTTCTGAATCGACGTCACCAAATATTCCAGCACCTTTACGGCGCAGACTACTACACAGACGATCAGCTGATAACTTGATTGTGAATTCACCTACGAATTCTATGCGACATTCTAGTCCAGAATCTATAAAAAGTGCTCCTGTGCAATTAAAACCGCGTTCAACCTCTCACGATGCACTATCCAAAAAGAAGGATCGACAAGGAACACAAACAGACGGAATGGATAGTCTGGCAAAGCAATCGTTACTAGCAGCTCAAGTTTTGAATTTAATCCCCACACAGAAGGCGCGAGAGAGGTAATAAAAGGAGAAATCGTTGTAAAGATGATAAAGAATCAAAATAATTTAGATATCTTCTCATTCCAGAAACTTCCTTCACGGAAGGATAGCAGCTAACTCCTTACTAGGTTCGGTAGAGCTTGAAAAGGTGCTACCCAATCGTGAGATCAAAATATTCGTTGGTACCTGGAATATGAATGGACAGACTCCTCCAAAAGAATTAAATGATTTTATGCTCCCATCTGATATTGAAACTGTTCCTGATATGCTGGCAATTGGTACACAAGAGTCCTGCTCCGAAAGAAGCGAATGGGAAGCTGCGTTACAAGAAACACTAGGACCCTCTCATGTACTGTTAACCAGTACTGGGCTAGGTACACTTCACCTAGCCCTCTTCCTCCGGAGGGATCTGATTTGGTTTTGTTCTGTACCCGAGGATTCAAGTTTTTCAACAAGACCCGGAACGGCATTCCGTACAAAGGGTGCCGTTGCCCTGGCGTTGATGCTTTTTGGTACGAGCTTCCTTTTCGTCACTGCACACTTGACTGCCCATCAGGACAAGGTCAAGGAACGTGTCAACGACATCAAAAGAATTGTCAGGAACTTGGACCTACCCAAGGATTTGCCCACTAAACACAAAAATAAGGACGTAACGCAGAATTTCGATTGTGTTTTCTGGTGCGGCGATCTCAATTTCCGATTAGCTCAACCGCGAGAGGAAGTTATACAATGGGTTACGGGTACTCAGTTTCCTCAAGAAACACCCATCAACTTACAGAAGGATCAACTCAGGACGACCCTTAACGAAGGTGCTGTTTTACGTGGCTTCGAGGAAGCTCCCATTACCTTTCCACCTACCTACAAGTATGATCCTGGGACGCAGAACTTTGACTCCAGTAGCAAGCAACGCACGCCAGCATACACAGACAGGATTCTCTTCAAAGGAAAGGGACACAACAAAGGATACATAAGCCGCGTTAGCTATGATAATGCAAATTCTCAGAAAGATGGAGCACTTGAGTGCTTGATATACGATTCAGTTCCGAATATTTGTACCTCTGATCATAAACCCGTCTGGGGAGTCTTCAAGACTACTATTCGTCCTGGCATTGATACGTAAGCTATAAATTTTATTAATTGAACAAATATTCATTTTCTCTCATGATAAATATCACTTTTACTTCTATTCAGGATACCTCTGGCTGCTGGACTCTTTAATCGCGAAGTTTACTTAGAAGGAATCAAGAGACGCGCTGCCGCAATGGACGAATCTTACGGAACTTCAAGAGTCTGTGCAATTCAATGATAAAGAGCTACTCAGTGATTCACAATCGTGAATAATTTTTATTTAGATTTTAAACACGATCGTTAAGCATGACTGTGCCCTTACGATAATTAATCGACTGGCTCGTTTATATTTTATAGTATCTGCATGAGTTCGAAACTTTACGACTCACAGGGTATTTAGTAGGAGTAAAGTAATTCGCACATGACTTTTAAATGACGTTAGTATTCCTTTACACAATGCAACGTACGCATGGATACTATTATTTTAATGGTACTCATCATTCACTTAGTCGGGTGACTCATCGACCCTTCAATTCTCCGGCCTTTAACATACCACGGCAAACCATGAATCTAGTCACTGAATTATCAATTGTTTATACATATTCATTTATATTGCTGACTGTTACAAGTGATTGTATTTTCGTTATTTGTGATAAATTTACTGCTATTGCTTTAGATTTTTTTTTTGGCCATAAATATTCAACCATAATATTATTAGGACAATAATGTTAGCGTGCGAAATCAATGAGAAGATAGAATGTTAGAGAAATACGTTTCAGACAGGATATCAACTAAAAATGGCTTACAATGCGTATTTTCTATTTTACATTTCTAATAATTGTACTGATAGTTTATTAAAACGTATCGACAACATTATTTCGCACAGTCGATCCTCGTCTAACGTAATCACGTGCACGTATATAGTACAACAGTGAAACTGTTTTTTTTTCTTTTATCAAGAATCAAAAATTTGGTTAGATTTGATTTTGAGGAAGAATTATATAGATTTATAGATTGTCTTTATAGTATTCTTTTAGCGTGTAGTTTTCCGTTAATCGGGACCATGTATTCCAACTAGGCCTTTGAGAAATTTTGAATTATTTTTTTCTAGATACCACTCTAAAATGTCTACCGTGTAGATAGTTATAGGTATTAATTAAAAAATAGTCGTTTCGTGCAGTCAATTGCAAAGAGAGTCAAAACTATCAGTATGCGACGGCAGCAGAATAAAATGTTGACTGGCCTCCCAATTCGATAATTGGAGCTTTGCGTAACTATACATATAGCACTGTTTTATAAAATGACAACAAAAAATATGATACCAAAAAACAAAGATCGATAGGTAAATTTCCGAAATTTAATCCTTCGGCGAAGAAAGCAATATAATGGATTGTCGACGGAATACATATAAATATGTAATTAAATGTTAGAATTAGTGTATTTATCAGTGACGTTTTAGTACGAATGTCGATTTTATTTGAGATACGCTTAAAGAAGTACATATGTCGTACGAAATCCAATGTCAATAGTGAATCTTTACGTTTTATATAATTAATTTTTGAATGAATGAAACAATGAAATGGAAATTTACTCAATCCCTTTGCTTCCTTCAGTCATCAATTCTAACTCTATTGATAATTGAAAATGAATAATAATCGCCGCCATTTGTCAGCTGGTTTTAGACTCGGCGATAAATTCTGTCCACACTACTACTCGAGTGTCTTTAAAAACGGAATAAAAATAATGAATTTAATGACAAAAATACACAAGGATCTTTTCCGTATATTACGTTTACAAGTTCTCATCAAAAAGATACCTAAAAATCTGATTTTTTTTCAAAAATAAAATTAGGACTCGCAGTACACGCTATACGATTTCAATGAGTCTAACTCTTTGGCTATACGGGCTGTATAACTAGGGTGCCTATAAAAGAAGCCAATTGTCTACGATAGAAATTTGAGATGCAGTTTCTTAAATTTTTTGTTCAAAAATCATAGATGATCCGTAGATAGTAACAAAGGCGATCTGCCTTGTATTTGCCTTATAAGAGTTCGTCACGTAGTGGCGGTCATCCTTTTTCTATTGGGAATGAAAGAATTCAAGTAAAATATAAACAGTGGGTAATTAAAACATAATGCGAGTCATACTATACCATTTTATTTCGCGACACGCGAATTACAATCCCTTGGATTCTTTTTCAATCGCTCTAGAATTTTCACGTAAGATCATCAGATGAAAACTAAGAATAAGTATAACAATAAAGAGAAAAAGAAGGTTTATAGTATCCAATCTGTAAAAGACTGTCAGTGATGCTATGTTGTTTTTTGCGAACTCTCGTAACGCTGTGATACGCTATTCAATACTTGTATAATTATTATAATTATATAAGTAGATTAAAGATTAAGAATCCCTTATATGACGTACGTAATACCAAAACTATACTTACAAGATTACTCATGCAGCCAAGACGCATAAAATCTTTGTAGAATATGAATTCCTTAGAATTTATGCAAACTTAGGAAATTAGATCGATGCGTTTTAGCTGCATATACACACGATGTAAATATGCACATATAACAGGTGTATATTAATACATTCACCGTCGACTAAATACGCACAGGGGATTTAATGTTGAAGGATACAATATTTAATATATAAACGCACGGAAAAGCACGCAGGTCTCCAAAAATAAAATAGACCACCAATAACCGACATTTTGCTTGAAAAGTTTCTTAAGAAAAACTATACAAAGTTTGTATTCGCATCTGCGTCAAATTATTGTATGATGCGATTACCAAAAACTGCGACTTAACTAATTTACTGTTAACTATAATGTCCTATTACTATTACGATAATCATTAGCTACTATTCGCTGTCCACAGATTGATTAATCATTTCGTATTACATTGATTGAACAAAATTTGTATTCGAGCGCTGATATTCTTGATGCATATATGAATAAAAGAGATAAATTAATAATGGTAGACTGTGATATATTTAGTATAGTTATTTTTAATTTCTTGCCTCGCTACGGCTTCTGTACGGAGAAGCTGTAATATTTATGCAAACTGCAGGTTAATATTATAAGGTTTTAATAATCGGAGTTTGAAAAATCACCGAAATATGTTAATGTTTCACTCGTACTTTATGGCACGTATATGTAATTATGAAATATATGTTCATTCAAATATAAATTATTGAATAAAATTATTATCGACATTGCTAACGTGGTTGTCACCATTCTATGATCCTCTTGCAGCTAACCTTTAAATGATGCTGCAGACCACTGCAGACACGATAGGGATGTACAGTAGGATGTAAATAAAGTGTTATAAGTCTGCTGCTAACAGGTATGGTATGAGTAGTGGTTCTGATAGTGTGTTATGTTGTGCCTTTTCTGTCGCGTGCATTTTGTCATTTTAAACCGAAGTTATGTGAAGAATTTCTGTGTTAATACGGCTGTCAAACGAACCGCAAAAGAAATGAAGGTTCTTAATGTTGCTGAAAAGAATGATGCAGCAAAAAATATTGCTAGCTTCTTATCTTCTGGAAGATCTCGTTGGGTAATTATTTGTATTAATAATCTAGAATGCTTTTTAGGACAGGATATTTATTTTGCTGTATTTGCTTTCAGCGAGATGGCTATTCGGTATACAACAAAATCTATGAGTTTGAGAGAAGATTATGGAATCAGAATTGTCAGATGATCATGACATCTGTATCAGGACATCTATTGACTCATGAGTTTGTTGGGACCTATAACTCTTGGAGAAAGTGTCATCCCTTGAGTCTTTTTGATGTTCCTATTATAAAACATTGTATTGAAAAGAATAGTGTCATGATCAAGAGGACATTAGAAAGGGAAGTACGCAATTGTCAAGCATTGATTATTTGGACGGATTGCGATCGTGAGGGGGAAAACATAGGTTTTCAAATAATTGAAGTTTGTAAAAGAATTGTACCAAACATCAACGTATACAGGTAATGTGGATGGTTATAATTTGAGAATGTGTCATTTGTCTAAAACTTCTTATTTATTTCTATAGGGCTGTCTTTTCTGAAATCACTCAAGCATCAGTGGATCGAGCACTAGAGAATCTTACTAGACCCAATCAGATGGTTAGTGATGCTGTAGAAGTAAGAAGCAAGTTAGATTTGAGGATAGGTATAAAATCTTTTCAATGATCAAATAGGTTGTTGAAGTATTTGTCAATTTCTTTATTTCGTTATCAAAAATTTGTCTACAGGTGCTGCATTTACAAGATTCCAAACATTAAGGCTGCAGAAAATATTTCCTCAAAATCTTGCAGATTTGATGATCAGTTACGGAAGTTGTCAATTCCCAACCCTAGCTTTTGTCGTAGAAAGATTTTTTGCTATTCAAAATTTTGTCCCAGAACCATACTGGAAGATTCAAGTGGAAGATATTCACGACGATATCGCAGTGAAGTTTCGATGGGCACGTGGGAAGCTCTTCGAAGAAATGCCATGCATAACATTCTTCGATATGTGTAAAGAGAGTAATGTTGCTACAGTAGAAAAAATTACAAAGAAGCCTGCGAGTAAATGGAGGCCATTCCCTTTGGATACTATCGTAAGTTTTTTCAGGGCCTTACTGATATAAGATCTAATTTTTAAGATGAAAGAAAAATTCTGAAACACTCACTTGCAGGAACTTGGAAAACAAGGCTGTCGTATATTAAGAATGAATGCGAAGAAGATTATGCAGACAGCTGAAAAATTATACACTCAGGGTCTAATAAGTTATCCTCGTACGGAGACCAATATTTTTCCCAAAGAATTAAATCTAAACGACTTAGTACAGAACCACGTTGAGAGTTCAGTGTGGGGTACGTTTGCTAGGCGCGTCCTGGATGAGGGAATTATGCCGCGACAAGGGAGAAAGAGCGACCACGCGCATCCTCCGATTCATCCAATAAAATTTACAAATTCTTTATCCGGGGACGAAGCTCGAGTCTACGAGTTTATCGTTCGACACTTCCTGGCTTGTCTGTCGAAGAATGCCGAGGGTCACGAGACCATAGTCGACATTGACGTAGCTGGAGAGAAATTCAGAGCGAATGGCCTTGTAATTACAAAGAGAAACTACCTGGACATTTACATTTATGATAGGTGGCAGGCTAAGGAAATTCACGTCTATCAAGAAGGCCAAGTGTTTCAGCCAACTGACATAAAGATGCTAGGTGAACAAACTTCACCACCACCATTGCTCACAGAGGCTGATCTGATCGCCCTTATGGACAAGCATGGGATCGGGACGGACGCCACTCATGCTGAACATATTGAAACACTCAAGACCAGACACTACATCGGCCTAAAGGACGACCGATATTTATTACCTGGCAAACTTGGTACCGGGTTGATAATGGGCTATGATAGGATGGGTGTTCGAATGACCAAACCAAACCTAAGAGCGGAACTCGAGAATGACTTAAAACTGTAAGTGAAAATCATTCCTTCTGAGAAATGCGGGAAGTGTGTAATAAATTGCCCATTGAATTATCAGGATATGTGAAGGTCAAGCAGATCCTGAAGAAGTTCTGCAGCGTCACATAAAAAAGTACCGCGAGCTCTTTAAGACGGCTATGGAGCAGGTGCGTTTACTTGACGAAGTCGTGGGACATTATATTTCTGAGGAGCCTAATTACTCCCAGGGCGAACAACTTCCACCCATAGAGCAAACTGTTAATGTTCTGAAGTGCCCCAAGTGCAACTCAGATATGATTCTAAAACCGAGAAGAGAAATAAATGGAAAATACATTGGTTGCATGAATTTTCCAAACTGTAAGAATGCAATATGGTTTCCGGCTAGCGTGGAAGACGTCGAGATTCTCGAAGAAACGTGCACACAAGTAAGATGCAATAATATATTGATTAGAAAGATTCCGTTCTACTTTATTATATTTTTGTTTGCAGTGTCCAGGAAATATACACAAATTAAAATTGAAATTTAAATCCGGTGCTTATCCAATATATGGTTCATCATATGCATGCTGTATCGGTGGTTGTGAGATGATGTTGAACGGACTTCTTGCTATTTCTGTTGATGCTGTTCGTGGAGGAAATAGCGCGAATGATTCAGGTTATGGCAGTCAGGTTCGGCCAAATTCGAGAATTACACAAGAAAGAACTGATATATCAAGACCCCGACAAAGACCGAACAATAGTCGAGAAACCAATCCGAGACATGCAGCTCGTCCTGCGGCTTCTCAAAGTAGCGTCACACGTACTGCTACATCTGGCACTAATAGTAGAGCGAATGAATATAATTCAAATATTTCTACTAATGCAACTGGCGCCTCCAATCGCAGGAGACCCAATACCCAAAGAAACGATGACAATAATCAGAGTAGAATTTGGGGAACAATAACAGAAGATGATGTTATCTTGTGCAACTGCAATCAACAGGCGGTACGTTTAACAGTAAGAAAAGCTGGAGTGAACCAAGGTAACTTTCCCCATTATATTCTGTATTAATTGGAATAAGAACGGCACTGATATCAAGCGGCAAGATAACATCATTTCGTTTAAACAGGACGAATATTTTATAAGTGCTCAAAGCCACAAGGTACTGGCTGCAACTTTTTCCAATGGGAAACGGATAGGCCGGCGTCAGAAGAGGAAGTGCCAGATAGATTCAATAATCAAAATACTCGATACAATCCTTACCCAAACCCACCGAATCAAAATCGGGGAAATTCTTGGGGGAATGACGCAAATTCTACTACATTTACTAGTCAAGATGGTAATAGATGGACACCGTCGACGACAGGGAACGATATTCAATGTACTTGTCGCCGCCCAGCAGTTAAGTATGTATTCGCTATGATGTTTTTCGTATTCATTGATGATACTAATTAACTTCTTTTGAATAGGCTGACTGTGTACAAAGATGGACCAAACAAGGGTAGACAATTTTATAGCTGCCCGCAAGAACGAGAGCGTAAGTGTAATTTTTTCAAATGGGCCGATGATGGCTCAAGTGGTCCAAGTGGTAGGAGTAATATAGGAAATGCAACTGGTTCTTTATTCGACTTCGGCAGCGGTCACGATGATGGCGGCGTTAGGAGTAAGAGAAAATGTGGCATATGTAAAATGGAAGGTGAGTCACTTGTTTTAAATGGCGAATCGTTTAGATTATTAAAGTTTAATATTTCAGGTCACACACGAAGGACCTGTCCACAAAATTCCATGGACTAACATGGTGCTGTTATGGAGTTATGATAAATATAAATACACAGAGATAGTGTTTAAATACAAGACTGCAAGAGTAATTCTTAATTGAATTCTGTGATTATTAACTTGTTCGTTGTTATATTAATGTTAGCTCACAGAACGCTGACTGTGATTAACCTTACTTCTTAGAGTGGCAAGCTCCTTCTCGTACAAGTGAGACTCCGCTGTTGTTTCAGTCAGCTGCAAGGCAGTTGATACATTAATGTAATTATTTTTTCATATTTTCTATGCCATAGCACAAGATGCATTATTTCATACACAGCAGTAGATATGAGTAATATAGTACATAAGATCCTACCATATCTAATAGAAGTTGAAACTTCAGTTTTAATAAATTATTTTCCTCTTCTAGTTTCTTTACTTCTTTCTTCAGCCTCTCGTTTTCTTTGAACGTTCCACTAGCTTTTCCAGATTCTGTAAATTTCAGTCATATCAGTTCTATAGTTCTTTCACAATTAAAATAAAGTTAGTGGTAAATATATTTTTTCTAATTACCTGGTATCCATTGCCCATTTTCAAAAATTGCTTCTTGCTCTCCAAGCCGAAGACGTATATGCCCAATCTCTGGACCCAACTCCTTCTCTACTCGTTTAGGACTTAAATCCTTATTTGCCAAAGACACTGACGCCTTTCTAGTTGGCGTCTTCTTTGGCGAAAATTTATTCGAAAACAAGGGCATTCTGTTATTTCAACAATGGAATATTTCACCCGCCGTTAACCTTACATTCCATAAGTTCTGAATAATAAAATAATTTTTTCGATTTGTCACATGTCAAAATGGTTATGAATGTAACATAATGTTTAGAAATAATTTTTAATAAATGTTCACAATTATGAGATGACACTTAGCACTATCAAAATGTAAATAAACAAAAAACGCAGTGCCGTTTTCATTAGGCGATGTGTGTTCGTAAAGTGCTTAAAATGCTCTACCAAAAAAAAATGCTCTACGTGTTCCGAAAGTCGCGATTCACCAGAGTTAACCGAGATTTATCTAGCTAAGTAGCCAATCAGGTACCTGTATTTCCGGATATTACGTATCTGATTGGCTAATACCGACAGTTAAATCTGGATTAACTTTGGGGAACCAAACCTTATTGGTTGGTGCTCCAATTCTGATAGTTTCGTGCACTTGATAGCCATGGTGCTCTTTATTTCTATTCAGAATTTAGTAGGTTTTCCTTACCGAATATACTAAATTCATAAAGGGGATGGCCCGTACTATAGCATTTGCTGTTCAGTCGCGCTACGATACGTCCAAAAACGCCGTAGATGAACGTTATACTTGTCCGAGTACAAACTAGATTTTTTCGTATTAGTATTAATAATTTCTAAAGAGTGAGTAACAAACTTCATTCCTCTATTTTCTGCCATTTCAACCAATTATACGTCAGTTATTATTATGTTCATAAGTACTTACGGATTGATGAGAAAGTGGAACCGATGATTACATTCATCAATTACTTTTGTTAAGACTTATAAGACGTAACGTTAGTGGGCAGAAAAATCATACATTATGGCGTGGCTTGGAGCTATTGCTGGAACAGTACTTCGTAATTATGTCTTTACGGAAACTGCTCCAAATGTCGTACTGGAAGTAAAGCCAGATCAGTATAGCGACAGGCATATTCACTGCCGCGAGGACAGTGTTATCCTTTATAAACCTGGACTAAAGAAGAATAATATATATGAGCTAGTGCTGCACAGACCATGCACCGAAACCTTGAATCATTCATACAGGTATATCAATATTGAAATTTGAACAATTACTATTTTGTACAATTTACTTAATTTTATTCATTCTGTTACAGTTTGTATCGCACAAGTGATGTATACGAAGCTGAAAATCGTTTTATAATATACAAAGATAAGATTCCTATTCTGATTGAGATATCTCAAGAGGTGAATGTCCTTTCTGTGTCTTCCATTTGTTTTCTATGTCTTGTACTAACCATTATGTTTTATATTAACAGATATGCAATGTAGGCAAAATACAGAAACTTTGCGATACTCTCAGTGAACATCCAACATGGACCCTAGCTCATGTGGCAGCACATTTAGCTCTTTACGATGCATTCAACCATGCCGCTGTAAATAGTCAATTAAATAGTTCTGATTCTGAAACTGGAATGTCTCCCTTGCAAGTTGCTGTACAAACCAATAATCTACGTACTGTACAAATGTTGATTGCTGCGAAGAGCTCCCTTGAACACTTGGATTATAAAGCTAACACAGTGTACCATTATGCAGCTGGATCGACTAAAGAAATAATTATGGCATTGGGCGGCGGCCTTCCAAATAGTTTAAATAGTAAAAATAGCGATGGATACACACCCATGCATATAGCTTGCCGCGAGGATAAGCCCGATTGTGTCAAGGCTTTAATGCTGATAGGAGCTGACGTTAATATTCAAGCTTCCGAAGGAGCTGCAACAAGTCCCGGATACGTCGGAGATTTTCTGCATAGTCAACCGAACGTCTTTCATGCTCAAGATATGAAATATGGTGGAACACCACTGCACTGGTCGCGCAGCAGAGCAGTGATAAATACTTTAATCGAAATGAATTGTGACGTGGATGCACTTAATTTTGAAGGTCGTAGTGCACTCCACGTTATGGTGGTCAGACAGAGGTTGGAGTGCGTTGTGGCGTTACTCAGTCACATGGCAAGTGTAAATATTATGGATAACAATGGAAATACTCCACTGCACTTGGCTGTGACAGAATCGACACCAGAAATAGTTAAAATGTTGATTGGTTTCGGAGCGGAAATAGACGCAAGAAATTATCAGAATGAATCGCCACGACATCTAGTTTTATTGAACAATACCGACGGCCACAAAATCTTGTATCTTCTACACGCAGTGGGAGCGCGACGATGTCCTGGGGAGATGCAAAACTGTCACGTTGGCTGTTCAAGTAAAGAAGAATACGACGGTATCGCGCCACCTGAGCCACCAAGCTCTGTTCCAAGGACAATGCTAGATCAGATGCTCTACGTTTCCAGTATGGAGAAGATGGCTTTGAGGAAGAATCTCAAGATAAAGGGCGGAAGACTGCTCTGTTTAGACGGCGGCGGAATACGTGGATTGGTCTTAGTACAAACACTGTTGGAAATCGAGTCGGTGATTGGCAAACCGGTGACTCAGTGCTTCGACTGGATTGCAGGAACGTCTACGGGTGGTATCCTGGCACTCGGCCTGGCAGCTGGGAAAAGTCTTCGCGAATGTCAAGCCATATACTTCCGGATGAAGGACGAAGGCTTCGTAGGCTCGCGACCCTATGCAAGCGAACCATTAGAAGCTATCCTAAAGCAATGTCTGGGCACAAGTACCGTAATGGCGCACATCAAGAATCCTAAGTTAATAATAACAGGTGTCTTGGCAGATAGGAAACCAGTGGATCTGCACATTTTTAGAAACTATGAATCTCCTAGTTCCATCTTAAAAATTCCTCCAAGTACCAAGTTCAAGCCGACATTGCCACCAGAGGAACAGCTTCTTTGGAAAGCAGCAAGAGCCACGGGAGCAGCGCCATCTTACTTTAGAGCCTTTGGACGTTTTGTGGACGGAGGTCTAATAGCAAACAATCCCACCCTAGATGCAATGACGGAAATTCACGAGTATAATCTAGCTTTGGAAGCCAGTGGTCGTCCCGAGAAAGCAGTGCCATTGTCCCTGGTAGTATCTCTTGGAACAGGTCTAGTTCCGGTAACACCCTTAGCAGAACTCGACACATTCCGCCCAGAGAGTATCTGGGATGGTGCAAAACTGGCGCTGGGAATAACGACACTGGGACAGGTGTTGGTTGACCAAGCTACCGCGAGTGACGGCAGAGTTGTCGACCGCGCTAGAACCTGGTGCTCGATGATAGCAGTACCGTATTATCGATTTAGTCCACAACTATCTACCGATGTCAAAATGGATGAGAAGAACGATAAAATCATAGCAGACATGATCTGGACCGCGAAGGCTTTCATGCATGCTAACAGGGACAGCGTTAAAGAATTGGCAGATATTCTTGCCAGAGAATCGAGTACCTGTCCCGAACAAAAAATTGAATAATTGTATCTAAATCATTCATATTATATGCCAATATGTACCTATAATATTGATATTTGTTAAAATCATGAAATATGCATAATGACCGTTTGAATAGTAACGCTGTAGTAGAGATTATATATTTATTACAAATTTCGTGGGAAGTAAATGTTCTGATGATTCAGATTATTGGGTATTAGTCCAATATGTATGAGATTCTGATTCTATTATGTTTGATCAATTATATATTTATTTCATTTTAATTAATGCTTATCAAAATTATAGTTTTATTTTCCATTTAATTTTATTTATTTATTTAGCCAAGCTTTCCGAGTGCTTGGATGACTAATCCCTGGTAGTAGCATGAACTAGACAATCGAATTTCAAGCTGTTCCACTTTGTTCACTCCTCATTCGCATTCTGTACATACTTGTGGATTGGACATTTACTGACAAAATGAAATATTTCTTTGTAACTCTGAAATTCCTTTATTTCATGAGAAAACATTACAGCTGAATAAGTTAATGAATTTATCTGACAAGAAGACTGGACTTTAACAATCCATCTTAGAATTAATTGATGCATATATAATATATCTCTGGTATACTTTTCCTATTAACCAAGGCAGACTGCAGAAGAATTTATAGTCATCTTTAAATCGAATAAGCCTTTCCAATACTTGACAGTTCACCAAATTGTTTACCATAGTTCATATACATAGGAGTTATACAGTATATTAGGCACTAAGTATATATTATACAATGAATTAAGTACAATATAGGACCGCACACACCACAAATGAAGATATCAAATAAGAAATGTCCTCTTAAGGATGGAAATTAAATAGCGAAGGCTAAAAGGCGAGATGAGTGGGATAAATAGAAGAGGGACGAAAGGATTAGAAAATTGATAGCAAGTATTTACCGTGTTTATCGAGGACCCATATAGTAAGGAGGTTGTGTCATGGAAGCGGAAATATATGGGTAGAACGTATGCGTTGGAACACCCTGAGATTGATAATCGTTCTCTTCATGTGAGACATAACTTTCCGATGCCGGATAATATTGTCCATGTACACACGTGTACGACTTTGTCGTGGCCGCCATGTCTGAATATTTGAGGTTCTCGGGGTACTTGGGTAATTCGTAAGTTCTCGGCTGGAGTTCGGGATACTTCGGTAAACTCTCGAGACACTTCGGTTCGGCGTACGCTTTGCCGGGCAACTCGTATTTCGGTAAAGACTCGTAAGGTTTTTCGCTTGCGTAACTCTTATGGTGATCCACTGGATACTTTATGGCATCCGCGTACGACTTGGATAATTCGAATGACGTATTCTTGGATGTATCCGGATAAGAGCCGACGGGACGCTCGTAAGGCTTGCTCATTTCTGGATAGATTCTACCATAGGTACACTCAGTGGATCCTGTCGTGTCAACATGTCCGACCTGCGTTGTACTACGTTGAGCCAGAATATTCATCTGATCTTCTGATTTTGGCTTTCTTCGACGTGGCTGATACTAAAAGGTCAATTAATAATGGAGCCTAGAATACGACGGTTTGATTCATTGGTATCCTCGACCCGTGATTATAGCGTTATACCTTGTAATGTGGATGTTGCTTCTTATGGGCATTGCGCAATCTCTCAGCTTCTTCGATAAATGGCTGCTTTTCGCCATCGCTCAAGATCCTGGAAATTGAATGACAGTAAGATCCTTCGTCGTATCATTGATTAATATTACTACAGCAGGTACCTCCACAATTTGCCAAGTGTCTTTGACAGTTCGGCATTATGCAACTGAGGATACTGATCGGCCAGTCGCCTTCTTGCTGCCTGGGCCCAAACCATAAAGGCATTCATGGGCCTTTTAACGTGAGCACTCCTACGTCCACCGGCTCTAGAAGTAACCGGAAGTAAAGTCCAGTCGTATCCTTGAAAATAGAAAATTTTCATCTGAAAGTCAAGCCTGGATAGCTTTACGAACTGTCTTCGGTTTCTCGTGAGTCAAACCGGAACAAGAATTCCCAGCAGGAAGAACGAGCTGGCAAGGAAACGCGATAAAACATCACCTGTATCCTTAGGACTCTGTATACTTGATGCAACTGTTTATGATACCATGGTTTATGGTTTATGGTGGTGAGACTGGATGAGATAGGAGCTCGGTAGGTTGGAAGTTTTTTTTTTTACAAGATGAAATCAGAAAGGTCCAAACCCGGTGGTCCCCTTTTTCTTATAACGAAGTTACTCGCATTAAGACTAATTATTACTTTCAGTAAAAACTCCACTGGGCCCCATTGCTCCTCATAATTACAACCATCATTGTAGACTTGACAGCTATTCTAATACTTATTTCCAAGTTCATCTTGTACTTCTGGAAGGCGCAAAATTACATCAAAGTAGCGCTCCTTGCGTTAATTGCCATGGTTGCAATCATTAGGGGTGTTTATAGGCCTGTGCACATGGGCCTGGTGGGTCCTATGGGCACATGGGCAGAGTGTCACCAAGGCCGGACGACCAAGTGGGAGCTAATTACCACGAGGACACGCTCGAACGGGGCGGTCTCTCTGTCGGCACCTTTTTTCATACCAAGGAGGTCTCTTCTGGTCGTTCAGCAACCCCATACTTCATAATACAGAGAAACGCGGAAAGAGTTGGCAAAATCCTACGAATAGAATTTAGGTGGAAGTCACAAGAGGAAAGTACTGAAAAGCCATAAGAAAGACTTCGAAGAATCAACTGGCACTTGCATACGAGTAAGTTACTATTTATTTAACAAGGTATTATTGATACCCCTAATTAATTTACAGATTTACAGTCCCTAAAACGAGCGATCATCTTTCTGTTTCCAATCTACAATAACTCTTCTGTTCCTCAGGATGAAGACTACCACGAGACTCCTTGTTCAGAGTGACAATGAAGAATTGTCTCTGAATTGTCTCAATAAAGGAAACCGTGGTCAAACATCTAATGGGACTTCTGAATGGGAATCTGTCTGTGCATCAGCTGATAAGCTTGACACTAAACAGCCAGACCTCTTAAACGATTAGACACCTGGATGTCCTTTATGTTGTATACATATCAATTATTATAGTCGCACTCTCAATCAGCGACGACAGTGGCATTTTCAAACACAAACTGTACGAGCGACGTTCCACTGGTGTCAAGAAAAAAAAATACTTCAGGACGTTAAGTTTAAATTGTGTCAGGGCACGTGTCTATTTCGATGGCTTAAGGTTTAAGGTTTAAGGCGCGCCAAGATATTGCAGTTCGGTTCTTTTATCGGCGCTTGGCTAAATATTTAAAGTTACATCAGGAAACAGAGACCCGCTGTCCGCCAGACATCTCGTAAACGGTGGATTTATGGATTCCTTTTAGATTCAGTCTCTCCTCCATCGTTCGCGCCCTCCTCCACATGTGTCTTTCGATCCTCATTCTTTTAAACTTGCCAAAAGCATCCCTCTGCCCGGTTCACAAGGTATGCTCTACGTATGCAAAAGCCTATGTAAAACTACTCGACTGGGTTTTCACTTAAGAAACTTCACCGTCTTGCTCGACCTCCTCTATTCGCATTTAACATAAGAGCAGATTCGCCTGCAGTGCTCCACTATAAATTGCACGGGGGCCGTATTGCCTGGACGACGAGATATGTCAGATTTAATTTGGTACGCGCATAATTAGTGCACTGCAACGGTCTCGCTCCGTTCGCAGCACCTGCCTCGCAAATCTTTCCCAGTTCTGAGATTGGCCTTCCTACCCTCGTCTCCACCCGTCCTTTCGCCCATACATCTCACTTCGTCTCTCTTCCTCAAACTTCCGTCGCATGTTCTCTTGCTCCCTCGCATACGTGCTTAGCTGGGTTCTATCGTCGGGACAAATACGAGACGCAGAAGAGCGATGGCCGACGACATTTGCTTTCAACGCCAATTAAGATGTCCTTGCTAAACGAGTTGATGAAGATGCACCGACACAGGACCGCAGCCTCCGATTGGACCAGTGAATTCAGCCAAACGGTTAAGTAGATCAGTCTTGTATTTTATGGAAAAAATGGCAGTGAATGATGCTACTCAATTTCTAGGTTAGATCATGGGAAAACGGAAATGACTGGCGTTAACAAATCCTGCTCTACCTGGGTTTGCAATTCATTCTGTCTAATAATTAATTAGAGGATCTAATCAGTCAATAATTACCTTGAAGAAGCTTCCCTACGGCATCGTCCAAGGTATTGCTCTCCCTGTTGGACGGTCCTGCCTTTACCTCAAGTCCAGATAAGCCGCTGCTCTGAGATTCCATATTGATCGACTAATATCACCAAGGTACAAAAATGATTCTGTATAAAAATAGCGTTAATCTCGCCAACCCTGTAGCACTATACCATAATTCGATTCATGGCAGGTAACTTGAAAAACATTCACAAAATTCACTTATGTGAAAATTATCACTCTCCGTTACTACCAACTGTCAGGGTAATCGACAATCATTCGTAATGGGTCTGGACATCCAGGTAACAGCCGCACTGCACACCGACACGATTATTACAAAGGTGGCCAATTAATATCCCGTTATCAGCTTGATTAATCAGCTCCTCGTATCACCGTCGTATCTTTTTCCTGGCTCTCTCTTTCTCTTGTTTCTCTTTTTCTCTCTGTCTCTCTTTCTCTCTCTCTCTCACACATGCATCACGTCCACAGGTCCCACTCTTCCCGCCCGACACTTAACACTGCTCCCAGCCGGAGGTTTTGAGCGAGCCCCCGGCTTCGCCTTATCGAGATCAGCGAAACTTCCGGTCGGCACAAATAAATCTGAAGATTCAGCAGGACCGGATATCCCTAAGATGAAGAAGCAGAGGAGTGAAATAGGTGTACGAGATGGGTATAGAACGCGATGAAGAAGGACTCCACGAATGTACTGAGGACCACCAGAGACACACCAGGGTTAGAGAGACACGAGCAACGGGGAGCTCTACGCGCGCCAAAGCATCGCAACTAAACGCGAGATGGAAGATCGGAGAGGCGGTTCCGTGGACCACCTCCATTTGGTGGGGGTCCATCTAGCCTCTTCTTTCTCTTCCTCTTATTATTAGGCTCCGTATCCTTATTCTTCTTCATCGGCTTCTACACCTTCCGTCCATCGCAGACTGCGATTATATCGCGTTAGTCACCTCTGAGATTAATTAAAACCGAATTAATTAAAACTTCATTAACACTCTACTAAGTATTTCTACTAAACAATAGCGGTGCTCCGGATCAATATTTTTTTATTAACTTTATCAAAGTACTTACAGTATCCTTATCTTCTATGTCTGCTTGACATGACTTATAATCCAGGATGATCATAATTCGTAAATGATTTTGATCCATAGTATAGATCCCGTAGTCAGTAAGTTAGTAGACGTATAGATCTATAGTGATGCGAAGCTTAGTATTTTAGTAGTATTTCACGAGATACAATGCTGCCTGTGTCTAAGCGTCTTGTTTGACTAGACATTAGCACCCTGCTACGCCATTCAAACGGAAATGCATCTCGAATGCACTTTTGCAAGCTCGCATGCAAGTGCAACGGCCATATAATTTTATTTCGTACAACGTGAATCCATGACGATCCGCTATGGTAAGAGAAATGATATAAAATACGAATTAAGGAAGATCCGAAAGGTCGCGGTGTTAGATACGATCTTTTGACCTTAGACAATGCTAGGGTGAAAAGCCCATGTAAGATTTTCGTATCTCGCGTGCGCCTAATTATACAACGAATTTAATGAATGAGCGAACTAGCAAAGACAGTGGGCCATACATCGCACATATAAACCACGGTCAATGCCGTGTGGCGGCTTTTGTGGAAGATCAAAGAGCCCACTCTGCGTACACGGTTGATCTTAGAGAGCGCCAGTGTGAAGGCACACTTAAGTCTACCAGAGAGTACTTACGAATTATGTGTAGCAGCGCCTTTAGGATCTTAAGGGTGGCGCCTACTGTCTTTTCTATCATACGTCAATTACGGTTATACCCTCAATCGCCATTATAAGTACTGGACCGTATCCAGACTTGCTCTAAGAGTTCAGAATCAATAAGTTTTGCCGTTTAGTAAATAAGGCGACAGCCGACAACAGTATTAAAATCTTGGTCTCGTTTGCAGAAAGATAGCGGATCAAACTAGCTGGGATTGATTCGCACCTAAGATCATCCATTATCCAGCATCCCAGCTCCGTATTCAATTTTAGCCAGCGGCGAACAATAATATTGATTTCAAACTGGAATTTTACTCTTCCCTGGGTAAACATACCAGAGCGCACATGGCGCCAATATGTGGTTTTGCGCCCAGCGCGTTTTGCCAAGGCGGCAAACTTTGGACAATAGACCTGAGCTTGCGGATGACGTCTAGCTGGATCAGAGGAAAGTCATCAGGCGAACTTGGGATTAAATGTCTGTAGTGAGCAAGATAGGAAGCTGGATGGTACGTAGCACATGGTCTGTAGTCGATAGCGATTCGCTGCTGACATGAACGCAATAAAATAATGATTCCAGTAATTCCGCCGGTTGAGAGTTGGCTCGGGGCTCTGTCGGGTACTTGAAAGGCCCTGAACGGGGTAGCGGGGACGGATGAAGGAGGGTACCCGACACATGTAGCCCCCCAGGAGGTGGGCCCCGCGAGTTGGACCCCCAACGGAGCCACGAGCTTCGAAACATTCTGCACTGTCATTGGCCACAGACGTAGCAGCGCGTGGAACGACTCGCTCGTCAACGAGTATGTGCCAAGAGAGCTGCGACCGCCAGGACGTACGAGCACGTGTCTCTCTCTCTCTCTCTCTCTCCTGCCATCTCCCTATTCGCATAAATTTGATCGTTACCAACCCCATCTAAATAATCAACTAAGCTCATAGCCAGGAGATACTAATACCAACCACATGTACGATTCGTCTCCCCACAGCTTAGATCTTGAGTGATCATTTTTTTGTTCCTTTTTCCTTAGAGTCCTTTGCCACGTATGAGCACTCAGTTTCATTCGTAGAATACTTTTGTCATTATCGTTCACACTGTCCATTGGCATCCAGTTAGCTACCAGTTGGTCCTATGGATGATTGGGAGCATCAGGACAGACTGTAATGACTGTGGGATTTCTAAAGGATCTACACGCGTTACAGCCTACGACGATGCGAGTGGATATTTACCTTTGAAGCGCGTGCCACAACATTGACCGATCATCGTCCGATCCGACGTCGACCTGGTCTTCATCTTTATTTTCCTCTTCATCGTCGTTATCGTCATTTTCATCTCCTTCGAAAGCGTCGATGTATCCTTGAAGGATTCGGTAAAGATAAAGTGGGTATCGTTTTCTTGAGATACTTCAAAATCGTGTATCCCTTTGAGGTCAAAGGTGCCGATTCGTTTATGCTCGCCGATCCGTGACACTTCCGACGTGCCGACGCACCCCCATAGGAGTATCGTTGTCACGTGGGTCCACGTGGGTCTTGTTAGAGAGACTGAAAATTGAATCCTCTCGTAGCTGGTTCCTCGAGCGAGAAATTTCAAGTTCCAAATTTTCCTATTGAAAGACATATTTCATTTTGGCACGGAAGCGAAGGCACGTGACGATTTAGAGTAAAAGTCTGTTGGGTTCGCTGCCGAAAAAGGATTTTCTCTTTGGTCGATTGGCAACCCCCGTTTCCTGATTTTTCTCTCACTCTTCTGGCTTCCTGGCTCAGAAAAACTACGAATATTACCATTAGGAAGTTCATGGTTGAAACTCTTGGCGATTTACGAGAGGCCGCTGATACCAGACGCAGAAGTCACACGTAGTCGCGAGCATCGTCGAAATTATGCTGGGAACTGACGCAACCAATGGAATTGGAGAACGTAGGTAGTGTAAGAGCGAGGAGGGATCACGGAGGGTGACGGGGAGATTGGTAGGAGGTACGAGGAATCAGAAGAGGAGCGGATTGGTCTTCGTGGTAGCCTCTCGCCAGAGGATATCGTAACCATGGAAACGCTCTTGCTGGTCGAGTCCCTAGAGAAAGAGAGAGAGAGCGACAAAGAGATAAAAATAAAAAAATAGATATGAATAAAAGCACGCAAAAAACGACAGTCAAATAAATATCCCAGAATCAATGGTATCAAAACAGCGATTCTGATCGGATTGTCAAAAAAAAAGTTGATTAATTTAAGAAAATATGTATCACCCGCTATAATCGTTCCAACAACATTACTCTCTCGTTCTCGTATAATACGTCTTCTCGACCCGTCCGAGAATTTCGACATACACACGTCCGTAGAGCCAAGTGTAGACAAGTGCGTCGAGTCTAAAGCGAAGCTCTCAGTGGCAGCGGGTTTCATGTCAGTCCGCGGTGTCAGTCCCCTTCCGCCTCGTTTCTCTGGCACGAAGCTGTCACGAAGCGCAACAAGTGTTACCACCGGGAGAAGGAGAAGGAGGAGGCTGCGCTCGCTCCGCCTTCTCTTCTTCGAGGAAGGAAGAAGCGTGACGCCTGGCGGAGTCTGCCCCGAGGCGATGCAATCACCTCACTTCTGAGCCGATCGCGCTGCCAAGCACAAACCGGCTCTGGGAGCAGTTTAAATATTTTGACGTTTGCTCGGTCGATTGTCAACGTGCGCGCCAAACTTCAGACCGTCCTCGAAGCTACGTCGTTCGATACGTCGTAACTCGGCGATATTCAGAGCATATCGAATAATCGAGCGAGTCGCTTTACGATTCTCGACGCGAATCGAACGATAATCATAGAGAACGACAGTACGAGCGTTGCCAGCTGAGAGATCAAGGATTGTTTTACTTGAATTGAACGCTGTGAAAAGTGATTGATTAACGTGGACTGTGCATTCTTCATGCGATACGGAGAATGTGTAAATCACGTTGACTCCGTCGAGATCTTGAATTTCTCGAAGAAAGTACAGGGGTCGCGTGAACTGACATTGATAAACAAACGTATACGAAGAGTGCTGGAGAGATAGACGGTTGTTCAATTACAACGTGAGCTAATTACAAGGCGACTCTTTCTAATCGGAGTAATTAATTAGTCGTGATAGGCAACATGTGACGTTCCGAATGTTAAACAAACTCTCGGGAAGAAGTCAAAGGTCTTCTGCAGTGTTGTATCAGTAATCAGGGTTCGAGTCAGAGTCGATCCGGTTTTTTGAATAATTTCATAGGTTAATGTCACAGTGAAATGTTTATTGCGAGTGTCTGATCCACTAAACGGATCGGTGGATGTACAGAAATAAGGGACGAAAAGTCATCGAAGGAAAAGAACAATGAATGACATAATGAGTGAGTCTTCGGGTGCCAGCAACAATAACCATACCACCAATGGCAGTAACAACAACAACAACAAGATCTGTACTAGCAACAACAATAATTCGACAATGGGTGCAAATAATGGTGAGGGTATCAGTGCAGCCGTTGCAAAAGTTCTTCAGGGCTATGACTGGACTTTGGTGCCAGTGGCTACCAAGTAAGTATTCAAGATATTCTTATTTAAAATTATTACTGCTCTCGGTGGTAGGATACTTGACGTATAACCAGTGATTATCTGAGCGGCTCTTAATATTATGTTAAAAAATGAAAAACGAAGTTTTTCCTAAATCAGAAAATTGCTTTTAATAGCTGCAGATTTATATCCATGAGCCAGGGTATCGATTTCATAGGAAAAGGCAAAAGCGCGATGATCATGCTGAAAGTGTTTGCAGCGCGTTAGCAAGGTGCTAAAGAGCGAGCCGAGTAGCGCGGGAAGCTTTAAACCTTCTTACCGTTTAAGCTGCTAAAGCTCCTTGGCGAAAGAGCAGAGTGGGCGTCGTCGGTTAAGTGAAAAACGAAGGAGTCGCCTTTCCTGTCAATGAGAAAAAACGGCAACGCTAACTCAATTATGACGCGCTCGTTTCCATAGCCTGGGAAACGGACTGCGGAAAAAATGTCCTCGGCTAATGATTAACATCAATTAGCTAATTAATGCAGGATGCGTTCCGACGTATCGGAGACACGCAATAGTCACGTTGCTGGGATCCTCAAGAAAATCAATGATCGATATCGATGCGTAAAATTTGACAAAAAAATGTCATGAATATTTTTCACTCGATTAATCCCGATAAAAGTATGCCTATATTTCTTATATAATTTTTTATTACTGGTTTCTCTTATCACGTTCATGTTTGTGACCAGGATTGAAGTTCGAGACTCAAAGTTTAATCTTAACGATTCATTAGCATTTTATCGATCTGTATAATCAAGATGTAGTAATCTGGTTAGCCAGTGAATCGACCGAGGCACAAGACGCGTTTCCAATTGACGACACGAGTGGTGATCTGGCATTGTCTAATTGCGCGATTGAGGCTTTTAACGGGGCATTAAAGCACGCCAGATGAAACAACGTCGAGTAAACACACTGTCTGCCATTTTTGTCCGATTGTTTGTTGCTTCTGTCATTTCGACTAACCATGAAATTTATTCAATAGTTATAAAACAATGATATAGGATATTGGCTATATGTTCAATGTCTTAAAAAAGTCGTTCGAAAATGCACGAAGTTTGCAAGTTCCGGTTAAAAATGGTGAACCCCATAAAGGACATAGAGAGGTGCGTCGCGACGCCTTATCGTCAGGCCGAGTCTCGCGTCGCTGGGTTATCACTTTCGAACCGAGGCGAAAGGGTACGATGTTTATTCCTGCTGATAGGACCCGATGGCCTGATAAATTTGAGTGTTTTTAATTCCCATGGACTCTATGGGAATTTGCTTCCAGCCGAGTGTGGTTGCTCATTGTCGGCATAGTCCATATAGGTCGGACCAGGTGCAAGATGACGGACGTCCCATTTGACGTCTATCTTTTTCAGCATGCTGCATAGGTGCAGCACATAGCTATACGTGTAGTATCTGAAAGGGGACAGTCCAGATAACGATACCGGAACCCACGTTGCCGTGTATCAACACCTACTGGTACCAGAGTGCGACAAAGCAAATGAGATGTAAACACAGAAGAATTTTTGCGTATCTAGGTAAACCGAGTAGCGGTGTCGTGTCGGAGCATAGGACCTCGTTAGTGGGCCCACGCTAATTCCTTACGGCTCCCCGAGTTTGCCCAGAGATTTAACACCCCTCTTATTTCAAAGAGGCCGAAAATACGGCCCAAGTCGAAAGACTCGTCTCGGTGGCTTCGGCTATAAGGCCCAGCGGCTCTCGCTCGTTTTCTCCCAGAGAGAGAATATGGGACTGAGAGAGTGAGAGAGGACTCTTGAAACTTTAGGTCTATAGACGTATCCTAGACGTGAGCAAGGAATGGGCCTTATGGTTCTCGTAATCGACGTCTCACGTTATAAGACCCATAAGGCTCTGGAGCCAGGATCCCTCCTGGTACCAGCTCACCCGAGGATGGGTTTCATGAAGTCATCTTCTTGGAAAGAAAGGGATACCGTACGCTCCTCTGTCAGTCCCATGGATCCTCCTGTTATTCTAAGGCTAACACAAGAGGTCGGACCCCAAGGGTAGTAGCCACTAAACACGATACGCATACTCGATAGTCCTTAAGGAACCTTCGTGATCCTGACCCTCCAGGAATAAATACATGTTGCAAGTCAGCCGGTTCGCTTTTATCATTTTCTCTTTCCAGCGCCCTGGTTAGGTTTCATCCATCCACAAGACTGTTCAACCCCTTCGTCATGATCTACAGGTTGCTTTCTTTTTTTTGGGCCAGGCGAACGAACCCTTCCAAGTCTCCTGTTTTACTGGTTCGCTATACCTTCCTGCTTGCCCATTCGCCTTGGGTGACTTCAGCTCTTACGGGCTTCTCGATCTTTGGGTCTGGTCCCCCGAGTACGACGCCTGCTGACCCAGGGCGTCCCGGCGCACCGATCGACACTTCCAATTAAATCCTTTCCAATGAAGATAATGTCTTCGAATTGCAGGGGTTCCGGTGACAAAAGAGCCACTCACGTCAAGAGGCCCATGAACGCGTTTATGGTTTGGGCCCAGGCTGCCCGACGGAGACTGGCCGATCAGTACCCTCAGCTGCACAATGCTGAATTATCCAAGACTCTTGGGAAATTGTGGCGGTAAGTCTTCAGTCTTATGAATCTTATACTTGGTACTGCCGGAAGTCGTTTTGGTACACGGACAATTTTTTTTTACCCAAATTTGTATAAAATTATTTTCCTAGATCATTCTCATACGCGGTCCCGATTTTGGATCAAGGCATTATCACTGGAATCGTCTTGCTTTCTGTATCACGATCGGATTTTCATTTCACTGGTAAAAACGTTAAGGACGAGTCACAATGAGGAATCCGTTTCCTGGTTGGGACTAACGAGGGACCCCATGTGGGCATTAGAGGGCCCGCCGACAGGGTATCCCGCTGCGAATCATTCGTTGATCGGCCAGATCAGGATTCCATGATCAAGATCGAGCGTAACCAAAGCCAAAAGATCTATCACTCTCTCGCTCGTACGAGCAATGCATGCTCGTACTCTCTCGTTTGGGACTCGGACATTTTTTTTAAATTGACAATTCGAAATTTAAATGGGCATCACGGTGCTTATACCAGTGAATTTCGTTCTCGTGGTATAACGATTTCAGTGAGATTCTCAATTGCAACATACTTTATTTGTACAAAAAATCAAGTAATTTTTTTTTTGTAAAAAATTTCATTTTAATTTGAAGACGCCTACCTCTTGCCAAGACTTAGGCAAATTTCTCGAAGGTATCGACGATTATGCATATGAGATTACACGTATGCGAAACGTCTCTTTAAACAGTCTTGGTACACATATGCTTTAAAAGTTGACACGAATTTCATGGGCCTAAGCTTATCCGAGCGGTTTACAAGTGACTTCTAAAAAGTCATTATTTAACACCTCACGAAATGGGCCTAGTACCTATTAGCACCTGTTCCCAAACACGAAAGGTATTTTAGTCGCGGTAAGACGGCACCTCCGATGCCATCCTGTCTTCCTGCGACTTCCACAGGAGTCACGAGGGGTCCAATACGACGTCCAGTAAGTCCGAATCCTCCATTCCCATTGATCAGCAGACTGTTCCACCGTTCCGTAGTCCATCCTCTGTTCCTCCTTTTCTCCCTGGGCCAGGTCGTTCCAGTTTAGTCCACGGGTCTGGGATCTAGAACATAAGAGTAGCAACTGACCATGCTGGCTGCCCCTTGCCGGGAGATCGTGTCCCGATCTACTCGGGCGATTGGACCAAATTACGATCATTACCGATCACCGTGATTGTTACGATTGGACCCAAGATTTGAGTTGATGCGCGGATGGCATTCGAGAGCGAAGAAACAAACGATACGAGAGTCATTGGCGCTAATGATCCACCTAGTTTGGCAATTCCTTCGTGATCAGATCATTTCGATTATCGATCGGGCATCGATTCGAGAGTTGACACTAGGCTCTACGATTGTCGATTAATAAAACTTTCGTTGGGTCCGTCCCACTCCGCGTCTCTTTTTTGTCGATCGCAAATTTTTATGACAAATCACCGAGGCCGGTGCCGCCAGATAAGGACGCAGGTGCTGGATGAGGTGACAAAGACTTGGCACCCCCGGTGACCTATCTCGAATTTAATATTGACCAAAAAAGACGCGAGGAAGGAAAAAAGGAAAATAAAATTAGTATCTACCTACCCTGGACAGATATCAGACCTTACTCCTTGGCGCGTGCTGCCAGCTGCCGTCCAGTTCCTGTCGCAGATAAAACGGGCCCAATGATGACAATAGGGTCCCTTGTTACGGGATCAGGTGAATTTTTGTGAAACCTGCTCAGTTTTCGCGTTCCCTTGCGTAAACAACCAGGTACCAACCTAACCTAAAAAGCAGGTACCAAGATCCAGTGGGCCTAGTGATCATATTTTTCCGAAAATTTACTCACCTAATATATCCCCATATACTTGCGTACACGAGGAATGTCCTTGCGCAGAGACAGGAGAGTGCGAAGAGCCGGGAGGGAATGAAAACATCTGATAGCGACAAATAACTCGATAGATACATGGGGGACACAGTGGGAACGCGTGATGTCGACAGAGAAGATGCTGGGCCAGCAGCAGTGCATCTGGCTGGCATGTACCAAGTCCCGCGATATCTTTGACTGCCCGTGAAAGAAAAAAGGCCCGGCCAAAGTCCATTGACCAGATGGGCTCACTTCAGCCAGTGACAAAACATCCGTTAATCTTAAAATATGTATACGGGTACAGCGCGATAAAATTGGACATTTAAATTCATCTGGATCTTCGATACTCTTTGTTATTTTCATCTCGATTAAATCCGCTATCGATAACACGGCTTATCACTGGGTTATCGCTCCTGTCAAATGTCTGCAATGACTGACGCTCGGGTCCGTTCCGGAAATACTCGAATTTCAAAATGCAACCAATTCGTCTTACGTGGGCTATAGGGGGAGGCGAGAGGGGGGACGAGAGTTTACGATTAGAATTATGAGCAGCACGCTCGAATCTCTTATACCGGAAAACGTTATCGGGCAAAAGGTTTACGATCCAGTGGGAACATAAACATGAACTAACTGCTCAACGCAGTCTGGCTCATTCCACATTTTCTCCAGCGTACAGTCCTCAAGTAGGTACGGTATATAATATGTGTACGTATATCGGCCTATATATTAATCTTATATATCGGCTGGTCCGTTGGGCCGTGTTGGCGCCCTTCGTCTAGTCGAGTCAGCGCTCGCCCTTAAGTCCCAACGCATGACGCTTAACGCATTCAGAAACACTAACCAGACCTCGTTTAGCTCCTTCGACGAGTCGAGTGGTATCGATACGGGTACGTAGGACCCGATGGCTCCGCCACCCGGATGTACGAATCACACTCTCTGACAATGAATGAGCATAGCTGATAAGAGCTACGGGTCCACCGGTTTACACTGGGAAGTAACGTCAAGCCATTCCCATGTCGCAGGCTACTCTCGGACAGCGACAAGAAACCCTTCATCGAGGAGGCGGACAGACTAAGGCTGATCCACAAGCGGGAGCATCCGGACTACAAGTACCAGCCGAGGCGGCGGAAGCAAAACGGTGGCTCCGCCAGGGACGGGTCGCCGTCCAGGAGTCAGAGTAACGTCACCTTCAGCGTGTCCAGGTCTCTCAAGCAGGAGGACATGAGTCCCAGGGGACTTCAGGGACCCAATTCGCCTCAGAGCGCTGTCAGCTCGTCGCCACCTACCACACCGAGTCAGGGTCTGTCGCCGCCTACGCCTCCGACCACTCCCAGAGGGCAGCACTATGCCATTCAGGTAAATGCTTCAGGTCATTTCTTCTTGGAGGTACCTATAGGTCGGATTGTGGATTGATTAGACCCAGCAGCATCCGCCGAACAATCCTCTGTATCATCAGGAGATGAGTACTCCGTCGTCCAGTGAATCTCCTCAGCAGAGTGGTCTCGATCTTCGTTACATCGAGGTCGGCGACGGACTTCCGGTCGAAGAGGCTCAGCTGGGTGGTCTTGGTACCCTTGGTGGAGTAAACTTCAATTTACCCCTGAATCTTCAGGAATGCGCTGTAGAGAGTGACGAGCTGGACCAGTACCTGCCGCCTCCGGTACATCCGGTTCACCAGTATCCTCCAGCACCGGCTAACGCCTCGAGCCAGTGGATACTGAACAGGTAAATTTTGCATCTTATCAATCTGATCTAACGTGCTGGTTCAGGTACCGCGACGTACCTTGATTCCGGAGACTGATGAGACTCTCTTTGTTGTATCCTACAACAGATACGAAGAGGACACGGAGCGGCCTAGCAAACGTCACTGCGCCGAGCAGCTCCCAGCTGAGCTCTCCTGGGAAGACAGGGCTCAGGATATGATCCAATATCATGAACTTCAACCCCCGTTACCCCCAGTACAGTATATATCTATTCCACATCCCCATGGAACTCAGGTCGGACATCCGCACGTCTCCACGTCGTATTCGCAGTACCATCGCTATGTACCTGGTATCGAGTCCTGGCCTAATTACTTGTAGGACCAATTGACAGCCGGAACACTAGACTCTTGTAGACACTAAGCCTAGTACTAGATTTTGAGGTATTATGGTGGGACCAACTGAGAGGAGTCAGCGAAGGTCTACCACTGGAATATTATTAATGAGAAAAGTACAGACGATAGCCAAATATGTTGTAATTAACGATCAATTAGGGTGATTTATTGCTGTTGCTATATATATATATATACATATACATATATTAATATACATACGATTATGCAACAGTAATCAAAGGCGCACGTATATACGTATCGATACAGATATCTAGCCAATACTATAAGTACTACAATACTAGCCAATATACACGTAACACGGTATATGTGCATTGGGCCTTAGAGATTGACGCGAGAGTAAGGCCGTACGTTGTCAGTGTACGGTGCTAACTGATGCTAATGCTGAAATATCTATAAGCCGTGAGCCGTGAGCCATCGGGTCCGTGAGCCATAAGACTCCATGACATCATCATTCCATGACAGCCTACCATTCCAAAGCGAACAATTTCAAGCCAAACAAACAGCCCTCGCGATCCAATAATATAAGCTTATAAACGCTAACCATAAACCCGCCGCGATCCTGAGTTTATTATACGTTACTGGCCAGGGCCGACGAGTCCAATTCAAATAAACCCCGTTCAACTCGAATAGTCAAGTTGGCACGTACGTAACGCGGGTGGTTCAGACCTAGGACAGCTGAGACAATCGGATATTTTCGATATGCAGACATTCCTGATAAATTAGATTTCTTGTTCGATGCATTTTTAACCCTTGACCTGTATTTTTTTTCTTTACAATTGACACCACATTCCATGACCTTACCCACAGGTGTTGCTACGGCTAAATTAAGCTAGCTGACTAATCGTATTGGTTACATTTATACAGAGTAAGGTACGCTAATTTTAAGGTATATATATATAGGTATTTTGAAAATCAGTATATGATTTGATATACAATTCCAAAATCAACGTTAGATATGAATATGTAGATTATATATATATGGTAGACGTACAATATCGAGAGCCGTGCTTTTGTACTTATATACATAATATACGTATATATAGATATATATTTATTTACATTAATAACGTACGGCCAATTAGCTAGGTAACACCGCGAAGGAACCAGAGATACGACTAAGTATCGATGCGTAGATCAGAGACATTTTTTTCATAAGTTACATGTATATTGTTCTTTTTTTTTTATATTAGGAATAAAGTTTTACGTCGAGCAATTCAGAAACCAAGCAATGCGTATGTGAATTTCGACATCCTCACTTCCTGAGTGCAAGCAAAAATGTTTTTCCTTACTCGTGCGATGATTTAATGCTAATGGGGCAGTAAGGCGCGAGTAAACATTCTTATCGAAATGCGTCTAGAGGATCGTGGGAATCTGGGAATTATGACTTCCTGCAGCTGACTATGATTACGGCTGGATTTGAAACGGCGAGAAAGGAAGGTAAGTGAATTTTGATTTTTTTTAGGAGATAATTTTATGGTAGTGTGATTTGTCGAGAAAATTTTTTTTTTTTTTTATGTAAACTAACGAGGTGTCACCAGGTTTGCGAAATTTATATATGTGGGTACAGTCTGATAGGGTGACTGATATGCGTATCGCTTTGCGTTCTTGCGTAACTTTGCTAAATGAGTCTGTATGCGCCATCTTGGCTACTGAATTACGCGAATCGTACTGGGTACGCGCTATGGCTTTTACTGGCATTTATTATTGGCAAGAGCATCGAGTAGTGGAGATTGAGTATTGGGATCGAGATAAGCAGCTTTATCCGGTACAGTGGGAGGGCTTGTTAATTGATGAAAATAATTCGGGGAATCACGTCAAATATTCATATCGAAGTATCATTTCAATTTTTTTACCAAGTCGACTATCCGACTATCTCAGCTGACGAGGATCACTCGAAACGTCTTGACAGAGAAAAAATATAGTGTTTCCTGGGGACTTTTTAATCAGCCGATAGAGGATTCCATGGAAAGCGTGAGTCTTGACCCACAAAACAATCATGGAGCAGCCATAAGTCGACTGTCCGTACAATAGGTCCCATTGAGAATGAGAGTTTGTCAAAAGAGAGCAGGCTTCGTTTTTTAATTTTTTGTTCTCACTAATTCGATATATTTATTTACTTGGTTTCTCTTAAGAAATTTGGATAGCCTTTGGTACGATGGTCGCTTCTCAGAAGCGACACGAGTATTATTGATTCTGTGAAACGCACCAGCCACGTATGTCCTGACATTAAATTTTCTGATCTTGCATCTCTGATGGCAATGACGATTTGCTGAGAGAGGATAAAAATGTATTAAACGTGTAAAAATCTTTCTGTCGTGTGGCCGGTGCCCTTGCGCTATTCCCAAATCCAAATTTTCAAATATTTACCGTAGCCTGATAATACCGACAATACCACTCGGATCCCGATAAATCTTGACAGTTCGGGCATTCAGTGAACGCTGGGGGACCGAGACGAAAGAATAAAGGGCCGTAAACTAACAGCTGTCGAAAAAAAAAAGGAAAAAAATTCGTCTTTATCAAATATCAAATCCTTTTTACTGTCCATTCATCTTAAACGCCCTTTGACGGTCGCTTACGCGTTGGAGAAAGATTTTAAAAAAACATGTTTCTGTCTTAGCAAAATATATAGTGTATCCGAGGCAGACTAACGAGATACAAGATTTTATCATAGGAAAAAAAAAGATAGAAAGATCGAGACGTACTTACGTCGCAAATCGCATGCTGGATTTGTGTTCCAATCTAATCAGCCGTTTGGGTACACAATAAGAGGGTCAACCACGTGTGAAAGTAGCCAAGCCTGCATACCCATACAGTCCACCGAATGACACGTGATTCACGTAAAGCACAGAATCGATGGAATTTAAGGCTTTGGAACCGATTGGAACCCAATGGAACCCAATGGAACCCCGTAGTTATACGGTCGTGAAGTCTCAACAGCAAGTCAAATACGAGTATTGACTTATCGTACGGTTACCATGGTAATTACGGGTTGGCTATCGAAGGTACATAAAATTTCGATAGTATCGAAATCGCAGAAGTTCGATATGACGACGTTCAGACCTGAATCCATACCTTAGAATATATTCCGCCCAACTGCTAGATCAGAAATACCATCCCTGTGCTTCCTATTCTGAATTCACGTGAGAATTCAGTACGCATACATAACCTCGCGCCGACTGTAGAAAATGATTGCGGTGGGTCTACGAATTAATTACCCGGAGCGAATGATAATTGGCATTTGGCAGTTGGCAGGGTAAGTGATACGTTCAAAGAATACGAGAGGCGAGTGTATATTTCTCAGTAAGAAATTTACTTCTTTTATTCTTGGCGAAATAGGGCTTCGTGCCTTCCTCTCGTTGGTCTCCGTCGACTTCATCCTGCCTGATCAGAGATTACGACGTCGACGTCTGACGCCGTCTGAAAGATGCTCCCCTGGGTTGTCCTTCTCATTATTTTGATTTTTCTTATCGACCCTCTTATCGGTATCCCGTTTACTCGTTAACGCCAATTTCTTATGCTCTCGCTGGTATCTCCCGGTAACCAGGGACTGACTAATGGGCCTTATCCGCAAAGTCAGGGGGGAAGGATCGTATGTGAGCAAGACTTAAGAAAAGTAAAATAAAATGGATGCTAAAGCGACCGTGGCGGGTGGGTAGGGGGTTTTTAAAAAAAAAATGAAAGAATGAAAAAGTAAGAGGTGTTAGAATCAGTGAGGAGGGTTTCTCTCGTAGCTCTTTGACGCGGTGGGTGGGTGAGAATGACGAGGTACTAAAAAAAAGGAGAGAGAAGGAGTCAAGGGTATATAGAAGTGCTAGGAGAGCAAGTGAACCAGACTGTAGGCCTGCACTTTCTCAAGCACTCTTACCAAAAGACTCGAGTCGAGTTCTCGACATGAGTCGCTTGACTTCGAGTCGACTCGAGACTCACCAAGCGTCAATGGATATGCGCGAGTGAGTAGCGTAGACCTTGATAAAGTCAGATGAAAAATCGACGGTGTCTTATCTGAGGCGCGTCACTTCCGTTCCTTCGGACAAGAAGAGGGAGGGAGAGGAAGGAAAAAAAAAATTTGGAGAAATACCAATGATATCTTGGTACTTGCGTAATAGTCATTTTAATGAACAATCTTATGGTTGATATCACAATTTTTATTTTGCCTAACGATATTTGTATTTTACTTAAAAAATCCTAGTGACTATAAACCTTGTAAATGGCTTTGCGTGTCTAGGGAATTTACGCGTTGGATCGTACAGGGAATCTGAGGACGCTTTTGCCGCAATATTATAATCAACGGTTGCATAAAGAAACGCCTTGATAAGGCAAGACAATAAATTTATACTTGACTAAGACTAATTACAGCTATTGAACTCCTCGCTCGTTAGTCACTCTTACTGTACTTTAATATCGATAGCCTATTGTCGCAATAACGAACCGCGAGATCACCTCTGCTTGGTAATGTACAATTGTTTTCATATAAACTCTACGATTTATCTATAATTATCTATATCAATTTTATAAGCTAATTCATATCTGACCATTTGCATATGTTTGTGATAAAAATACAGTTTTTCATCCAAAGTCGCAATCCGCATCGAGTCTCTCTAGGACCTCCTAACGCGTAATGCCGTTCATAGAACAAAGTAAGGTCACAAGGCTAAGTGATTAAGGGTCATGGGTCAAGAGGTCATAGCCCAAATTGCATTACCACATGTAACGAATTATAATGATAATATTGAATTGTATTACTAAAGCGAGTATCGTTGATACGTTTTACAAAAGATAAACAGAGTTCAATAGTTTATTTCTAATTGTCGATAATCTTAATCAATATTAATATAAAAATTTTTATCAATTTACAAACGAGATGGGGTTCTCCTTGTTTGTATCTAAGTTCATTATTGGATGCTGCTTGTGGTGCTTTAAGGCAGCTACGCATAGATGCTAATATTTTCAGATCTTCTTCGACTCCCTTGGTACCACTGTGCTTCACCTCCTGCCTGAGCCCCTCCATATCTACATACGTGCTCTTTAAAGCTATACGGGACCTTAAGCGGCTACTTTTTGCCAAGCACATGTGGCCGCCGGTCAGCAGCGGCGATTCGCGCGCGATAAGCTCGACCAGTCGCCAGGACTGAGAATAAGAAGCGGCTGGACCTCGGCTGGCAACTTAAGCGAATCGCAAGTGCGATGGTGCGCACATCCGTGCCAAGAGAGCAACTGCACTATATACGGTATAGCATTCCATACAGTGTAAAGCAACGCACTTAAGATACGCTCTGTGAAACAGGCAACGAATGTCAAACGCCAGATTTTCATTCAATTAATTTAATACAAATTTTACATTTTTTTCCCTCATTTTCTGTACCATTTTTTTTTTCTAAATACACACTTATACTTTATGACGAAATCTTAGGTGGCTCGTGCTTTAACGTCTCTTGCTGGTTTTGGCTCCGTTTAAGGCCCAAGTGCCTCTCGCGACTTAGGAAAGGATTTACGAGTTTTCGAGAAAAGCCCACGAAAAGATTTTTTTTACGAGGCCGCTTAAAATTCTCTACGTGGAGTAGGAACTCGTAAAACTGTACAGTTTCCACTTTAGTCCTTTTTTTTATATATTTGTCTATCTCTTTCTCTCTTTTTTCTGCGGGCATACCATGACTGTCCTTCGCTTGTATGTTTTTTGCCACTTTTTAATTGGCGACTAAAATTAATTTTGATACAATTATTTATTTACACTTGTTACAGGAAGCTTATAGTCCTACTTAAAAAAATTATGTATGGTCCATTCGAAGCTGATTGAATCGACGTCTTGAATCCTTTCCAGCTGCCCATTAACGAGATGATGGACCAGTATTTTTATGGGTTTTTGAGTGCAGATAATCCGAAGGACCGAGCTGCCTGAAATCATTTTCGAGTGGACAATTCATCTTGGTGCATAATAATGTGAATTAAGTTGACGATTGAAATACACAATATTTTAACGAGCAATAAGATTAATCGCCGTTACGTGGACCGGGGCAAAAATAATAATTTTTCGAAAAGAAACAAGAAAAGCCATAAGCCTTGTTTCGTGTAATAGCTCAAAATATTTATATAACGGTCTTTCTTAAAATTTCACTCAAAATCTATCTCACCCCCAGCCCCTATAAATTGACCCAGTTTACTTGTCAAAATACACCGTGTTTCGGGTTAGACGCTATAAATTAACCCAGTCCGAGTCAAACCTTAAACCGCAGGTTATTGAAGTTTTGTCGTCTCCACGAAACTATTTTGCTCCTGGTCATTCGAGAGCGACGATATATCACTAGCGTAAGGTCCCAATTTGCCATGAGATTTTTACGACCTCCCCCTCCATCCCCTCCCATACTCATTCCCTCATTTTCTCATCAACCACCACCGATACAGACACACTCCATTGTAATACTAAATTTCTTTAAATTAGAAAAAAAAATTCTAGCAAGTTATTCCTATTTCCTGAGTTACCTAAAAATGAATACCTTGGTCCAGCTGGTTTGTTAGGAGGACTTCCAGGACCTGTCAAATTTGACAAGAGCGATAAGCGCCAAGTACCGGTATCACTTGTTGCGCGAAGCGTAAAACCTACAAACGACCCAGGGTTCTTCATCTAGAATTTCCCCGGCTGGGTTCCCTCAAGAAGAAGCCTTTTGGCTTTTTCTTCACTTCGGCTTCGTTTGACATTTGATAGTGTGCTTTCCTGGTGGTTAATATTACGCTCTTGGTGCAGGATAGCGTACAAGTCTTTTTCTGCTGAAGAACTGTCTGTGATAACACTGGCTAATAATTTTCATACAGTTGGTACATCGGTGGCAGCAGGATTGCCATTGAGGAAAGGTCAATATTTTCATTTTTCTTATGCTCTATCGTGACCATTTTTTTTAATTTTATTCTTTGACTCATACCTTTTCCTACTTCAGAAGTCATTTCTTGCTGCTGCTGAACTCCTTGGCTATGTGATCTTAGTGGTTTGATAAATGGCTACCGGAAATACGTAGAAAAAAGCATGGCTGCTTCTCTGGATGCTTAATTGGTGTGTGTAATCCTGTTTGAGCCCTGTGAGAAGAAATTTATTCACGTTTGAGTGATATCGAGAGGGAAGATATTTTGATGTTTTGGCTTCGTTTTTCTTTTTTTTTTTTGGGGGGGGGGGGCAATTTACATTGGATCCAAAAGTGGGATCAGCCTTATTTCGGAATTTTACACGCGTAAGTACACGCACAGGATGCGTAATGTCTAGAGTCCAAAGGAAGAATTTATTTGCGCCGAGTCGTTTTGCCCTTGGCGGCACGACGCGCGACGCCGCGGCGCGTGCTACGCTCGGGATGGAGAACAGTGTGCTCTTTGTCAGGACTATTTATTTATCTGTCAACAATTACGGCGGGGCTACGCCGAAAGGGAAGCCACGCTGAAGTTGGAAATAAGTGAAAAAGGGAAATGGGAAAGTGGACGAGAAGAAAAAAAGAAAGAAAAAATTACCATGAAAAGGAAAGATTGATTTCCGTAGCTTCTGAACCATGACAATTAGTACAATCCCCATGATTGATACCAAGTGAATTAAACTCCTCTTGTAAATACGAAAGATTTACGACACCTAAAGAATATACGCAAGATTACCTAAATTCCATAAAAATTTAATCATACATACTTGCCGGCAGATGACCGATCCCTCCTTTACTTCTTTTTCTCCAAACAATGACAAAGTCAATCCACGAGATGATCTCTGAACAAAATCAGCTTTCACAATGATCTCAGAATCATATCCATCTGTCAAATCATTGTGAAAACCAGTTTCGTCTATGCTGCCAAGTCGAGTACCTATAAGGATATTATTGAATAAAAAAAATAACTATTCCATTGATTTTCCAAATTTTCAAAAAATATATTCCTTCGTCACCTCTCGAAAAAACTATTGTACGGATCCATAATTACTCACGTTACTTAGGTATAAGCATATACATCCCAACAGCATTCTACTGTCGTGTTGGTAAGGCAAGCGTGTGCACTTGAAATCGTGAGTGTATATCCAGTTACGGAATAATCTGATGCGGCCGTGCCGTAAGAGCAGGACTGAGCCGCCATTGGTCCAAGTGTAAATATTATTGGAACTATTTCGAAAGTGTTTCGTCAAGGACCAACGTTTTCTTGGTGCCCTGGTTGCTCCCCTTTTCCAGTGTTTCACGAATTGTCCGACAGAGAGCGCCACAGCATATAGTATACACAGCGCCGAAACTTGAGTAGTCTAGCCGTAGGTTGACAGATCATGAAAAAGAAAGAAAAAAAAAAAAGAAAGAAAAGAAATAACCCATAAAGTATTTCCAGTAAACCGTGAAAGCGTCGGGTCGGTATCAGTAAAATTTACAGGAATTACATATCCTAACCTAACAAAAAGTATATCCAGTTCACGTGTAACAAAGTCAACTAATAACCGAATGGTTAAATATTTGCCGAAAATTAAAATACAAGTGAATCTTTGACAAAGAGTCTCGGTCGTTTGACAGATATAAAATCGATTATGGCCGACTAGAAAACGGGAGCTCGAGATAAGTCTGAGAGATAAATTAAAATTCGAAGCGAAGAGTCGGTAGCTCGTGTGAAGTTCATCTAGGAAGTCAAGGGAGTCCAGTGATGAGGAGGATCGGTATTAGGGAATAAGAGGTTCGGTTATCTAAACAATAAACCCGACAACACGTGTAGGCGGCTCGGTACAAAGGGAAACGCTGAATCTCTAATCATGTAAGGTCCATGACGGTACGAGAGTGCTTGCTATCTGTTACTCTCTCTTCGTTCCTCCCTTTACTTATTTTTACTTCCTTTTATTCGGCTCCTTCTTGCTACAGCCCATGGTCCAGAGTACGGGGAGCCTGGAGTCTACGTCGAAGGGCTCAAGAGGATCCAAGAGCTAGAACTAACGTATCCCCCTTTTGCCTAACGCTGCTGCCTCGGCTGCCTCTCGGATTTCCATTTTTTCTTTCAGCTTCCGATTATCTCTTTTTTTTCCCTTCTCGAATCACGTTGCGTCACTGAGCGAGAAGCTTCAGTCATTCATTGTCAGTCAGTCAGGACTGTGTTGTTTTGTTTCATATTCTATGCCTGTGGATGATGGTAATAATTGAGAATGAAAATTCCAAAAATATGTACAGGTAAAATTGTCACGATTGCAAATTGGATTTTTAAGATTGGAAAAAAAAGAAGATATTTTTTGAAATTTTTATGCCGTAGTTTGATCGTCATTATATTATTTTGCACGTGCGTTATCGGCCGAGAGAGGTGATAACGACTTGGCTGCGTTACGTAGGACTCCAGATAAAGATATGGTGTGACTTCTGACCCCATGGAGATTCGCTGGAAACGACCATTTCCTTCCATAAAGTCTCACAAAGAAACGTCCTACGATCGTGGATACCGTGGACGTATTCCTGTGCGTTCGCCTACGTTGACGCTGAATGACAGTCACTGTCTCAATGCCGAGATACGGCTCGTCGTTATGGGATGCCGCCTTCCTTGCGATTACATATCATTCCCAGAAATACGCGCTATTTTATCTAATTAACCAGTAATTGCCACGACAGTGTTCGCACCCCTCGTAAAACTTAATGAGAGGATTAATAGAATGTCGTTACGAAGATCGCAGGAGTCACGATCGCGGGTAAAAATACTATCGGAGATAAGATACGTGCTCTCGCAGTTTCCATCGTACCGAATCGTAAAAGGCTAATGTAAAAATAAAATGAAAAAATGAGGTATAAGCCCGCGGATGTGAATCTCGAATGAGAATAAGTTGTATATGAACTAGACTCGATTAATCAAGAAGAACGAATCAACGGAAGACTTACCGATCGGATAGTTTTAAAGATTTTATGATAGAATACCGACTACGAATGAAATAAATTTGTTCCGTCGAGAAAGCATACTCTCGCAGTGAAACGACCAGCCGTCGGTAAGATAGAGCACACATTATCAATCGTAGAAATAAATTTTCTGCATTACCGACAGGCAGTTTTAACCCGTTTAGAGAATCTACATTATCACAATTATGTCACAGAAACAGTGGCGACTTATTAACGAAATTGATTGCCATTAAAAATGCCATAAAGGTAAAAATCCTGTCAATAGTTAAGTATAAATCAAATACACCGCATCGCTGCGAAATATGTAAATACAAGCTTCACAGAATCCAAAACCAGTAAATCAGCCTAAACGACAAGAGACTCGATGCTTAAGTACAACATGCTCGTTCGATTAAACGAACGGGAATGGAGAGGCCGTGTGACAAATTAAATTCCATTGGCTGCAACTGACAGGCTCAAAAGTCAAGTGCATCTCAAGAGCGTAAAGTCGAGCCACTCTAAAGAAAAATTTCACATATAAATAAAGCAATCTCCTCAGCTTTCGCGAGTGAAGAAAGACCAAAATAAATACCGTCACGTCCCACCAGTGATCCTCCAAGAAGTGGTATCACGAAAATTCTCATTCTCAAGCCATGTCGATAAAATCTCACGCTCGGAATGAGAAGCTCGCAAGAGATGTCCGTGATGTCCGTGAAGCCCGACGCTATCGCTCGTATGGCGTAGTAAGGGAAGAGACGCGTAAGAGCCATTCAGACTGCTGCCGAGCCATTGATAGAGGCGACGCAGCGAGGTCAGCTATTTGTACGCGTGACAGGCCCCTCCAGAGAATCTCGCACACAGCGATACGCACGTGGCGCGATGTAGAAACGTGGGCCTTTTCCAGAACTCCAAAGGAATTCCAGCGTATCAGGAGACACGTCCAAGTAAGAGGAACCCGAAGTCGAGATCCTCAGCAGTGGTGTATTCTGTAAACAAAACGAAAAAGAAAAAATAGAATAACGACGTCAAAGACAAAAAGTCCAAGTATAATTTAGCGAATGAGTTAAGGAAAGTAAGAGTTGACGATAACGACTTGAAGAAACAGGAAGAAACAGGAAGACCCAGGAAACAAGCAACAACAACAACCCACCAAGAGATACAGTATCCCCCGCTCTCCCTCAGTCCCTCGTACAGCTCATAACTCGTAGAGCTCGATCGAAAGGATTTTCTCACAGAGCGTAGAACCGTAGAACCGTAGGACGCCTTGACAAGGCTGTCACTCTGTTGGAATCTACCTCTCTCGCGGCACTGACTGGCAAAGGTTAGTGAACTTTCCCGCGATGGCTGGCTAGAGCTCTCGCACGCGGTCTCTCTCGCATTAGCGGTTGCCGGTTGGCTTCATTTACTTCATTTACTTCGTAGGGCATATTGTCACGTAGAAGCGACAACTGGCGTCCTCGGCCGAGGAACTCTCGAACCAGCAAGTACTGTACGGTACAGCGGAGAGAGAGAGAGAGAAGAAGAAAAGAGAAAAGAGACAGGGGTCGGTTATTCCGCAACGTTGGAATTCGCATTCCACACCTACGCCGATACTACACACTAGCACTATTAAAAAAAAAATTCAGCCTTCGCCAGCGACATTTTCCATCACGAAATTATCTTCCTCGGTGCCCTAAGAGCACCAAGAGAGGTCCACCTCGTTCTAATTGTCAGGCACAGCGCGTCACTTTGCTCTTTCATTTGCTGAGCCATCTAGTGCAGCGCGTCATCCCTCTATTCTCGGAGCGACTAATTGTTCTAATTAAAAGGATCGTGGCTCCGGAATAACTCGACTCGAGTTATTTTCGTACCGAGACTTTCTCACACATTCCCAGACATACGCACAGTTCCACCCTCGGACCTAGCCTACCCAGAGTCCACGCTCTGTAACCAATCGACGTCCCTTTCATCCTTTCCCTTTTATTCTCATTCTAGACCCACCCTGGGATTCCTCGGCTACTCTCGCTGGAATCTCGATGACTTATCCAGAACGTTCTAGAAGCATCTGGGAAATAGACCCATTGGTTGGGGAGAAGGAACGACAAGGAGATAATGGTAACAGTAGGCAGTGGTACTGACCGTAGCGACTGGTAGCAGTGATAGCGGCGGCACCAGCATCATCAGCATCAGTAGTAGTTGGCCAAGTTGGCAACTGAGGTAAGTAAGCGAAGCCGCATGGCTCGAGAGAGGATGGTCACCTATAGAAGGAGCTACACGAGCAGTGGGAATGGAATGCAGGTACGAGTCCAGAGTACCAGTCCCTGCACTCGGGCTTCCAGGCTGGCCAACCTCTTTGGTATTTGCCCCTCTCCTTCCTCTTACAATATCACTCTTTGATGTTGCCACGCTGCTACTCGCCGAATCCCCTCGTCGGTTCGACCGGACGCCACGGCGTCTCGCCAGTAGCCCAGGAATCCCCGGAGTACGGAGTGGAGGACCGTGGTCCATCCTGAACGTATCTGCTTCGATATTGATAAATCATAGAGCAACTTCAGCCTGGTATTGGCATCCGATGCCTACATAGACCCAGTCCATGTGGATTGGAGGACGACTCCTGACCCAGAAGGAACTTCGGGTCCTACTATCGGAATTGGAATGCGGCCCTGCCCTGGGAGACGGCCTCCCCCGCTCCCCCCCATCGCCCAGACTCCAGTCTCATACTTGCATCTCTGTGAATCTGTACCAGCAGCTCTGTGGTGACTGTAGCAATGAGCGTCTGGATGATCTAAGGACGAGACCAATTTAACCGGTAGCGATGGGTCCGGCCCAAACTGGATGGCTGGTCTGAACCAAGGATCGGGCCAGTCCTGTTTACGTCGAATTGCGTATTCAGGGTCTTCTTGGGTCCGGAGCCGAGAAAACGATTGGCCGACGACTGATTGCTACCAGAGGCATCGCAGGATGTTCCGGCTATTTGTAACCGGGGATAATGATGCCATTTTCCATTCCCGCCGATCCCGAGAGAGGAGAGCATTGTTTTTCAAGGTAAACCTATCGGAGGCGCCATTATAATATGATAATTTATTGATAATCTCCATGAATAATGGAGGCGCGCCGTAGGTATGCACTATGTCATTGTCAATTTAAACGGTTTAAATCCCTGGGAATCGTTTCATAATAGATTAGCGCTGTCTACTGTATTTTCATGAGGTATCCGTTTATCGTGTCTTCGACTTGGCCCATTTTCCCACCACTACCAGAAACGATGCCGATGCCCATAGCAGCCCTCGGGGGGAGGGGGGTCAACGCGAGAAGCGCCCTTTTGGTAGGTTACGAATTTTTTTGTTTCTCTTTAAAGTCAGTTTTTGTTATTTAAAAAAAAAAACCGCGCGAACTTTATATTTTTAAAAAATAGTCATTATCGATATTTCACGAGGTTTATTAAATTTTTTAAAATCGGCATGAAAAATTCACCCATTTAACCCCGTGACTTATATTACCACCCACCTCCTCTAATGCCACCTCCCGCGTTCCTCGTTCCGAGAATAAGAGATTCCTGATCTCGAAGATAGTTACTTCCTGTATCCTGTCGTTAAGACGTCTCCGGCACGTCAGGGATTCTCACCCGCGAAACATTGATTATTCAAAGGACAGTTCATCTTCTCGAATGAAAGATGCATGTCGATTTCTTTTATTTTTTTTTTCGATTTTTCTTATTCTTTCGAATTCGCAACCGCAAACAGCCTCTGGACCCAACGACGTGCCCGGATCTACAGTGTAAAACCGTAACGACGGTACGATCCTCCAGTCGTTGCTGTACTATCGAAATTCGAGGGAAGACAAAGGAACGGGCCGAACCAGCCGAACGTGCAAAAATGGCCGAACACGTGGCACTTCGTGCTCTGAGAATAAACCGTCGCGAGACCTTGGCACGGTTTCGCGCCGTCTGATTTTACGAACCGCGCATGATTCGCTGCTTTTTAACTGGCTACAAGTCATATTTCAGTATCCCCAATCAGCCCCCGACAACGATTAGGCCGGATTGAGGCTCGTCCCTCGGGAACACCAAAATGCCACACAGTGCATTCCCGCGCACTTATCCAAGCAATAACAAAAAAACGTAACTACCACGAATTGACTCGAATTCATTTCGAAAATATCGAAATAGCAACATTACGATATACAATCGATATATACCTGTTGGCTAGTTGTACATATATACATATATAATCTACATATCAACCTAAAGATATTCACGTGTTGTACCGAGACACAATATCGCGCTACTGCATACAGGCATCTACACACGGAGTATAGAGGCTTACCGATATATATATATATATACATATACAGATATACAGAGAGAGAGAGAGAGAGAGAGAGAGAGAGAGAGAGAGAAAGAGAGAGAGGAGAGTCGGCGTGGGACCAAGGCAGCTCAAAAAGTCGCACGGCGCGTCAGGGGTTCTCAAGCAGAAGATCGCAATATGCGAATTCGACACTTCCGGAAGTGTATCCACAGTGCCTGCGTAGGAAATGCGATAAAGCGTAAAAAAAAAACATAAAAATCCCCCAACGACGAATCAGTAAAAGTACAGTTCGCGTGCCTCAGTCCGGATGAACCGTTCAACTAAACGGGAGGAGGGGGGGGGGGGGTCC